CCCTGAATTTGTTGATGCTTAGCTCCCCTGTCACCTGGAGCCGTCATCGACACTAGACAGCCTGACTTGGACGGTGACGGGCCCGGTGGAGAAAAAAGCCAGTGTGACTGATTGATCCAAACAGCGTTCCCACAGAAGAAGCTCACCTAAGCTATGGCCCTAACGCCCTCTTATGTCTTGGAACTATTCGACCTCGTCGTCGTACCGCGAATAGCTGCAGCTGGGCACCCACTGAGCTGTTTTGCGGTTCAACGGCGCACATTCTCGATGTTTGCCTGTGGAGGAGAGAGGGAAGAAAAAAAAAAAAAAAACCTAACGTGGGGTGAGGAGAAACAACCCGGGCTGATCTCAAAGACCACGGCGATTCTGACGGCACGAACCTGGGTCAGCGTCAAGAACCGTGTTGTGGTTGGCGGCAAACATCCCTGCAAGGCCGGCGAGGTTCCATACGAGGGTCGGAGCTTGTGCTGAACTCCCCTGGACTGCAAGGGGTTCTTGGCCTGGTTCCTGATAGCGCGAAGCTTGGATTTGAAGCCTCTGACGGAGTACTCCGTACTCTTGCGGTGTTTTTCTTTTTCCTTTTTGCTTTTTTTTTTTTTTTCACTCTCTTCGTTTTTCCCTTCTATTGACGACGACGATGACTACTATCAACAAAGTCAAAGCGCGCCCGTATCACGATTCCCCCCTGCCCTGATCTCCACAGCCACGCTGTCCTTGCTGACTTCTCCGTTTAATTGTCGCCTCCACTGCCCTTTGAAAGGGTCACCGCCAATGTGTTCCGACATCAGATGTTGAACTTTTGTGCGTTGCCCGCAGCCCTGGCGTCCAGCCAAGGATGATGATGACGGTAACTCTGGCTGGACAACAAGGCAAGACATCGCCTTTGCCCGTTCCATGGCTCGCAGATCAACTCACTCTAAATCTTATTCACGTACGGAGTAAATAATAAACAAGACGAATGGCTTGTCGAGTCGCAAGTCCGGGAAGCAGAAGGAATCTTGAGCTGCAGAAACCAGCTTGCACCATGGTTCACGCACGATCCCCGTCGCCTCTGTAGCCTACCCGCTGTTCAACCAGGATGCACAGAGTAAGACATGATGGATAGGATTTTTCTGCAAGCCGGTCATGATTTTTCCCACTGTTACTTGGTTGCTCGAAAACAAGCTACTCATCCTCGCCCATCCACAGTCACCATTCACACCCAACGCATCTCCCCCTTGCTGCCATTTAAGATCGTCACTACTAGTCCGTGAGGCTGAACGATGAGACCCCTTGTCCGGAAACCCAAACTGCATAAGCCGGAACTATCAAAAATTTTTCTCGGGGCGACAAAACCATCCCGCGGAATTTTTGGGGATGGTCAGAAAGGAAAAGGATAAGGGGAGAAAAGTGGGTTGACGGCTTCGATCAAATTTCCCAGTTTTTTCCGACAACGAATGAATCGACAGCGGGTGTCTTATCAAGATGATTCCCGAGCCTGGCGCTCTTGATAACCGGCACCCCTCCCTGTTAACGGTGTGATATGCGAATAAACGCCATAAAACTCTGTAGGAGAAACCGTAGGTTACAACAAGTCTAGGCTGGCGTCGGGCTCGATCGCGGTTGATTCAGGAATCCGAATCATTCGGTCTTAGCTCTCAACCCCCCGTCCTCCACCGTCTTACCCGCGAGACGAAAGAAACGAAAATTCCAACGAACGGACGCGGAGACATGGGAGGATATCATGCCATTAATCTCGTTGGAGTATGAAGTAGTGGTATGTACTCCGTATATATATAGATATAATTAAAGTGATAAGCGCATCAAAATCCAGACCAACCAAATTTTACAACCCTCCCACGCCCAATTACCATGTCCAAAGTAACCAAAAGTACCATGCAAAAGAAACGCCAGCAACCCATTTGAGTGATGAAACAAAATGCCTGCGAAACACTAAGAACGACCGGCGACTGCCACGGGACCCTATATCTTTTCCGACGGTGGTCCTAAAACCCGTCCACGACCTCTCTTTGACTTTGTCGGAAAAGTCCCACTCGTCCCGAGAAGAGCGTTCAAGTTTCTCGCTGACTCCCGGACTCCCGCCAAATTGTAGATACTTCACTGGTCTTGTTCCATCGTTTGACGGGGAGCTGGAGGCTGTGCGCGGGACGATGCCGTTTCCACAGCGATTGCTAAATCTGTTCTCGCCAGCCGAGAGCGACGACGTAGATGTAGATGTACTCGATGTCGAGGAGGAAGGGATGTCCTCAAGGAAGCGGCGTGTGAGGGGGAGGATCGGGTCAGACGCGTCAGGGATATGGTCAGCCCGCAAGGTAACAGATATAGCGTGGAGCAAAAGGATGAGCATAGAAAAGACAACGACATAGGCATATTGGATGAACACCGCCAATTGATCGGGAAAGAGGCAAAGGTGGTTCTCGATGGTTTGAGAGCCCGTCGGATGCAACGACTTGCCCGACTTGGGGTCAACTGGGTTCCACAGACTCGCCAGTTGAACGCCGGGTCGTCTGACGCCCATCGCAAAGGACGCACTCTTGACCGTAATCTCCTTTGGTGCGCCGCTGAATTCTCGGTGCGTGATCTCGCAATAATCGTGGTCGTCGCCCGAATATATCTGAACGACGGGTCCAGTCTTCTTTATGATATCCTCGGAAATTGTGGGGGTAAGTACGTTTTGATACTGGTATCCCCAACCGATTCTGATGGCGTTTCTCTCGTCGCTTTCCGGGAGCGGATCGGTCGATGAAGGAGGCCAATGTTCGCGAAGTGGACCACACGGTGTGCCAGCCTTACGGTACATAGGAACGTGGGTGAGAACGATGGTAGGAAAGTCTGCATCAGATGCAGCGGGAGATATCGTAGGCTTCGTAGGTACGGTGGCATCGACAACGGTATGCGGGGATATATATCCCTCCGTCTCCCCGCTCAGGAAGAGTAGCTCCTCCTTGATTGCTCGAGACTTCAACGTCTGGAATTCGTTTAAGAACACCTCCGTCGGTTTCCAAATCTGCTCGGAATGCGGACTACTCGTGCTCGAACCTCCAGTCGCAGGATCGACTTGGTCCATCGCGCTTAGCGAGACGGAATCCACGGAAGCAAAAGTATGATTTCCAAGGATATCAACCCTGTTCCCTTCGCCAAAGTATGCACGAAAGCGTTCGAGTACTGGCAGTTGAATTCCGTTCCCAAAGCCCAGATCATGGTTCCCAGGCAGGCTAGCGATTATCTTTCTTCCTCTCGGGCTTGCTGCGGAATCGACGCCGCCCAACCTAAATGTGTCAAAGAATATCCGTGAAAATCGCGCGTACTCCTTCATCCACATATCGTTCCCGTATTTTTTATATCTATCATCGGGGCTCGAGCTGCTAGCGGTGCCCCATTCCCTTCCACCGTCAAATAGATCTCCAAGAAAGAATGTACTATCAGGTCGGAGCTTCTCCTGAAGCAGGGAATGTGTTCTGTACAGGTAGAGATCGGATAGGTATGTAGTCAATGAAGACAGCGGCCACGGACGGCCGGGATATGTATGGGGGTCGACGAGTTGAGGATCTGCAATAAGTACAGTGTGATGTGGAACGGCATCCTCGGGCTGAAATAGAGAGACGGAGAATGTAAGCGATCATATTCAATAGAGCTCACCTATCTTCCACACGGCCACACACACTCAACTTATAAAAAGGACAGAAGAGGAACGCCTGCTTACCCACTTCTCCCAGTTTGTCCACTCACACTTCCCCACGGCATCTCTGAATACCTTCCTCTCTCCCCACCACAGCGTTAAGATCCACAATGCGATCAAGGCATTCCGCACCGAAAACAACGGTCGCAGGATCGCCTGGATCCCTCCACTGCGTCGATATCTCATTCTCCTCTGCGCTCTCGTGTACGCTGCAGCGACCGACTCGCCCTTAGCACGAAGCGTTGCAAGGACCGGCCGGGCAATCGGTGGTAGGGAAGTGCATATCCGCTCTATGATGCCGGGGGGTTCGACGAAGTGATCCCGATGAGATCGGGAGGCACCGAGCGCTGAAGCCATGGGCGGGGGAGGCCAGCGGCTTCTCCGATGGATAAGACAAAGAAGTAACTAGTATCTTTCGTTTTGCTAACGTAGGTCTACCTCCTAGAGCTCACATTTATGACGGCAAGCAGGAGAAGTGAGGAGGAAGAGGCGGGTGGCGGGGGGCCTGATGATGCCAGGACTCATTCGTCTGAACGATGGGATGCGGTGGTGTCCCTGGTATAGTAGACTATTGGCCCATCGCGAGCAAAAATGGAATAATCTACACAAAATTGTAGATATCTTGGACGCTATCGCCGTGGCCTGTCGTAAGTCTGAATCCAAACAAAAGCGCCTGAACTCGGTTCGCTTCTCGCTGCGTGCTGCCGCTGTTGCTGTTGTTGCTGCTGTTGCTGTTGCTGCTGAGACATTAGCGGGCGGTATGGGGTCACGTGGCGCTCTCTTTCACCCGTTATTGTTAATTCATTATATACGGAGTACGGGGTAGTCTGATGCAGTCAGTGACTATGAAGACTACTCTTTCACCCGTTTCTGGACCTCGTTCGACGACATCAATTTGGATCAGGACACAGATCAGGACTGCGTCGATCGCCCTGCACATGGCATGCCAGGAAGCATTGTAATACTGTAGCATGAAGAGTGTTAGGAGGTACAGAGTACTCTGTATGTACTTTGCATTCGATGGAAGGACAAAACCAACCATCTACTAGTTGATCGATTAGCTAGTTACAGTACTCCACACAAAACACCCAAGATAGTCATCCAAAGCCATGGACGCCCAAAGAAAACTACAGCACCAGCAACAGCAGCAAAACAAGAACTCCGTAATAACGCACCCGCTCCCAGTTCATCCCCACCCTTTTTTTTTCTTTTATTATTACAATTACATGCGAGAATAAAAGCAGCAGAGAAATTTGACCAAAAACTTAAAACTTTAGGTAATAACAGATGGTCTCTTTTCTCTTCTTTTCTTTTCTCTTGTCTTTTTTTTTTTTTTTTTTTTTTTTTTTTCTTGTTTTTACCGCTTTAGATTAAGGACAACACTGACGGCCAGCGGCGCATTCGTTCCCACATTCAAGGAGGCAGGGCGCACCACTGGTGTTTGTCCCTGTCCCTGGAGGCGAGTTTCGACCGCTGGCAGGGGAGGATGATGATCCCATTCCACCTTCATCATCGCTCCCTGGGTAGAATTCGGGTTGGATGGTGGACGAGTGGATACCGTATGCGTGGAGACATCTGCGCACGTCCCTTGCTAGAGCCATGTAGCGGTCCGAGCCTTTGATATCGTGGCTGACTTGGATATGCAGGGATGAGACCAATTTGGTATCACTAAGCTGCCAAACGTGTAGATGGTGGCAGCTGAGAACGCCAGGTAGCGACTCAATATCCTCGATGATGTGATCGATGCTCAAGTCGGCGGGGACGGCTTGAAGTAGGATCCGCGAAGCGGCTTTACATAGTGGGATAGCGGACCACAAGATGATCATGGTGATGAAAAGGGAGATTCCAGGATCGACATAGAACCTCCAGGAGTAGTCGGTGAGCCAGATAATCAACGCCGAGGCGATAACCCCGATGTTGCCGAGCGCATCACCCACCACGTGCAGAAAGACACCGCGCATGTTCAGATCGTGTGAGTGCCCGGGGCCACGCTTCTTGTCCGTGGATTTCGGCAGGGCATGGTTGTGCTTGACATGCAGGTCATCTTTTAGATTCTGGCCGCGAACTCCTGACGAACTGTCGTAGGGAGTCGTCGTGCCGTTGCTTTGCGGCAATAACCTGGAGCGTTCTGAAACGTTGCCTTCGCGAGCCGAATCCTCCAGATCGGAATCCGATTCGGAGGTTTCAAAATCATCCAAGCGGCCTGCTTCGATGATGTCCTGACGCAAGCTTGCAGGATGGATGAATATGCTGTCCGCATCTCGCGCGCTGAGGCCGGAAACACTCAACCGATGAACGCTGCGCCGACGCGAACGGCCATCCGGAGTCCGGGCCCTTCTCACGGTGACCGGACTGCTTGACGTATCCCGACCACCGAGCGGTCTGATAGTGCTAGCTGATCCATCGGTCGTGCATGCATCAAGAGCATTCTCCGGCATGGCTCTTGCGATGCTGCCCCTTGGGTCCGCCACCACAGCTGTGTCTGCATCCCGCTGAGTGAGATACCCTTGCTCGGCAGAGTGGATCGCTTCTTCAGCGTGCGTATGGCCATGAGAATGGTCGTGGAACAATAGCAACCCAACTATATTGGAAAAGAGTCCCCAGCTACCGACGATCAGGACAAGTTTCGGGTTTTTGACCTCCTGCGGTTCGACAAGACGCTGTATGGCTTCGAGGAAAATGGACAAGCATAGTGCAACGAGGAACACCCCGTTAACTAAGGCTCCGAGGGTCTCAGCGCGTTGCCACTATGGCGAATTAGTATCTACCACACCGCATGAGTATTGTGGGACTGCTCAGGAACCTACTCCGTAGGTGTATGATTTCGAGGTTGTCTTCTCGTTGGCGACCTTTACAGCCCATAAGCCAACACAGAGCGACAGGACGTCGTTCAACTATTAAAAGGTAGCGGTCAGAATCTGCAAGTTTCTCCCCCCCCCCCCCCCCTAAATAAGACCGGAGGAGCTAGTCTGCATACCATGTGGAACGCGTCTGCCACTAACGCCAGCGAGTGCACCGCATAACCTACACCACGACTGTCAGCGCGAAAATTGCGGCTCAAACTGGGAGGGGAATCTGTAGACTGCGTACCCACGGTGAGTTCGATCAAGAAGAACACGGTGTCGATCGTCAGCAGAAGAACGATCCGTTGAGATTTCGTCAACCCCATGGCTGCGTGATGGTGGTGTGGAACGCGAGCAATGGAAATCGAGCAAAGTGGCGCGATGGAGAAATAAGAGCGCAGGAGAAGCAGAGCGAGATAGGCAGGGCGGAAGCGTCAGTGTTGTACGTGGGAGGCCGGCTCATCTGTTTGACGGCTTTCTGCATCGACGCGGAAGGCCGTGTGAATGGGCGATCAAGAAATCCCTCGCGGTCTGGCTATTGAAATCTTTATTTTTTTTTCTTCTCTCGCTTCTTTAAGCCGTTGGAGGTGATTCACATGCCATTCATACGTGCGCGCAACAGAAGCCGGGGTGTAATAGCGTACCGCTTTGTACTCCGTACGTGATGACAGACTCATCGTGCCGTCAGCCCAGCGCAGCTCAATCCTCTCAGCGCGCGTCAGCGGGGGTTTTGCGTGGCGAAAAAAGAGAAGAAAAAGCCTGGATCCGACAGTACAGTTGCTTGTTAGTCAGCCCAGCGCCTGGAAAAATATCCGATCGGCAGCGCTGTCTCACTTGTTCCACGATCACCAGCAGAAAAAAAAAGAGTTCTTCCAGAGTCCCTCCCATAGTATAGATCCGGGGCGAGCCGTGTGTTTTGTTTGTTGTCTTTCTCATTTTCCTTATTTTTCCTTTTTTTCTTCATTTTTGTTTTCCGTCCTTTGACAACTACGGAGTACTCCGTACTCTGGATGCAACTTGGAATTGGGTTTGTTAGACACTTCGGCCAATGCACCCCCCCAGCAGCTGCATGGGCACCCTGCGCCTCTCCGACGCCCCCTCAACCAGTTGATTGGACGTCGCGCTGTTTGTCGGATGGCCATCCGGTGGTCTCGGTGCTTCTATTGGTATTCCGGCAAAACTGACGCAAACGGAGCTGTTCCCGTGGGCGGGGGCTTTGAGCAGACACGTCTTGATGGAATGAGGGGAAAGATACAGACTTTTTCTCTTCTTCTTCCTCCCCATTTTCCACCTTAACACTGAAGATTTGAGTTTTAAACAGGAATAAATGTTAAGTTTCTCAAGAGCAAGGTAGTAAAACCCCCTCCAGGGGCGTATTCGTTTGACACAAAATGCAAGGGGGCCTATGCCAGCCCCCAGGAAGAAGAAAAAAAGAAAAAAAAGAAAAAAAAGAGTACATAAATACCACTCATTTCCTTAACCAGACGCCCAAACATGAGGGGATATCTATGACCGCATGACCTGCTAAATGCTGAAAAAAAAAAAAGAGAAGCTCAAAGATGCTCCGTACCCCGATTGCTGATCGCCTTAAACACTATCCCTTTTAACGCTGATCACGACGACAAGAATTAGCAGTGTGATGATAATCTACGTGCGGACCGTCAGCGCCATCGGTAATAAGTATGTACTTTTGGTATGGGGTGTGTAGGGAAACATACCGCTGTCGCAAAGATGGCTGCCATCATCACCTCCCATCCACCGGCATGTATCTTCCCCCGTGACAGCGCATTCTGCTGTCGTAGAAAGCGATGTGCGCCGAACAGCGCCATGAGAATCGCGAACCCTTGGCAGGTGCAGGCCAGAGGTACGCCAACTGTGTAGAACCCGAACGTGGGATGGTGGATATGCGAGTGCTGTAGACGGAAGAGTTGAGCTATCAGGACGCCAAGGAGAGAGAAGGCGACCGATGTTCTCATATGCGCCAGGTAGGTCCGTTCAAGCGCTGTTGATAGATGGATTAGCGTCGTTCAGAGTGTTTTACAATTTGGGTCGTCCATTGGAGAAAATAGGGGGGTGGGGGACACATCATGACAGGTTGTGCTGCTCGCAAGGATGTATATATATATGTACATAGCGACAATCCAGGTAGAGAAAGCATTGCAGAGTAGTACCAATTAGAAAATTTGGTGTGCGGGTTGAAAAAAAGTATTGTGATGCCATCCCAACAAGTTCAAAACCAGAGACTCCCATAAAAATGAGGATGGGGAACCTAAAAAAAAAAAAAAAAAAAAAAAAAAAAAAGGAAAAGGAATGAAAAGGGCAGAAACTCACCGTAATGATCCCGATTCTGGTTTTGAGAAACGGACAGGACGACATTGCGTCTCCAGAACTTTATGATATGCTTAAACCTGCCGGTGGGCTCACGGCTGCTCCTGGTCAGTTGGCTACTCCGCGTCGAGCGGCGCGTTACAATCCTGATCGAGCCCGAAGAGATGGTGGACGGCGACGAGTCTCTCCTGGTGTGCGTTGAGATCTCGTGCAGTTCCGACAGCTCGTGCGCATCCTGCAAGTCCGGCGTCAGAGTCCCCGTGGTGGTGGTGGTGGTGGCCGTCGTCGAGGGTCGTTCAGGGCTAGAGACACGAGATCTCGCTCTGAGCGATGAAGACGCGATGACGGCAGGCTCCGGATGCCGCAGATCCTTTGCAGCATGGCTGGCAGCAGGTTCTTCCATGGGTGTGTGTCCAGCTCATCTCATGCTGGTGACCAGCAGCGGTAGGGGAAAAAAAAAAAAAGGAGCTTGCTTCTATTCTTTCTTTTCAGAAGAAAGCGTGGGTAAAGCAGGAGTGGCGAGGCCAGGAGGAAGTTACTATTATTTCAGTTTATAAAAATATAACACGCTGATGCATGATTTATGTCGATAGCTCCCATGAAACCCGCCTGGGCGTCTCGCGATCGACGACGAGTTACGTACATGTGTTCCACGCTGCGCGAAGGACGGTGACGACGGTGACGACGGTGAGTCGGACGGTGACAGCTTTTTTATTGATCCAGGAGATAATTTGGTAGCAAACTTTTTGGCGCGAGCTTCGCCGTTCTCCATCGTGCCGCTCTAGCAAACTATTTTTTCCCACCTTTATCCGGCTTCTGGAGGTTTCGTTCGTTAGTCCCATACTTTTCTGGGTGAACCATGGATCTAGACCGTTCAGCCGGCGCAAAGGCAAAAAAGCAGCGTTTCGACGGGCAATTGGGCGAAACCACATCATTGCGACGGCTGCTCCGGAGAAACACGATCTCAAGCCAAAGAGAAGACGCAGTTTCTGCTCTCTCTCTCTCTTTTCTGGCGAATTGCTCTCCTTCCCGTGCTGTCAGTCTGGCTGGTGGCCCAAAGACACAACATTTTTTTTTTTTTTTTTTTTTTTTTTTTTTTGCCAGGAAAAAAGAAATCTTGCGGAAGTTTAGATTGGCCTTGGCAAGAAGCTTGGCCTGACGGGGATCATCGACGGGGATTCTTTTTGCAGCTGGCGCCTCGGGGAATATTCTCTTTTTCTCCCTCTCACCTGCTACAGGATGGAGTAATAATAGCTGCACATCCCTGCTTTCACAATACCAGCAAGGAATCCGTCAAGGAAGAGAATTCTCCACACAAAGAGGCCCAAAACCTGGAAATATGCATTCCTCCTCCTCCGTCCACCATCAGGGTTTTCCTCTTTTTCTCCGCACGCGAAAGAGAACTGCGTCCATCGTGTTCGCTGCCCGGCCCTCCAGGGGGTTTCGTTCTCGGTGTCGCCAGCCCAATCGCCAACGACGACGATCGCCATCTTTCGGGTCCCTCTTGCCGGGACACGCCCCACCGTTTCAACCGTCCCATCGGATGTCGCAGGGAGAAGTCTCACAGTAGGGGATACCTTTTCTGTTCTCATCGCCTCGGGAGGCTCTGTGCCACTTCATTCATCCTGTTCCTTGGGGAAGTATTTTTTTTTTTTTTTCCCCTTTCTTTTTTATTAAAAAAGTACATGCATGCAAGAAAACGGGACTGTCTCTTCCTTTCTGATAATAGTCTCAGAGTGCATGCTAATATCTTCACTCCCACCGTTCCAGAAGATTCTCTTTTCTTCTTTTGCCTCAACAGGGCATTCTTTAATCGGCATATGATTCCGGATGAAGGGTGAGATGGTAGGTATCGACGAGAGATTGGACCTCGTACTCTGTATCAGCCCACCGATCTTGGGGGAACCCAGGTGGCTTCTCGCCGAGAAACGAGGCTGATCTGGACCTTCGATCGATGCGCTTACAGCCATTATCCTTTTTCTTTTCTTTTCTTTTCTTTTCTTTTCTTTTCTTTTCTTTTCTTTTCTTTTCTTTTCTTTTCCTTTGATTTTTCATTTGTTCTATTTTCGCCTCCTCGTGAACTCTGAAAAGATCGAGCCACGGTCCATAGACCTGAAGATGTTGCTCTAGCCCACCTGATTTTTCCTCACGTCTGCTACGCATGCAGCCTGACACTTCCGATGAAATAGTTTTGACAAATTGTTTTCGGTCTGTGGAGAGCCAATCGAGCTTCCTCGTCACTGCTGCTATACATTGTGGCACCTTATGCTCGCCTCTTTACCAGCATATCGTCCTCATTGGCGGCTGGCTGACTGGAGGAAGTTGCGTTTTCCAGATTCTGGAAGACTGCTCATCTGCCAGCCTGCAAATCATGCCAGGAAAGGAGGTCTGAACCCTCCGTCGGTACCGGATCTCTGGCGGACCTCATCGCTGCAAGGGATGAAACAGGTCCTACAGTTTACATACGTGCCACGTCCACACCGAGTCTTACTTCCTCTAAGGGAAAACATGATATTGCATGTTAATCACTACTCCGTACACAAACAAGAAGAAGAAAAGAAAGAGAAAGAAATCTCGAGAAGAAGAAAAGCCAATTTCAAGAAAGTCATTCCGAATATGTGCGGAAATACAAGTTGGGGTATCTTAATACAGTACAACATAAAAAGGGGGACAAAGAAGGAGAAGAAAAGTAAGGTAAAGTAAAAACATACATCAAAATGGGGGAAATGGAGAGAGTAAGTGTGAGTGAACAAAGGGGCCAAACAAAATTCATGCTATGATGCTGGCATAAAGTGGTGTCTGCCTTCACACCGGTAGCCTCCAGGAACCGCATTCCAGGCATATCCTGCTTCACATCGACCAGGGTGAGAGGAGACCCTCGTTTCCTGCTTTTCACGCTTCCTGCCTCTCTTCAAAAGCCTAGATAACCAGCGGCGTGCTCTAAGAACCAGGGTGTGGGTACCTGAATTTGTCTTCGTGTTGATTTTGGTCACACCAGTCTGTAATTGAACCTGGGTAGCCCGTCTTTTTCTTTGCTCCCATGTCGCTTCCACGGGAACCTGGTGCTCAGAGAGGCTCGCCTGATGTTCCAATTCCTCACTGTTGTGAAGGGACTGCGGCCTGGAAGAGGGCTCCTGTTTCTCGTGTTGCTCCACTTTTGGGGATTGTTGGCGCTGGAGAGCCCGGGGGATTGACACATGGGTCTCATCGCTGGATTGGGCGTCAGTATCGTTTGTGTGTTGGCTTCGGCGCTGGTTCGGGACTGGTTCGTCGTCGCGCTCTCGCTGCTTCGATTTGGATAGGCCTGGCTGGTGTTCGCGGTCCGGCTTGTGTTGCGTGTTGACGTTGACGTCGACATCGCAGGCTGTATCTCCTCCTGGAGTGCAGATCGCAGGATCGATCCTCGGTGGCGGCGGGGAAGCCTGAGTCTCTTCGAGTGTTGCTGGCTCCGGGTCGTTGTTCGCGTGGGGAGGTGAAATCGGGAGGGCGGTATTCCCATCGTCTCCAAGCTTCTTACATCGGTTTGTGCTCAGGGTGATCATATCCATGATGCAGGCCTCGACATGATCAGCTGAAAGAGTCCGGTCAGACGTTGTGTTATCAGCGGCGGATTCCAGGAAATTGCCCAATATTTGTGTCGCCAAATATTTCACGTCACGCGCGTTGCTCCAGCCGGGCAACGCTATCAAAGCTTTGAACAGTTTTCGCACATTGGAATGGCCTCTACTTTCACGAACTCGTAGGAAGTCCGATTCGGTAGTGATCCGATTGGCGTCCAGCTCTCGGAGAAGAATAGCCACGCAATCTTCAGGCGACAGCTCGTCGAACGCGATCTCCTCTTTAAATAGGCCAGAGAGGTCAGGACGATTGGACATCAGATTGCGTATGTCAGACTGGTACCCAGCGAGGATGACCACCATCTTTCCCGCATTCTCCTGCTGAGTGAGAAACCCAACCAGCTCATCAACCGCTTCCGCTGCGAACTGGCCCGAAGCCAGGCGGTGAACTTCGTCGATGAAGAGGACTTTGCCGCTGGCCAACTCGAGCAGTTTGCGGGTTTTAGGGGAGGTTTGTCCAACGTACTGGCCGATCAGGTCGCTCGCCGAGTGCTCGACAACTTCAGGGGCGGAGAGGAGCCCCATGTTGTAAAAGATACGGCCCATTTGACAAGCTGCGGTCGATTTACCGGTTCCTATTACAATATTGAGTCAGCCACAGCGTTCTCAAATTCCATCGCGGTTGGATATCGGTATACATACCGGCGGGCCCTGCGAAGACGAAGTTCGTAGGCACTAGGTCACGAGGCCTAAAGCCGTATTTCCGCGCACCAAGGCATCGCTTTTGATAATTTACAAACTTGTCAATTATGTTCTGGTGCACTTTTCCCGACAGCAAACGCTGACAATCTGTTGCTCCCCTCGAAATTCGATCCCAATCTGGGTCGAAATCTTGAGGCTGCAGATCATCATCGCAGGCCTGTTCATGAAGCGGCTTGGCCGACTGCCTCTGCTCGAAATTCATCTGAGCAGCAGCCAGACAGTTGTCGACATCTCCGGCGTTGCCAAAGTTTGGACGCATAAGAGCCCGCTCTAACACGTCTCGAGCGACTTCCCACGCTTCCGGTGTACAGGACAGATCCTTCTGCTCCATTTTTAGCTGCATAACTTGCAGCAGCTGGTTGATCGTGAAGTTTTGGAATCGAAATGGACGGTCAACACGAAAGCGTCGAGAGAGGCCTGGATTTGCGTTGTGGAACATATTGCGGATGCGATCCTCGTATCCTACGAAGATGATACAGCGATCTTCACCTGGAACCCCCTGGATGATGGAGACTAAAGTGTCGAGGACACCAGTCTTGAACTTGTCTTGCTCCTTGTTGGGATCACCAGGGTCCAACATGTACGCCTCGTCGATAACTAACACCCTCCCTACGGTGGCCTCGAGAATCTTTCTCGTTTTGGCTTCTGACTTTCCCAAGCATTCTCCGATAAAATCGGCTGGGTTCTTCACGATCACTGAGGCAGCAGGGTTAGACTGATAACGGTTGACGGTTAGAGGGCTGTTATGGAGACTTACAATCGCCTCGGGTGAGAAGGCCCAGGTCGTTCAGGATTTGCCCATAGAGTTTTGCAACGGTAGTTTTGCCTGTTCCAGGAGGTCCCAGGAAGAGCTGATTCAAAGGAAGCTGGAACGGCTTGATCTCTTTCAATTCTCTGCGGTAATTCTTCTGGATCATTCCCATCATTGTTCGCACATTCTTCTTGACGGTGTCTAAGCCGATAAGCTTTTGGAGTTCGTTCCATGCGTGGCTGCTCTGGAGGACATCGGAAGGGTCGGGCCCAATCACGTCTTCCTGCGTGAAAAAGTTGCAATCAGGCTCCTTCCCCTGAACTCTCAGCTTTTGAAGCCGCCTGGCCTGTCGAGACGATATCTGACCGATGAGATTCTCCACTGCTCTCGCATTTCCGAATCCTCTGTTGCCCCGAGACTGGGCGAGACGGCGGACGGCGATACGCATAGGTTTCCCATCCATCCCGCCGTCGACTCTCATATTTCCTCGGTATCCGACGTGGATGTTGTCGTAGAGAATCTCCCAGAGCTCGGCATCGGTGAAATCGGCAAAGTGCATAGTCCATGGGATTCGACTGGTAAGGCCTGGGTTGTGCTCAAAGAATGACTCCATCTCCTCTTTGTAACCTACAAATACCACCACCAGTTTGCCAATGTTGTCTTCCATAGCTTTTAGGAGAAAGTCCAGTGCTTGTTTTCCAAGAGCTTCAATGTACGCTGCAGTGAGCTGGTATGCCTCGTCTATGAACAAGACCCCCCCGTTGTGATTGAGTATGTCTTCAACTTCGTCCTGGGCTCCCTCTGCCCCTTTTACAGCGAGAGCAATTCCAGCTGTCTCTTTGAAATAACTTGAATTTATCACCCCAACGGAGTGCAAGAACTCGGCATACAGTCGTGCGAAGGTTGTTTTGCCTAGCATCGTGTCAGTGATGCGCTTCACCGAAACAAGGTAGGGGGAATCTATACCAGTTCCCGGATTTCCTTGGAAAACGACATTGAAACGCTCCCTATTCAAGCTACGTCCTTGGCTCTCACAAATGTCGACCTTGGACTTGATGTCCAAAAATTGCTGCTTGACCTCCTCCAACCCCTGGTAGCGCATCAGCCTATCTATCACCTCGTTTACTTCACCTCGGGCTGCTTTCCTTTTCTCCCATTCTTCAGCGGCTGGTGAAGGGCAGAATTGGAAAGGATTCTTGCAATAAGGCCGCGGCGGGACTGGTTCTTCAGGCTCGGACACCTCAGAGTCGGTGTCCCCTTCATCTGAATGCCCGCTGTGTGAGATTTCTGGGGGTGACTCGTCTGGGCTTGTATGAGCGTTCACCCCTAGAGCAAAAGGAGAAGACGAGGTGGCCTTGGAGAGCGAGAAGGTAATGTTGATCGAATTTCCATTAGGTCTTTGTATGGATTCGATATCCAATCGCGGTGTCTCGACTGGCTTCGATGTGTCTTCTATATCCTCTCTGCATGCATCATCGGAGAGACTGGAAGGGGCTGTGGAAACGGAGCTAGCAGAAGTGCTCGGTCGAGAGCTGGAAGTGGATGTGAAAGCAGGGTCGGGTGGCACTAGAAAGCCTGGAGGGTATTCTCGATCTGATATGTGAGGCATGACTGAGCGATGAGATCTGGTCGCGAGCGAAATTTCTTGTGAGTAGTATGCGGTAGGGGGTTAATATAGCTCTGAGCTCCTTTTCTAACTTTTTTTTTTTTTTTTTTTTCTTTTTTGTTCCCCTTTTCACTTTATCCTACTTTCTCTCGGGCAGTGCTCTTCATCGTCTTCAGCAATTTCTCGCCTTGAGGCTGGATTGGACAAGCTATGAATTTGCCACTTCGCCAAATTGGCCTCTTTTAGTATTACTTTGCTTGGGCGATGAAGATCACCGCCCAAGCCCCCTGAGTTTGCAGCAAAGCGGTGAGGGTCTCCAGCGTGGAGCAGCGTTTCCACTGCCACTGGGAATTAGGTACAGCCAGCAACTGTGCTTCAGAAGGACATGATTAGCCGCTATTCAAGTCGATGCGGGTGGAAGAGGGCAAAATGGGGCAGTATCGCGGGAGGTGATGTGTCGAAGCCTGGTACGGTGGAGTTAAAACTCATACAGATGAGGACTGCCCTTTAGCCATATCAATGTACGCGGAAAGGCTCTTAAGGGTTTATTCGTTTCACCTTCGATAGACTGCCTATCTCCTTCATGGCCATTCCTGTGGATCTCGTCGAACGAATGTGCGGCTCTGGCAACGGATAGCAACGAAACATAGCCATTTCGGGCGTTGGCTGTCTGCTTCGCCCCGAGTATAGACCGTGCGACACCTTGTTAGAGATAGCCAATCTCGTCAACAAGCCGTTTGGCACGGAATGGCCGAAAATTTGGGAGAGAAAGAGGCCCAATAGCGACCAGGGGTATATTGCTCATTTTCGCAAGGCGAACGAGAGTGGCTCGCCTTGAAGTCGCTGTCCAAGCCGATTCGCCCACGATCCCTGCTGGTATAACTAAACAAAAGCGCAGCGAGAAACAGCGTCGCGAGTATGACTGGACAATTTGGGTTGGCAACCCAACAGGTCCTGCATGACTTCGGGCACATAGATCCATACTTTCTCAGCCTCCGATACCGTACCGTTGGTCGCGATCGAACGGGATGGAGTATGGAGTAGTTAAATAAAGCGGAGAATTCTCCGCGCAACCCTTATAGTCCAACCAAACCTGCCCACCAGCTACCTATTTCAACGTTCACAATGAGCGATACTGCCGATTGGCTGTCAGCTGTGTCCTCTTTGACGGCAACCGCGATTGCAGTTGCGACCCTTTTTACCGTCTACATCGCCGCGGTGCAGCTCGCGTCCCAGAACCGAAGGTATCGGCTAGGCTTGTCCTGGCGCTCTCTGGGCCGATGGCAGGATAAAGTTGCCCAGTCGTCCTTTCTCGGGCTACAAAGGAGAGTCTATACACCCAGCGTCTCCGTGCCCTCACTTGTTCAGAATCGCGTCGTGCCATGCTTCACGTTTCCCAGAGGGATCCCCAAGGAGCCCGATCCCGATATCGAGAGCGCCAGCGGGCTGGTTCCGGCCGGTGCGAGTTGGGTAGGGTTAATGGAAGCACTCAGTCTGCGCCCTGATGATGATTTCCTTGAAATGCAGGATGCATCGGATTTGGTGAATGGAATCGTTGCTATGCACTGGAAAGGAAAGGACTTTGTCGCGGTTTGCTCCATGCTAGGCTTCCAATCTTACGAGAACCACCCAAGCTTCAGCTCACCTATGCCTCTCCCGATGCTTTGGCATGGACCACTGGGCTGGATGCAACTCCAGCCCAGTCCCCAGGGTTGCATCGCTCAATTTAGAAGCAGAGCAACACTATTTGAGCAAATCTCGGACGACCTTCATCGCTACTGGCGAAAGGAAACTTTCAGCTTGCCCAGTTCACCGTTTTTACTCCAAGCTCGACTTTGGGCCTCAATCGGGGGGCTTCTCCTACCGGATGGTAAAGCTCTCTACCTTGGAGGCGCAGATTTCCACAAACGACCCGTGGATATTGATGACGACCATGAATTCAGTCCTGCCGAGCTCCATCAATACCTGACCTCCGCAGATCTCTCCCCGGATGAACTAAGACGAGTCCTTCTAGGCAAGCAAGAAAATCGCGGCAGGGAGCTCCGTCGCGAGATCGAACGTTCAAAAGCGCCGTCAGCTCAGCGAGTCAGGGACGAACCAATTCCCGACTCGCGCACTGAGGCTTTGGAAAGTGGAGAACGCTCTTTTGAAGGCAAACAACAGGTGTTACGCCCTTGTCCCGGTTTGTTATCTGTTTGTGTACAGGGGGAAATTGCCTACAGTCGTGGCCTCGACATCAGAGATTGTCACGAATTCGACCGCAAGTTCGCCAGCACTGAGGATGTGGATCGTGCTCGATTCCCGTACAGTCTTGGGAAATTGCAGATGGATCGGGATACGCTGATGCTGATGAAGAGCGCTTTTCTTTACCTTGGACCTGATGGGTTCTACTTTGCTCCCTCATATCTTCTTTGCAGCGATGTGCGGGAAGTATATCGACACATTGAGGAGCAGTCAAATAAGTTGAAACGAATCTTCCCTATCACGAGCACTACCGCAACATCGGACCGAGATTATCTTTACCACGCCATGAAACTTTGCAACGATCTGCAACAAACCCGCAAAATGGCTAGAGCAACATACTCCGTTGAAGATATGCGACTACTGGCAAAGGCGTCGAACAATATTGCTCCGTTTATTTCCCCAGACAAAGCCGGGCACGGGAAAGACCCCACACCGGCCAAACCCGAAGATCTCATATGGGCCATGCTTGTCTGCCCAGAGCTTTCTTCCAACATAAGAGAATCACTCACGGAGATGAATCTACAAGCATTCTTGGATGCCAAGGTGGAGTGTGAGGATGGAGTTTTGACCTTACCGGACCTGAGCGGCTTAAGGCAAATGGGTACGAAATATAAAGTACCTCTGGTAGCTAATGGTGACTTCACGGGACAACAATTACTTGCCGCACTCATCGATATCTTCATCCGATACTTCTGGATTGACAAAGCATGGCCTACCGATGTGGCCGCTTACGACATGACCATGCCACAAACTGTGGCCATGTGCTGAACTATTCCATTTTCATTTGGATGCTATTATTAGTCTTGTAAGCCCCTGAGCGAGACTTTGTTTGGCGTCATGGGATTTGTACAATATTTTATGTTCTTTCTCTGGTAACGTTGCTACGCTTGGGATTTATATTTTCATTTCATGATGGGCTCAGGGGGTGGGACTTGCAAAGTGACTGTTTATGGCAAGATAGAGATCTGTATATGAGCAATTCGTGCTTCTCCACGCGGCTGTTCACCTTTCGCTTTTTACGAAATGTTTCCACATTTTCTTTTTTGATAGAGATTGACCTCTGCATCCAATCCCTCGAGTGACCGTGTATAAGCGTCGGCCACGCTCTCAGCGGTTCAAGTGGTCCGATATCGGCTTACTTCCCCGCCTCGCATCAGGGAATATCACGAGTTAAAGCCCTCCTCACTGTCTTCGCTAATCAAGAGCAAAATGGAAAAGATCATTAAAAGGGCATAGAGTTCCTGTCATCGGTGTTCGCACTTTTTTATCACCCTTTGCTTTCAGAGCTAGAAGCACGATCCCGAGCGGAGCGGACGCCAAGACCCCACCCGGCGGAAACCGCAGACCCCGTACGAAAGTACACCAGAATGGTAGCTCTCACACAACTGAGCGGAGCGGAAACTGATCACTGGTCCGCCGAGGTAACACCTTTCCTTACGCCGGGTTCCATCGTTCCCAAAAAAAAAAAAAAAGAAAATAATAATAATCATACGCTGATCGTAAAATGGTTTCAAAATCTAGGCTTACCATACCTCCGCGTCTTTCGTCCCCCTTTTGACCCAGAAGGTCTTGGCTTACATTGATCCCCATTCAACGGATCAGGTATTGGATATTGGCTGTGGCGATGGCAAATTCACGGCGAAATATATGGACCGAGTGAGCCATGTGTTGGGCTTAGACGCTTCAAAGGGGATGATCGAAGCAGCGAAGAGCGATTTTGGGCAGGCTAATGCCGAATTCAGGGTGGTTGACTGTAGATATTTGGATAAAGAGTTGCAGGAAGGAAGGGTTGGAGTGGCCCGGTGGGACAAGGTGTGAGTGTCAATCATCATTCCCCCGTTGTGTGAAACTACATGAGTCTACTTTGTACGTGCGGCGAGGAGTTTTGACACTGTAGGCAGGGTATCCAACGCCGCCCTGCACTGGATCCTAAAAGACCCAACAACCCGTGTTTCAGTGCTGAGAGCAATATACACGTGCCTCAAGCCAGGCGGCTTGTTCGTTTTTGAAATGGGCGGCCACGGAAACGTCCCTGAAGTCCATAGTGCTCTAATAGCCGCTCTTGTCCACCATGGCGTGTCCTTCAGTGCAGCTCGCGAGGGGATTCCGTGGTTCTTCGCATCGGAGCCATGGATGAGAGAGACGCTGGAAGAGATTGGTTTCAGAGTAGACAAGTTGGAAGTTGAGTATCGACCCACGAAATTAACGACGGATGAGAAGGGCGGCATGCAGGGCTGGTTAAGACTGATGGGTGCTTCAGCCTTAGAAATGCTAGATGAAGAGAAGAGGGAAAGGGTAGTTAAGGAGGTATGTGAGACTTTGGAATCGGTGATTACGAGGGAAGATGGGAGTCAATGGCTCGGGTATGTAAGGTTAAGAGGAGTGGCAGTAAAAAGCGAACAGTAATGCCAGCAGTACTACTATAAGGACAATAGACCGCGGGTTCAATCATATTTAGTGAATATCTATTTCGCCCAAGTTGGATTTGGGCAACTTGAATGTTCTCTCATTCTTAGTCCGCCCTCCGTAGGCTCCTAGGACTTGGGGCAGGTCTGACAATGGAGACAAAACAGCCCAGGTGAGACGACACCCCATCCACACAGAAAGCCGTATCCCCAGCTCCCGTTGGCAAAACCTTGACTTTCGTCCAGCCAGCACAGTGCACGTACTATTACGCACGCGCCGTATTGGAAGGACGAGATCAAAGGCGTTCCCGCGGAAAGGGAATATGGATTGCTACGCGGACAAGGCCTCGTTTAGCCCTGCTGTTTTATCAATTTTGCGCTTTCCTTGGGGATGGAACCCCAAGGGACTTGTGATCTTCCAACCATGGGGATGCGAGGCTGGAAGACGTATTCAATTCTGTTCTTGAGCAGCGCGCGGGATGTCTTACGTGATCGAAACCTAGCAAAGTTAGATCCAGCGGGGACACAGGTACAGCAAAGCTTTGAAACCGAATGGAATACTCAGAAAGTGGCGAAAAGGAAAGGCGGAACATTCTGAGGTGGGATATTGTGTATAAATACATGTCTATATTCAAAAGAGACAATACACCCAAAAAAAGAAAAAAGACAAGAAAAGAAATCTTAAATAGCGCCGAAACAATGCAGGGGTAATAGTATACATTAGCAAGTGCAGTAATAACAGTGTAAGATCGCACAGTGGAATGCATGTGAGGAAAATCGGGATTCTTTATGCATCCACTGAGGCAGTATCTTGGGCCAGGGCGGCTGATTCCGCGTCGTTGCCCATGGACATATTTCTCACGTCCCACCCATCGAGGTTGGATGCATTATCCTTATTTCCAAGTAAGCAGAATACACGCTCAGTCCCTTCAATGAGGTACTTCTGAGCAACTCTGTTCACATCTTGAGCAGTGACATCCAAGACCTGCTCTCGCCAGCGCTGGTCCATGTCCTGAGTAACTCCCGTCAGGAAATAGCGCTGTCCTTCCTCATCAACGCTCATAGGAGCATCCAGAGATTGGAAGATCCCAAGCTTGGCCTCGTCTAATTCTCTTTGTATCCAGGTGCGATCACGTGCAAAAACACCACTGTTGTTGAAAACCTTGAAAGTGTTCATCGGGTTCGGATCCCGATAGCTGGAGAAGCTGAAAAGACCTTGGATGGGGCCATTAGAAGCTCCGGCACCGTAAGCGCCGCCCTTTTCTCGAATTTCAGGGTGAAGATATTTGTGCGTTAAGAGCTGCGATAGAACGCTCAACGGAGCGCTATCAGGGCCAGTAAACGGGGTGGTCCGGAGTGCAAGGCCAGAGTACGATACCTGGAATGGAAGATCGTAAAGGATCTTGCTTGACGAAGGACTGAAGCTAGTTGCACCGCTGGTGGTGGGTGGAGCGATGGCCTTGGGGAGTCGGCTTAGCCAGCGTTGTAGAATAGCTTCGTTCTCGCCCGAACTACCTGACTCGCAAACAACGCGGATACGGAGTTTAGGAGATTTGGAAATGGCGAAAGATTGAATTAAACGTAGCTTCTCGATGAGTTGCCGAAGTTTCTCCGGGGAATTTTCGGCGTCGCGGAGGAGGTCGGCGACAGCTTGGATCTGAGACAGTCCAGCTTTCTGCTCCTGCACCCAGAAATTTTTGGATAGACCTGCTGCTGCGGCATTGACTGCAAAGCGGTGACCTGAACCTGCAACTGCATCTAGGGCGCCGTTGGTATTGGAGCGAAGCAGCTCCTGAACCATCTTTGGTGCAGCTTCACTCGAGAAATCGGCCTCAGTGACAAGTGTTGTGATGATTTCAAGCATGTCAGGCACGTTTTTATCCATGGCATAGCCTGTGAATTGTAGGCCTTCTGTAAAATTGCCTAGGACCAACGGCGATGAGACAGAGAAGGTCGAAGAGGAAACACCGCCAGTCTTCAGCTTGATCAAGTCTTCCCATTGCTCCATAGTCCTTTGAGCAGTCCCAAGACGCATTACTGCCTCGTTGAATAGCGGTAACAACAATCTCAATTCGTCCGGAATGTCAGAATATACGTTCAACGCTTGGATATAAGAGAGACCATTGGTAGGTGCTTCTCGCCAAACCACCTCAACATCATCAATCTTCGATTCTCTCACCGGTTTCCGCTCCATCTCCCTTGGAATGTCTTTGATATGAAGAGTTGGCAAACAGCTGACGTCGGCATTTTGAGCTGATTCCTGAACCTTCAGTAACTCAAGCTCCTCCTTCTTGAGTTGCTCGATGGCCGCGTCCGCCGAACCGAATTTAGCGGCTAACTCGGCCATCTTTGCTTCTTTGCGAGCCATCTCCTTCTCGGCTAATGCCTGGTTGTACGTTGGAGAACCGTTCATTGTAAACGTCAAGCATTCATCGTTCATGAAGTACTTTTTCATCAAGTTTTCCAAGTATCCCGTCTTTCCCCAGCGTTTTTCAAACTCACTGATGATGTCGTTCCACGCGAGCTCTCTGGTGGGATTGAATCCGTTGAACCACGCGGAAAGTGTCTTCTCCATAACTCCCAGCCCAAAGTTGGCGGTTTTATGTCTCAACGCAAGCTCCAACTGATGTAGATAGCCCGAGACTTTCTCCCTGTTCAAGCCGGTTTCCATGCATTCTTTGAATACCTGTTCAACCCGCTGTTTGACGGCCGGGACATCGCTCTCCGACACCCCATTAAGCCCAACAGAAAAGATGGGTATCCTGCCGGAAGTGTCAAGACCGGTATTGGGCGTGAAGGATGAGCCAAGCCCGCTTTCAATCAATGCCCTGTACATCGGGGAGCCATATCCATCCAGGAGCAGGGAGGAAAGAATCCCGAGGGAGAAGACTTCGACTTCGTCTGTGGAATCGCCTGCACGCCAGGAGACTGAAGATTTGCATTGCTTGTCTTCGCTTGTAAACGGATCCATGGGTCCCTCGACAGTGAAGTTCAGAGGTCCGGCACTTAAATCCCTGGGAAGCTTGACGTCTAGTTTCGAAGACTTCTTCTGGAAGCCATCCAAGATGGCTCCTATCTGTTTTAAATGGTCGGCAAGAGGCATATCTCCATAAGTGAATACTTTCGCATTACTGGGATGGTAATTCTGTTTGGAGAAGCTGACGAGTTGCTTGTGAGTCAGGTCAGTGATGTATTCTGGATCGCCACCAGAGTTGTTTATAGCCGGGAAGATATGCTCCTTGAATTTGATATAATAGAGATAGTTTGCGTCCGTGATCTGTCCCTTCATTTCATTGTAGACCACACCTTTGAAGACTATATCGTCACCGGGAGCAGCCTCATCCGGGCTCTTTCCAGACTGTTCTGCAGCTCTGGGGTTCTCGGGGCCCAATCGCCACCCTTCCTGCCTGAAGTCTTCTTCCTTGAGGAGCGGATGGAGGGTAGCATCGAGGTACACCGAAAGGAGATTTTGAAAGTCTTTCTTGTTGGTGGTGGCAAAAGGATAAGTGGTATGGTCGGAGGACGTGAACGCGTTCATGAAATTGGAAAGAGAGCGAGGGAGCATTTTGAAAAAGGGGTCGCGGACGGGATATCTGCTCAGAATTGTAAGTTATATCCGCGCCGGGGGATGGTGGCCCAGAGTAGGGATCACGAATGCAGAAAACTGACTTTTCACTCCCGCAGAGGGTGGTGTGCTCGAGTATGTGAGGCACACCAGTTGCATCTGGCGGATTCGTCTTGAACCCGACGCCGAATACGTTATTCTTGTCATCTCTTGCGACATGCAGGTAATCAGCATCGGTATTGTCATGCTTTAGTCGAACTGCAGTTAGATGGAGCTCTGGGACATGCTTCTTCTCTTGGACGGTGAATCCATGGAGCTTCTCTCCAATAGAAGGGTAAGCGTTCAGATCGGTCACCGTAGACGCTGCTCTGAGGCCCTGGAGAGCAGGAAATCGCCGGAGATTGGTCGTGTTTCGAAAACCCAGGCTGAGGGACGTCGAGGTCCCATGCCTCAGTGCCCGACTCGAGGATCGAAGCATGGCCAAACCTTTGTGGAGTTGCTGTGTCTCTCGAACGACTTGATGCCTGCAGCGATATCCTGGCCACCACGCGGCCAGGCAGAAAACCCCTGATTCAGCTCCAGTCCAATCTCGCTGGCTGGACGGCAGAGAGCTGTGGGCAGGCTTTGAGATATTTAAAGACCAGTTTTTCTTCCCTGAAGCTGTGTGTTGAAATGCTGGGTTTTTGATGTGAGAAAAGTGAGGCCAAGCAAATTGCTGGTGAGAAACGGCGCTAGTTGGCGTGCCGCAGCCAATAAGCGCAGGCTCCCCTCTTGCTTTCTCTTCGCCGAACTCTCTTGTGTGTGTGTCTCTCTCTCTTCTCTCTTCTCTTCCTCACTAACTCTGCTCCCAGCTTTTGCTTCAAGAGGGCACACACATTGCCGCCCCCCCCTGTGGTTCTCCTGGTGCTACTGCCGCCCTTCACACTCCAACACAAAGGGGCTTCAGACCTGTCGGACTGTCTTCTCTTCCATCTCAACTTCCACCGCAGCTGTTTTTCCGAAGTCGTGGTCCTATTTGTCAACCTTTACATCTTCTTGGTACCGGGAAAACTCTGTATGACGGCCGACTTGGCTAAACGAATTTAAGGGCTCTTGAAACTATCGCAGAGCGTTTTTGGAATTGGCTTCGAGGAAGCGTTAACATCTATTTTATCGACGTCGCTCTCAGCCACGACTGGGTGATCTGGGTCGCTTGCGGCCGAGTAATGGCAGCAGTTTCTACGCACACCCATCCGACCATCAGCCACTCCAACACGTCGTCTCCTCCGATTCCTGCCAGCGCAGCTTTCTCAGACACACGCCCCGTGTCCGCAAAACCGTCAGCAATGGCTCCAAGCGGCATGAGCAAAAAGGCCAAGGGAAAGAAACCGGCCGATCCTACCGAGACGTCAAAGTTGTTGGCTGCCAAAATCTCACAGCTCGAACAAGATGCCGCTGGAGAAAAGGACCAAGAGGCCGAGATCGGTACGTGACTTCTGCCTGTCGTGTAAAATACTATACGGGTTTAAGAAGAGGGTCCCCCCTCGTCGACTCGCCCGGGTAAGAGTGAAGCTGTCGGTGAATACTGACATTTTTTTTCTTTCTTTTTTTTTTTTTTGGAACGCAGAACGTGAGGTCAAGAAGGCCACCCGAGACCTCAACCAGCTTTTGAATACTATCGAATCCCCGATGACGCGCCTCGAGACGGTACACAAGAAGTATACCGAACTTCTGGCCGACATGAAGAAACTGGACCGGGACTACGCCAAGAGCAAGAAGCGGGCCGACCAGCTGCAGAAGGATCAGGACAAGGGCAAGTCGGAGCTGAACAAGACGGCGACCATGAAGGACAAGTTGGAGAAACTCTGTCGAGAACTGACAAAAGAAAACAAAAAAGTAAAAGTGGGTTTATCATCTACGGACCTTATTGCGATGAATTTTTCCAGCAACAGAGCATGTCTGATCGGTGAACGAATGGCTACAGGATGAAAATAAGAGACTCGAGGACACGGAACGAAGAGCTCGCGGGATCGTGAACGAACGACTTGACTCCCTACTGTTCGATATCCAAGATGTCATGGCACAAAAGGGCAACCCCAGGGTGGAAAAGATGGATATCGACCTGGACGAGGCGTAAGTTGTGTACTTCCAAGCTGCAAGGGAGACCATGTCGGTGGTCTGACCATGCCTTTTAGACTTCGTGCAAAGATAAAGACAATCGGCGAAAAATTCGAACTCCGCGAGCAACATTACAAAGCGCTCCTTCGAAGTAAAGATGCCGAGATCCAAAGTTTGACCGCAAAATATGAAGAGCAACGTCGAGGAACTGAAACCGAAGCCGCGCGATGCCGTGCTCTAAGTTCGCAGGTGTCGACGTTTTCGCATACCGAGGCCGAACTACGGAGCCAGCTTAACATTTACGTTGAAAAGTTTAAACAAGTGTGTTTCTGGTGCCCCTCATCCATTTCCTACTGTTGTCAGCCGTTGCGATTATCATATCGATGGTTAATGACAAAGCTCGTAGGTCGAAGACACGCTCAACAACAGCAACGAACTCTTTATGACTTTCCGAAAGGAAATGGAGGAAATGTCCAAGAAAACAAAACGGCTTGAAAAGGAGAACCTAACTCTCACCCGCAAGCACGACCAGACGAATCGGAATATCCTTGAGATGGCCGAAGAACGTACCCGGAATAATGAGGAACTAGAAAAGTGGCGCAAGAAGAGCAATAACTTGGAGGCACTTTGTCGGCGAATGCAACAACAAGGTCGAGGTCAAGCACTAGCAGGGGAGCTGGATGTAGACGACGAAGGGACGGAAAGCGAGTACGATGATGAATACGAAGACGAAGATGAAGAGGACCTGAGCGAGGATGGAGACTATGTCGACGGCGACGATCATCAACATATGGCTGGACCCAAAACGACGGAGAAGCCAGTCTTTGGCCCGCCGCCACCACCAACGTTGGCCGAAGCGAGATCTAATGGCAATCGTGGCATTGTCAATGGGTACAAGCACTGAGTCGACCGTGAATGGGTACCGAATGGGGCAGTTGACTTGCGTCCCATCGCGGGTAAGTTCTCATAGACGCGTATGATTAAATGACTACGACCTCTTTCCCATACGATTCTGGCATATTTCTCTCGGGGGTGTTCGACCGCTTTCTGGCGTCTTGATATCACGCCTCTCTACTACTGTGAGATTTCTTTCTAGAGCCACAAACTTCCATTGTGGGACTCTTTCTTTTTTTCTTTTTTTTTTTTTTTTTTTTTTTTTTTTTGCTCATTGTCTGGTTTGTATGCTACTACCCACCGTCGATTTCCCCCTCTGATCCGCCTTTTGGGCCTAACCGTACCTGACTCTGGTGAAACTGCTGATCAGAAATGAATTCGACATGCAGTTACTGGCCGGGTCGTTGGGTGATTTGAGCCACCCACGCCGCTACACTTGTATGGTATTCATGTATAATGTATGTAACTGTAGGTAGGGCCAGCGCAGCTATTTGACAAACAAATCAGCTCCCTGATTGCTTTCTGTTCCAGAGAATTCAGTGGAAGCATTGCATTATCACTGAGGTCTATGAACCTCTTAATCGCGCCTCTGCGCGGAATTGGTCGGCGGCTCAGAGACGGTTGCATTCCCAATGTGCAAGCAAACAAAATAGCATATGGCCGGGCTGCAGACCAACCTCTCAATGGATCCACTCTGTAAAAAAGAAAAAGAAAAAGAAAAAGCAAAAGACAAAGGAACAATACGCAAATACATACGTAGAAGTCATGGCACATCGCTAAAAGAAAAATACTACTTCACAGCTTGCTCCCTGAAACCAGATACGTATTGCCCAACCTCAACATCTGTGCTGCCTCCGCGACCATACTTTCCACGATCTCCCTGGCAGGCTTAATCTCCTTCACCAGAGCGGAAACATGGCCCATCAAGAAAGGTAGATCCACATCCTTGCCGTCCTGCATGTCTTTCACGAAGGGCACCACGCCGCTCTCCGTCAACCGCTTGATCTCCTCGGGCTTACTCTCCCACTCTTTGATATAGTCATTTGGCAGGAGCCGGAGTGGCCGCCCGGAGACGACCAGGCTGCGGATAGTCTCGTTGAATCCAGCGTTCACGACGGCTTCCTTGTGCATGCGGCTGGCACCACTCTCTACAGAGGCGACGAAGCGCGTGCCCACCCACACGCCAGAGGCACCCAGCATGAGCGCACTGGCGAGACTCCTGCCGTCGTTGACGCCTCCCGCAGCAACGACGAGAGGGGGCTGACCGGTCAGGGGAGAGCGATACTTGCGCGTCGCATCCACCACGGCAGGGATGAGAACGGAGAAAGGGATGTCGCCGGTGTGGCCACCTCCCTCACCGCCCTGTGCACAGATGATGTCGACACCGGCCTGCATGGCCTTCTCGGCGTGGCGGGGCGCGCCGACCATGTTCATGACCAGGATGCCCGCTTCGTGGAGTCTCTTGATGGTGCGGGCGGGCGGCACGCCGACGGCAGAGACGAAGAGTTTGGCGCCGTGCTTGATGGTGACCTCGATGAGCTCGTCGAGCTTGCCATGTGTGTAGTCGTGGTTTGTCGCGCGCGCGCCGTTGCCGACCTGTGGAAGGGCGAGGTCGACGCCGAATGGGAGATTGGGGCTGTCCAGGTAAGACTTGAGCTCTGTGAGCATCTCGTCGAGCTGGGAGGGGGTGTAGCCGAGTCCGCCGACGGTGCCGAGACCTCCGGCATTGGAGACTGCGGCGGCGAGAGGGCCTCCCGAAGTGCGCGCCATGCCCGCGAGGAGGACAGGATGCCGGATGCTCAGGAGGTCGCAGAGGGGAGTTTTGACTTGTTGGGCCATTGTGGAGATTTGTGGTAACGACGCTGAAAGAAAAAAAAGATAAGAAAAATTAAAAAGGGAGGGTTGGAGATTGGGGTATTTGGCAGCAGCGTCAAGTCAAGCACTTATAATGTCCCTCGAAGCCTGCTGAGAATGATGCTGAGCGCTGGTCTGCATGAGCTGGTGAAGCAGTTAGCGTTGCTGTCAAGGAGACTGTTGATCCAGAAGGAACTTGACGCAAACAATATATATAATTTCCGACAAAAGCATCGCATCCCAGCCATAACCTAGTAGCTTCTATTTACCTAGGGCCGAAGCTCTTCAGATGCGATTGTGGACACGGATGCCTTTTCCCCTCACCACCGCCGTTGTTCTTTGCAGCGAATTCTGGGCGTGGAGTCCGTGGCGATCCGCGGCCCAGCTGCTCGCTAAGTAGTTAGTCGATAAACTCCGTCGTTGGCCGCCGCTGGACCAGAGCGCACCGAGGCGAGGTTAAATTCAGTGAAGATGGATCATGCATTCCTGTCTCCGGCAAAATTCGAGAGATATACTAAACTTAGACTCTTGTGATAAAGGGGGAAATCCTGCAGCTTTTGACAACCTTTAAACAAGCAACAAAGCACTGCCTGTTGCAAGTTGGAACCGTATCGGAAGCGAAGCAGACCCTACTGGCAGCGATTATAATGGGATCTCGTTTTCCATGCATTGATATTATTATTCTAGATGTACAAGCACTTGCATGCTTCCCTTAATCTGATGGTCTTACCGTGAAACACAATCATAGCATCTTTGATATTTTTTTGCTCTGTAGTTACGGAGGAGAGAGTTCGTTTTCTTGCTTTTGAACTAGGCGTGAGTTGATGCTCGAATCTCTCTCTCTCTGTGTGTGATGATCGTCGATTTGGAACGACCCAGTCATGTAAACGGCTCTTGTTAACCCAGGACTATCTGTGTGTCTTACGTATCTCCCTTGCACCAATATAATTCGGTGCCAACGGCCCAAAAAAGTATGGGGGTTGAAACCTCTCTATTCTAGAACAGCGCAAAGCAGCGGGACAAGATGATGAAAGATGGAGTATAAGAAACCGCATGGTAGTAGGGCTGGGGGACCTGGGTCTGAAGAGGAACAAAAAAAAAAAAAAAAAAAAAAAAAGAAAAAAGAAGAAACCAACTCCCGTGCTTACTGACTGAGGATGAGAGGTGAGGCAGAATAGCCATGATTTACGACGGCCTCGCCTCGCCGGCACGAGCGAGCGTGGGTGAAAGTTGGTTGGTTGGTTGGTTGGTTTTGGGGGGTGCTTTAGGGCCTTAACAAGCGCCGAGCCGCCCAGTCCTGGCCAGAGCTCCGGGGCTTGCCTTGGGCGACGCTGGGGGGCGTTTATGCCAAGCCCACTAGGGGGTGCCAGCCCCAACCTTTGGGGGGTGTTTCCAGGCGTCTGGGGTGCCCGTGTGGCGAGCAGAGCCAACCACGTTCTGGCGACCAGGACAGATTTCGGCATCACATTTTCATCTCCACAGCCGAAGTGGACCAACCGGCCTTCAAGTGCTCGATCTCTCGGGTTCGCTTCCGAGATTCACCTCCATTTATGGATGTATTCCGTACATATTATGGCTTGAGAAGGGCAGGGTTGGCCGTGAGACGTGGAAACTGGCTTCTGTCGTCCCTGCAACAGTGATTGAATGATGGGTTCCGTGGCAAGGCTTCGAACAAGAACAGGCTGCCTGGAGTGTGAGCATGACACACAGCTCCCCGCTGTATTTCTTCTCTTTTTTTTTTTTTTTTTTGCTTATTGTCCCTGCAGGTCGTCGACGCCGCAAGAAATGCGACGAGAAGAGGCCTCTGTGTGCCGGCTGCTCCCGCAACGGCCTTCGCTGCACATGGCCCTCGGAGTATCAGCCAGTTGACCGACGAAGACGCTGTCCGTCGCCCGCGAGTCCCAGCGCATCATCGCCCTCCCCGAGCTGCAATGGCACGTCGACTCAGTCGAGAACGCCGGACATCTCCGCTTCCTTGCCTCCCTTCTCTGCCATGCCGCCGCCTTTCCGCCTCGAGGAGCACTTCAATCTCTACTGCTACTTTGCGAACTCCCTCCTCCCGACCCTCGTACGACAATGCTCCCTGCCTAAATATTCAGACCAGACATACATCTTGAACCTAGCCGTCCAGTTTCCCCCTTTGATGGGTGCTATGATCGCCGTTGCAGCAGTTCGACTCCCTCGACACGATGAATCCTACCTGCATCTTGGCCTGAAGTGCTATCATTTTTCGATCCAGAACCTCCGGGAAGGCCTTGCCTCTGACAAATACAAAGGCAACGAGGATTACCTTCTTGCTACTACTATTTTGTTATGCATTTGGGAGGTGAGAACGGAGACCGGGAACGTATCTCGATTCGACGCTGACATAGAAAAAAAAAATTTCTCCAATATAGAATTGCCAACCCGATGGGATTCCCAACACTAGCCACCATGTTGTTGCTGCAGGCAACCTGCTGAGACTTCGATGCCCGAAACCCAGAAGCTCCTCCCAATCTGCGTTGGTATTCGAACGCACCTGCGTCGAGTCCTTTATCTACCACAGCAGCCTCTTAATGCTCTTCGACCGAAGTTTGGATCCGCTTGCTGATCCGCAGGTCCTTGAAAATATCCAACGATACTTCGTCGACCCTGACCACCCAGATGATGCAGGCCCGGGTTGGACCAACACGCAGCCCATACTCGATGCCTCGTATAAATTCTTCCTGCTGACTGCAGATATCACCCGGCTTTCACGGCACAATAGGCCGTTGGATGAAGTCGAATTATCCCTCTACTATCGTTTACAATCGGATTTCCATCGATGGGAGCAAACGATACGCAAAACCGCCAACGATCAAGATAAGGATCGGACCGGACTCTTGTATACCTTGGCTATTAGAGCTCTTCTCTTGAAAATGGACCCTCACCTGCATGAGATTTCGGGCGGCTTTGAGTCTCTCCTACATGAAAGTCTGGAGATAATACCGTTCCTCAATATTGATCCCAATTTTGTCTATTACTACCTGTGGCCCTTGATTGTTCTAGGTTCCATCGCCGTCAACCCCTGGGATAGAAATCCATTCCGCGAGATCATATCTCTCTTGATCATCAAGGGCCGAGAAGGAATTGCATGCTGGGCTTTAAAGCGCCTAGAGACGGTCTGGACCACGGAATACGAATATGCATACTGGGGCCCTAGCCATCCGATGCTACGAGGGCTCAAGAGACTACTTGAAAATGATTGATGGCCGGTGTCTCCACACTTTCCTGGCCACTATTACTCTCAGCGCACGGAAATAGGACACAGTTGAATGAGCTTCTATATTATGAGATCATATATGATTAGCAAACCCTAAAGAAAGTTACCCTAGGTCTCTTTCTAGGCTTTTAGGGCTTTATCCACAATCAGAGTATATCGGAGAAGAATTTCGTCCTGCATGGTCCTTGTGACGAGCTGAACGTGGCATGGAGCGCCCTCGCTTTCGTCAGGGAGGTCTAAAGCGTTTGTTAGCATCTTGGCCTAATCTTCCTTCCGAACAGGCTTTAAAAAAAAAAAGACTTACATGGAGGATCGTATTGGACTTGTCGCACGAACGCCGCGTCAGCGGCCTTATCGGCGCGACCAAAGGGGATGACGGAGGCCGGATACTAAACTCCTATTAGTGCGTGCTAGATATCAAAGGCGTTTGGGGGATGGATCGTTACATTCACAAGGTTGGCGAATATGGTATAGAAAGGCTTCTCCAGAGCATCGTGTGGCAGCGCACAGCTTTGGAAGGCTGGGCCGAGGAGAACGTCCAACTTGTTGTCCAGGTAGACGGCGCGGATTTGCGCAGTGTACTTCATCTTCGCAGCGTTTAGGTCATAGAGCTCACGAAGGGTTGGTTCAGGGCTGGTTCCGCTGAAGTCGAATGTGCATTTGAGCGATGGGATGAACGGCTCGCCGCTGCTGGTGATCGCCTTGAAGACGGTCTTGTCCGGATCCATGTTGAAGTATCGCATCGTGACGGTCTTCATGTCGGCGATGGATGGGAATTTACCAGTCAGGTCGACGATCTTGTGGCCTGCGGCTTCAAGTTTCTGGATAGCGTTCTTCAAAGTACGCTGCATGGGGGGGTGAATTGGGCACTCCGGGTCTTCGGGAATAACACCGATTGTGAGGGTTGTTTTAGGGGTCGGCTCGATCCATGGGGTTCCAAGAGCCATGTCGTCCAGATCCGCTGCGTTCGAGTTGAATACAACCTTGAGCAAGAGTTCGAGATCCCTGGCGGAATTGGTCAGTGGACCTGCGCAAGGGGCGACACCAGTCAGGCCTGGCCGACTGGCAGAACCTTGCCCGGCGTACGGAATTCTCATAATCGATGGCTTGAATCCATATGTACCATTGGCCAGGGCTGGAATTCGAATAGAACCCGCGATATCGGTTCCAACACCCAGGGGAGAGCCTCGCATAGCAACAAGTGCACCTTCACCGCCGCTGCTGCCGCCAGCGCTAAGATTCAAGCTGTAGGGATTTAGACAGCGGCCAAAGACGTTGTTGTGCGAATCTCCAGTCATCATGGTCTGGGGAACATTGGTCTTGCAGTACAGAACCGCACCAGCCCCCAGTAGAATTTGCACCAAGGCCGAGTCGTGAGTTGCTGCGGGTCGATCGAGGAAAGAGACAAATCCGAGGGTGGTTGGGACGCCGGTGATGTTGAAGGTCTCCTTAAGACTGATTGGGAGGCCGTGGAAGGGACCAACGGTCTTCCCCGTCTTGGCTAGATGGTCATCGAGCTCCTTTGCGCGGGCCAGCGCCATGTCGAAGAAGGTCTCGGTCAGGCAAAAAGTCACCTGCTGCGCGATGGCCGCACGCTTGGCGAATGCGGTTGTGACTTCGACCGAAGAGAATTCGCGAGAGGCGAGCTTCTGGAGGAGATCAGTGGCATCGTAGTTTTCGGTGATTTCAAGCTCTCTGGGTGTGAGGAGGCCGCAGGTTCTGGGGACGTCTATGACACTCTTCTTGGAGTCCTGCGAGATGCTTTCGGTGATCTCGCTGGGCAGTCGCCATTCCTTAGGGATCTTAGCGGCCACTTCGACCTGCTTGGCCTGGACCTTTAGTTGCCAGTCGGCGATCGTCATCGTGGAATTGGAGGGGGGGGGATGGATAGATAGCTGCGCTAGACTGGATTGCGAGGGGAAATTGTTAATATTGTAGAGTGCCGGTTTTCTTCAAATTTCACGTCCCAGTGGAAAGAGATATAGGTGCATATTATATCAGAAACGAAGCTGGGTGCAGCAACCCTGGCACATAGGCATTGCCGCTCTAACCATCCTCTTCGGCATAAAACACGACAACCCCCCATCTGGTTTACTCCGTCGAGTGCACAGCTTGTCCTCGATGCGGGGTGAATCCTATTCACTCTCCTGCGGATTGGCGTTGGCAAATGTGCAGTCATTCCGCTTCGCCTCCCTCGTGGCCAGTCCTGCTCCACTGGGCTCCACGGATGGGCTTCTCGGCGGCAGCATGAGCTGGCCACCAATGGTGTCCATTTGCGCCAGTATCAACTTAAAATTTAAAGCCCAGCCTACGGAGTAAACTACGGAGTACTCCGTACGGGGGAGAGGAAACTAATTCCTCCAGGACAAACTGGGTTGGAGGTTGCAAGGAGGAAGCCAGAGCCTCGTGCCGACTCTCTCGCCTTCATGATGACGGTTACGGACGTGGAAGAATTCCGGTCGAACAAATGCTGAGTACGCTTTCTTTGCTTTCGGAATGAATTCGACTTCAGAATTCTTCTCAATTTACTCCGCGTATTCATCGGCGCCGTGGGAGGATCTTGTCCGGATGCCGTCGCAACCGTGTCCGAGTGGCGCCCATTTTCTAGCAACAGTCAGGGCGAAGAAGATCTCCAGATCAACCCCCAAGCGGAGCTGTGTTGTGAGGGATTCGGGGCCTATAAATTCTTATCCCCTTATTCTTTAAACTTTTATTCTCTCGAATGCTCATACCCCAGACCACCACTTGATTGCTATAGATTTTTCTCCTCCTGGATTGCATCAGAATGACTGTCAGCATTGAAGGCCCGCATTCGCGCCACGAGATTCAGAAGTCCGTGGATGAATACATAGATAGTCTCAAAGGCCGTTTATATCAGTTGAACAAGAGCGTGAGTTACGTTCCCTCTCAATCGCATTGTCTTTTTTTTTTTTCTTTTTCTTTTTCTTTTTTTTTTTTTTTTCAATGGGCTCTGACGAGGGATTAAGATCCATGAAAACCCAGAACTTGCATACAAGGAATACCATGCGCACGACGCCATATGCAGCTTTCTGGAAGAGCTGGGGTTCAAACCTACACGTCACGCATACGGGTTAGAAACCGCCTTTGAAGTCATAAGCGGTTCGGACGAGGGAAGATGTGTCAATTTCAATGCTGAATATGATGCACTCCCGGGAATCGGGCATGCTTGTGGGCATAATCTAATTGCGACTGCGAGTGTGACCGGATTTATCGCCCTTGCACATGTGATCAGCAAATTTGGAATTAGGGGAAAAGCGCAGCTGCTCGGGACCCCTGCTGAAGAGGATGGAGGCGGGAAGATCGACCTGCTTAACGCTGGAGCTTACAAGCAGGCTGACGTTTCCTTGATGCTGTGAGTAACGCTGCCTCTTCCGCTTCTGTATCGGCACAGGAGCCACACTAATCAAAGCAACAATCAGCCATCCTATGTCAGACGCCCGCTTCCGCGAACACGGCGTCATAGGATCTTCTGGGTCGAGTTCTATCGCCTGCTATGATATTGTCTGCACCTATGAAGGGGTTAGCGCCCACTCTGCCGCCAATCCACATGAGGGTATCAACGCCCTAGACGCCGTGGTGTCGGCATATAACAACATTTCCATGCTCCGGCAACAGATAAGACCGGACGAGCGGATACACGGGACCATATTGCAAGCACCTAAGATCACGAATGCCATCCCAGAACACACGGCCACAAAATATTCAGTTCGGAGTCCCACAATCAAGGGCGTGCAAGAACTTGGAAAGCGAGTATGCAAGTGCATGGAAGCCGGTGCTCTCGCCACGGGGTGCAAGCTCAAGATCGAAGAGAGTCCAATTTACGCTGACCTTCGACTCAACCAGCCTCTCTGCGACGCGTTTCAGGCGCACATGGGAGACCAGGGAGAGAAGATCTTCTCCGGGGAGAGCGATGGTCTGAGCGGCTCCACGGACCAAGGCAACGTTACCTATGCTATTCCAGGCCTGCATGCCCTCATCGGAATACCAGTCACAGACGACGCGAATAACCACACTCATGGATTCGCTGCTGCAGCGGGGACAGAGGTTGCACATGAAAGGACTTTGAAGGGCGGCAAGGCGATGGCCATGACGGGATTGGATATTTTGACGGATGATGACTTTTATGCTCGGGTGATCGAGGACTTTGAGAAAGATAAGAAGCGTAGATGACCGGAAGCTAGATAGTGTCCTGCGGTGCCCGTGCAGATCGGTCTTTACACTGCACACTAGCATCGGCAGGAAACCCATTTTGTCCACCTTTCGCTTGGGGTTGGGATGCTTCACATGCTTCACCCGAATGCCGAAAGCACGAAACAACATCTGGTCATCATTACCTACTCGCAAACTTCAGAGAAGCAAATGCTAACTATAATATAATAAATCAATCCTTCAGACCTATTGGCGGGTGTGAAAAGCCTTCGCCGAATAACTATTTGTACTCGCTTCCAACCAATGTGCTTCTTCAAACCCATGGATGCGAGTGAGAGGAGAATGCGCGATTCGTGAGCTCGAAGCCTACAAGCGCATTTGAGAAATGCGATCAAACGTGAAGCTGTAAGTGTCCTGTCTGTATGGTGCGGTTTTGCAACGACATCCAGGGCTTCTAGGGATGCCGCCAATTTGGGGCTGACTGCCAGTACAAGACATTAAAACGTGTCCTACGCCCTGGCACACTTATCAATCTACAGCAGAACTGGATAGATCAATATTGACAGCCACGCTGGGCCTTTTATGAAAGGCTGGGGGTTATATGGAGCGATGTGGTGAATGTGTGCCGGTCGATTTCAAAGATGACTTTTATGGGTTGTTTATTTCGGAGGTGGATATACGCAAGGCTCGGTGGACAAGGATAACCCAGGCCCTGGAGGGGAGACCAACAGGGTCTACGGTGTAACTACAGAAGATTAAAGTGTTTCATTTTCCAGCACATTAGTGTTAGCCCAGATGGGGCGAACGGCAATGATCGCTTGTAGGAGGATGGGCTGCTCTACTGTTGTGGAACAACCCTCGTGAACATTTCTAAACAGATGAAGCAACTCGGTTCAGCTCCCAAGTCTCTCGATTTCAACCGTGGGATATTAAATAGCACAAACTCTTTCTCGATGGCGTACAGAGTACGGGAGTCAGTTACAAAAGCAACTTTCTTGGGAAGCTCTCGGCGTGTAAGTAGTTAACTATAGTGGCCTTTCGAGGGCCTAAGCGATCCACGACCTTTGATGGCCTCGCCCTTCCTTTCGCCTCTTCGGCATCGATACGCGGCAGCTGCGCGGGTTAGTTCAATTCCATGCTTAGCTCACTGGCTCTTCCTCTCCCAGCGAGTTACTTGGGCCTGGAAGTTTAAAGCTAATCTGTGATAAGCTTCCGCATGCCGCACCACTCAGCAGCATTTGCGCGCTTCTCCGCCGCTGTCTCCCCGCACTGTGGCCCCCGGGCAAAATGCATTTTAAGCTCCCACCCGATCTTACCCTCGCTTACCCCAGATCTCGTTTCTCCCGCCACGCACTCGCGCCCATTGCGTTTCCAGTCTCTTGGAGCCTGTTTCGCGATTGCTCGCCAGATGGTAGATGGATAAGCGCAATAGCACACCTTTGTCCATCCCACGCAGGGTTAGTTCTGCAGCCAGGTAGCTCTTCTGCACCCGTCCAAAGCGCGCGAGCAAGGAAGGAGTGCAATCGTACCACTGCAACTAAACGCCACAGGATCCTTGTTATAAAAGCGTGATTAACCGCCCACATCTCTTTGCCTGTGTGTTTGATTCCCGTCTGGTTCCTCAACTTGTTAAATGCAAGCCCAGGTTCCCCGCTTGCTGAATTGTCCTTCGTAAATTCCTTCGACCTCCACGTTCTCCCGTTCTTTTCAATCATTTCCTGCGATGTCGGCGGAAAAGGAATTTCAGACGTCCGTGGTGGAAGAGACGGATTCGGCAAGCAGAGTCGACCCGTCCAAGGAGACCGATGCTCAAGATGTTCTCCTCATTGACGCCAGTGAAGAAGAATTGCGCCGCGTGCGATGGAAAGTCGACTTGATTCTCATGCCCTTGTTGTCGTTTTGCTACATGTTGCAGTTCTTGGATAAGCAGACGCTCAATTTCTCTACTCTGCTCGGGATCCTCGAAGACACGAAGCTTCAAGGATCAGAATATTCATGGACAGCCGCCATTTTCTACTTTGGATACTTGTTATGGTCGTATCCCACCACGTACTTTGCTGTGAGAACTCCCATTGGGAAATACCTCTCCATCACAGTGTATGTGAAATAATCTCCGAGTAATGTATTCTTGCACCAGTGTGCTGACAGTCATACTCCAGCTTGCTGTGGGCCGTGGTTGTCATATGCCATGCAGCCTGTAAGAACTTTGCGGGTTTAATGGTTGTCCGGTTCATGTTGGGCGTCACTGAATCGGCAGTCGCCCCTGGCTTCTCTTTAATTACCGGCATGTGGTACACTCGCAGAGAACAGCCCCTCCGCCACGGTATCTGGTTCACCGGCTCGTGTTGCGCCAGCTTGTTCGGTGGTGTTCTTGCATATGCTATCGGACATATTACTGGAGCCCTGTCACCATGGCGCTACTTATTCATCATCTTCGGGGCTGTCACCGCCCTTTGGGGAGCTGTACTGCTTGTCTTCCTTCCGGATAGACAGTCGAACGCCATCTGGCTGAATGCCCGCGAGAGGAAAGTCGCCGTTCGACGAGTCATGGAGAATAAACAGGGTATCAAGCAAGGAAAATACCAGATCTATCAAGTGGTCGAAGCCTTCAAAGATCCAATCAACTGGTGTCTTTTCCTCTACTGCTTTTGCGTGAACATTGCAAATGGGGGCTTGACAGCGTTCGGATCCCTGGTCATCCAAGGTTTCGGATACGAAGGTCTTTCTGCTCTCCTGATCCAGATGCCTACTGGTGCTGCACAGATTGGGTTCGTTATTGCATCCTCTCTAGCGTGCACGTATTGGAAAGGCATAAGGACTATTGTCATGCTGGTGCTGTGTTTGATTAGTTTAGTTGGAATGGTACTGATGTACGCTCTCGATCCCGCAAACCGCTCTGGACGATTGGCAGGGTTTTGCTTGTCGCTCGCGTTTTCCGCCAACATGCCATTAGGCCTCTCTTTGGTGGCCAGCAACGTTGGCGGATTCACAAAGAAGGCTGTGGTCAACGCTTGCGTCTTCGTCATGTACTGTGTTGGCAATGTGGTTGGCCCCCAATTTTTCAGTGTCGACGAGGCACCGCGCTACAGCCGTGGTTTGAAAGCTAGTCTTTCTGGATTTGCGTTGGGTGCTTTCTTTTTGCTCCTGTTGGGAATTTATATGAAATGGGAGAACATGCGTCGAGACAGAAAATATGGAAAAGTGGACCAGCAAGAGAATAATCCCAACAGCGAGGATGAGCTTTTGCTCAGCCTGGAGGATAAGACGGACTGGGAAATGGAGCGCACTTTCAGATATCTTCTTTAGCCATGGGTTTATGCTAGATATACCATTTGCATAAAGAGTTTTGACTGGAGGATATTTACAACATGAGATAGTCAGTATTACCTAATATCAGGCCTTTTTAAAGATAAATCATGAGCAACGAGTCGAGCTTCTCATTTCTGAGAGACGGCCCTGTCCCAGGTTTCTTTCTGTGCTGCCGCACTAAACTGGTCGACATGGTGTCGTTCAATATTTCCAGGCAAAGTTGGGAGTGGCCGATGCCAGAAAGACTTCTTGTCCTTTCAAAAGCGCTTTGTCAAATCAGCTGCTGCATTTGAAAGTCCTGCGGCATCTGATTTGCAGTTAATCAAAGAAGTGGTTAGAGAATAAGGTAGTTCACCACTAAACGAGCCACACCACTAAACGAGCCAAATTTCGCCAAACGCTCCACACAATGAATTTATTAAATATCTCAACAACCAGATCTTTATTATTAAATAGCTATTAAATATTAAATGAATGTGTTCTTTGAAGCATAGAAATTAGTGTAGTTAGGAAAATAAACAGGTGGACGGCCTAATATTGCGGCCAGAGTGAGAGATCTGGGGGGTAGATAGGAAAGAATTCAAAGGAATGTCAACAGTAGATTTCTTGGCTAGAGAGTCTAATGTCTTGCTAGGGAGGCTTGTAGAGCTCTTACTTCCTCTTTTAGAAGGTTGTATAGGCTCTCCATAATGAGAATCTTTAGTAGGGGAGTCCTTCCAACAGCACTTTGAAGCTGGTGCTTGAAGTCCTGACTGCTGGTGTTTAGTAGCATATTCAACCATCTGTTTTTCCTTCTCTGCTAGTTGTAAAGCCTTCTTCTCCTTACAAGCAACATGTTGTGCCTCTCTTTCTCTAGTATATTTGATTTTTTTGATCTCTTGTTGCTTGCAGGTCTTTTTACAGATATTCTTCCATTTAATTTATCTTTCTTCAGCATCTCTAGCAGCCTGCTTCTTTTGAAGCTCCCATTGAAGCTTTGCCTGTTGTATTTGAGCAATTTTATCAGCTTTTTCAGTCTCTATTTCATCCAGGTGCTTGTGTGCCTTAAGAACTTTTATTGGAGACCAGAACTGTGCTTGGCTAGAATTATCTCTATTAAGTAGACCTAGGGGCTTGCCTTACTTGCAGTGTTACTTCTCTGTTACTAGAGTTGATCTTAGGCACTGATTCTCATGTTCCAGTAGTTTATTATAAAGAGCAAACTGCTTACTGGCTTGGATAATCCATTCAATGCTCTGCAAATTTAGGCTGTGCTGGAGACATATACCCTTGATCTCTTGTTAGAGCTGGTGCATATTGCTAGAAATAGAAGGTTTAACTGGCAGTGTAGAGGCTTGAGCAGTTTCAAATCAGTATAGTTGACATTAAGAATCCAGAGAATTAATTCCAGTCTTTGCAAAGCCAGCAAGTATATTTTCAACTGTCAAAGTCTTCTTCCAAGCCACATTGAATAGTCTTCAGAAATCTCTTTTTGTCATTCAAATATAGCTCATTCTGTAATATAGTAGTGCTTCCAGCTCATTCAAATATGTCTTGTCCAGCAGCCCAAAGATTTCAACATCAAGAGATTGCAAACAGTAAGTTGAATGCAGCAGAAAGATCATAAGAAGAATCTTTTTACAGTCAGCATATTCAATAAATTTCATATTTATATGGGAGAAATATCCATCTAGTAGAAGCAGACATCTTTCTCAACCAGCTTGTTCCTTAGTATGCTTATTGAAAACTCATTTCAATCACTTCAGTTCATATTTATTATTGCTCCAACCATTTGTTGAAGCTGTAAAGTAGGCCCATTCACTTTCATCATAATCATCTAGTTATGTATTCTGGAGATCTCACAATTCACTCTGGTAAATAAGAGCTGGAGGTAGTGTAATTTCTTCAGCAGAGACTGAGCAGAGCAATGAGAGGAATTCCCAACTACTATTCTGGGTGGCAGCATTCTTTCCAGCTTGTAGAGCTTCAATAGAGACTAATTGCTTTGAGGCATGGCAGGAGTCTAGAAGGAATTCTTTTTCATTAAAGTTATAGATGTTTGAGAGCTTAAGATTATATTAATTAATTTTCTGCTCCAACTACTTCATAAGTATCAAATAGTTAGCCAGCATCAACAACTGCAATCATAATTAATCAAATAAATCATCAAATTACAAGCATATAGAAGTGCTTAAAGTACTGATAGTTATCTGCTACCTGCCTGTTTTAATCAATTGCTTTGAGATAAATGCATTTGATCTTGTCATTATGCCACTTGCAAAACTGATTAACCCAGTTGATTCCAACATTCTCTTCTGTCATCTCTTGTATGATATTTTGTAGGATCTGAGGTGTAATGGCAAGGCTGCAGCTAGAGAGCTTGTTTATATAATTCAGGAGCTCTGCCTCCTGTATATCAGAGAGCTTTTTCTTATATCAGGAGATCACTTCATCCTGAGCAAGTTGCAAGCCTTTATGCTGTCAGCACAGGGTCTCTTGATTAACTGAGTACTGTCTTGTGGTTGCAGCATAATTTGAGGTCTCTTGCAATTCAAGATCTTCAATTGCAAGCCTAATTGAGATGTTGTTGATCATGTTGTTATATATTGAATGTTGAATGTTGGAGGAATTTGGTGGTGGAAAATTTGGCTTGTTTAGTGGTGTGGCTCGTTTAGTGGTGAACTACCTTATATCACTCCAATCTCCACCTTGAGGAGTCTAAAAGACATCGAGAGATCGGGAGAGCGGCGCTTATCCCTTTCAGTTCCCGGATCATGGGCTGGGAAGTATGTAATGGCATTTCTTAATAAAAGGACTCAGTTCTCGGACCAAGAAGGTGACATTGCTTCTGTCTTGCTGACATGTTGTGGTTGGAGTGGAGAGGGAGACGAGTCGGAGGATATTGTCTGCTGGGGTGAGGTCCAGTCGCGCCAAGCCTAGTTAAAACGCGCCGGAAGTTCGCGTCTCGTTCAAGAGAATATCTCGCAAATGCCGGCATTAAATTTGGCAGGCAAAACAGCTACCGCTCTGCTGATATATTGGCTTACTGTTTTATGCGATTGGGATTTGTGAGGGCCACCAAGCGAGAATCTTTAATCTATACCTGCTTCCCTAAATTGTCGTGTAAAATGGCAGAGGAGGACACTTCAGGCCAGTTTCTGTGCCCACCCAAGTACGAATTTCCTTTGCAATTCCAATTCCTTTTGCTTGAGGAGGGTCAGCATCGGTCAAAGGGTACAAACTGACACAAGCGATGAATTATTAGGGACAAAGAAGAATACCCCCCGGTATACCGGCAGCACTCCGCATATAACCCCCTTTATACCTTCCGCCTCCCCTCCGGTAAAACGAGACACTATCAACAGCAGTATGCTGATATATACTTCTTACGACTTGCAAGACTGAAGCCTGCTGTTGCGGAAATTGCGGCTGCTGAATGGGAAGAATTTACGGTGTGTTTTCTGTGTTCACTTCATTCCATTCCTCGATACGGGCCTGCAAGTCGGCCTATTGTCGGAGAACTAGGACGGACGCGCCCGCCAAACCGCAGTCATTTGTTTGAATTTTTGCTAAGGATATGTTGTATAGATTGCTGGTGAAAATGCCCGAAGGGTTGACAGAGTACTAGATGTAAGGCAGGGCGAACTCTGCTGGGTTGTGGGAACTGTGTACATGGACCTACCTCTGAAACCTAATATTCTAGATGATATCTCTAAAGAGGTGGGCTTTCATTTTTCCCAGAATTTGACGTATACTCACGTACTGTGTGTAGCACTGGACGGCGGCTCCTCCTTCCCGGAAGACCTATTTGGACCCATCAAACCAAGGCGGTACTCAGACTATGCTGGAAGATGGATCTGGGCGGCTGCGGCTGACCGGTACTTTACTGCAGTCAGCTCTTCTAGTTACTGGTGCAGTAGTCGCCGTGCTTGGAACGGAAAATGCAAATGGTGATTTTGAAGTTGTAGATGTGAAGGTACCCGACCTGGCACCTCAGCCTGCCCGATGGGAAAGCCAATATGCAGATTCAGCATCTGGAAAGAGAAAAAGAAGTCCAAGTGAGACTCCTGTTGATGGGCCCAGGAAGAAAATTGCGCTGCTTAGCGGATTGGGAATCACGGGCACCTCCGGAGACACAGTAGCTTTGACTCTTTTGACCGATTATCTTCTTGGCTATGGTGAAGGCTATGGTAATGTTGGCACTGGATCTTCTCCCATACGGTCCGCCCAGATATCCCGCCTTATAATCGCAGGCAATTCTCTCGGCAGCAGTGTACCTCCTAGTCTTGAAGAACAGGACGAAGATGCCGCAGTGAAGAAAAGGCGTCAAGCAAAGAAATATGGATATGACGCATCAGCCTACAACGCATCACCGATTACTCATTTGGACAATTTTCTAGCCGAGATCTTGCCCAGCATTCCGGTTACCATTATGCCAGGTGAAAATGATCCGGCAAATTTCGCTCTTCCTCAACAAGAAATTCACCGTGCAATGCTCCCTCGCTCAAGAAACTACTGTTCCGCTCCCCGCTTGGGCATTGATGAACCACCGTCTGAACCTGGATGGCTGGATACGGTGACTAACCCATGGCAAGGCGATGTTGAAGGCTGGAGATTATGGGGCTGTAGCGGACAAAATGTGGACGATGTACTCAGATACATGTACCTGGATGACGATCAAACTGGAAATGGACAGGATATAGAGGGGGATACGCGGTTACGGCTCATGGAGGCCATGTTGAGATGGAGATGTGCCGTCCCAACCGCTCCGGATACGATATGTAGGTCCCCTGTGTTCAAAACTTGTCATTTACGTGGAATATTCGTCTAACAATTCTGTTTATAGGGTGCTATCCCTTTCAGGATAACGATCCATTCGTGCTGCAAGCATGCCCACACGTATTTTTCACTGGGAATCAGCCAGCATTCAGGACAACGGTTATCGAGAAGTCCGTTTCTGCATCGTCGATGGACATAGAAGGAGATCAGCCTTCGAAAGTGAGACTTCTGGCTCTCCCTAAGTTTCGTGAAACTGGAGAGTTGGTATTGTTAGACGCGGAAACGTTGGAGGTGGAAGTTGTTAAGTTCGGGACGTGGCAGAGCGTGAAAGAAGTCGAATCGTTAGATGCGCCTGTCAATGACTCGCAGGCCTGAGGCTCTAGCAAATACCAACGTTGAGTCTAGAAATGATTTCTGGGAAAAGAGCACAAGCCTCTTGATGCCAAATCCGACCACTTCAAAACAACAAACGGCATTAAGAATCAAAAGGGCATTATTGAATGAAGTAAATTGAAAATTGCGAGAGATAGATCCATGAACTCCCAAACTAAATCGGCAACTGTAGCGTACTACTGTGCTCCGGGACCTTTATATCCATTATCAGGAAGGTATAAATGTCTCACGGCACCTTTTGCTGTTAACACCACCAGTCGGATGACGCCGCCGGAGCTTCCATCCCACTTGATAGCTTCATGTAATGCTCCCTTAACGAACTCGATCCCCTCTTCCTCTGTCATACCTTCTCGCCAGTGCGCGTCGCAGTAGCCGTAGATATATGTGGAGCCGGATCCACCAATGGCATAGGCCTGCTTGTGGAGGGAGCCGCCGAGCGGAATGGAGTAGACTTGACCACCATGGCGGTGGTCGTATCCAGCGATAATTATACCGGCACTGCCCAGTATAAGCACACAGCTATTCAGGGAGATAAGGTGTGCGGTAGCAATTACCTTAACATATCTTTGTTGTCATAGCATAATTCTTGGAACAGAGCTGCAGCAGTTTGAGTCGTGGGCGGCTGGTCATACACAACGCCGTACATGCCCAGATGATACCGTACGATGTCAGCTACAGCTTGCGTGTCTGCTGCTGAGCCTGATCGGCAACACCAGATCGTGTCGTGCACTTGGGTGAGTTTGTCGGTGACGCGGTTGGCTATGTAGGCGCCTGTTGTCGTTCGACTGTCTGCACCGAGGATGACGCCATCTTTGAAATTTATTGCCATGCTAATTTTGCGGTCTTTGTTGGTCGTTTCCTGGGCTTGAATGAGGAGGTTTGGGGGAGTGGCTTACATCGAAGTACCAAGGCTGTAAGTCGATGAACTAGTTAGCTCCGACTCCGATTGAGAAGGGATACAGAACGGAAAACATACTTCACTTCTCCCTTCTTAAGGTGCTCCATATCCACATGTATTCCATCTGCAATGTAGTTAGCGGTGTGCCTCGATATCCGTTGTCGCGACGTCACCAACCTTCTCCTAAGCAGCCGCGAACACCGTGATGTCTCATGGTCTCGTGAAGTTGACGGGAATTCAATCGCAGAAATCTTCTATCGTCTATTCGGGAGCCAATACGCCTAGCAAAAATCCGCTCTTGGAAACAGAAAAGGAATTCAGTTGGTGCAAGACTCAGAGGTCTGAAGTTCGCTCTTCCAGCAGGTCGAGATAGCTTCCCGACAGGCGAGCTTTGGAAGGCAGCACATCAGACGTGGCTCGCCCAATCAGGAATAGCCTACCTCCATCCGCCAAAATAGCCGCTGCGGCGAGTTTTATTGGCCATACTTCGCTCAGGCGCTTAGTTCTCAGGTCCCATTGGCCAGGATAGGTCCCTGACGTAATACCCGTAATTTATGCGTAAGTGACATACAAGAGATCCACCCCTGATAGCGTATCGACATAAACATGGGGTTAATGCCGCCGTTCAGGCTATCAAACAAGGGTTGGAATGTTAAGGGGTGTCTCTTTCGACCTGCATTGAACTTTTCTTCCTTCACATATTTAATGTGCTTGCTTATTTCTTCAGCTTTGAATTCTCAACTGTCGCGCGTTAGGCAACATTCACCTCCTCGTCTCCTTATTGCACTATTGCCCTCAACTCCACCAGAGGAGACAACCCTGCCCTTTGCCATGTGTGATACTGTCAATTGAGCATTCTACTGGAGTTTTGGTGTTCGAAAGGTTACCGGGCGTGTGCATGAGAACATGGCCGACACGCCGCCCCCGCAACCTCCTTCGTCCTGGAACTTTAGCTCCATGATTGGGAGTGTCGTTCAGTTCCTCAGATTGCCGGTCCTTGCTTCCTCTGGACTTGCAGTGGTTGCAAGTGGGATGCTTTACTTTAAGCAAAAGTACTACCCTCTTATCTCCATCAAAAGTGGCGTTGAACCTGACGAACTACGTGTCTTAGCGATATCATCTACCCCCGTAATTTCCCCGCCGGTTCCCGGACAGACGTCCCCAAACCCTCTGAATTCGGCATGCTAGACTTTGAAAATCTGCGCATCCCCACTCCCGACGGCGAAATTCTGTCTGCATTTTTCATCCGCCCACCAATCAAGGATGTCAAGCCTAAACTTACTGCACTTCTCTTCCACGGTAACGCCGGCAACATCGGACATCGCAACCCCATTGCTGAGGTTCTTGGGAAAATATTGAATTGCAACGTCCTAATGCTGGAATATCGTGGCTATGGCTTGTCCACAGGGACTCCAGACGAGAACGGTTTGAAGATTGACGCACAGACCGGCCTGGACTATCTGAGACAACGTCCAGAGACGCGTGACACCAAGATCCTAGTCTATGGACAAAGCTTAGGAGGAGCTGTGTCGATTAATCTTGTTGCGAGAAATCAGGATCACGGTGATATTGCGGGATTGATCTTGGAGAATACCTTTTTAAGTATTAGGAGGTTGATTCCTAGGTATGTTTCGCTTATGTTCTGATGTGATGGAAATGTTTCTTACCCTATTTACCTAGTGTGTTTCCTGCAGCAAAGTATATGACGCGACTGTGTCATCAGCAATGGGCGAGTGAGGATATGCTGCCCAAAATTCAGGACATCCCAATTTTGTTTTTGAGTGGACTGAAAGATGAAATTATTCCGTATGTCCAAAGCCCATTCCTAAAACTTATTTTATCTCGGATCTAACATCAAATTTATAGCGCTTCACACATGGCGGAACTTTACAAAATCTGCAGAGCAAAAACCAAGATTTGGCGAACCTTCCCCAATGGCTCGCATAATGATACTGTTGCAGAGCCAGGATACTTTGAACATATTTACTCCTTTGTTGTTGATGAAGTTCTGGATTAAATTACGCCCCTTCAAATACAACCCTTGTGTTTGAATTTACTTGTGGGTGTGATAGACTACATATATTCTTTCTTTTTTACATCTATGGAAAAGCGAAGAGCGCAACCCGGCGCATAACCATAAATATTTTAATACATATTCCCCTTCTGAGACGATCAAATGACGGTATGTATTTGGGATGATACTGGGGGCTTTCCTATTTCTGGGTTGGTTTTTCCTTTCTGCATGGGCTTGGAATTTCCATGGATTGTGATGTCTGGGTTACAGTTCTCAAGTTGAAGCTTCCTTTGGCAATGTGTGCTACTTCCATGTTTCTACCCTCATTCTGATTTTGCGTAGACCGCATGTTTGTTGGAGGATAGGTACCTTAACATGTGTAATTGTAATGGCAAGAGTCCCAATATTACTGGTCGGAGAGATGAGGATATTAGAGCAAAAATGATCTGTAATATCAAGAGCAGCGGTAAAGCGCCAGGTAGGTGAGAACCTGACTAATCTTTTAGGATCTGTTTCTTTTATATCCAGCCCGAGGAGCTCATTCCTGGCTCCAATATGCAGCCTAAAACGTATATATACAATAGGTCAACCAAGTCACATCATCTCCCTATTAACTAAACTCTTTCGACCTCTTCGACCAAGTCCTCGACTTTAAATCCTTCCACATCTCCTCGACTGAACATTCTCAACATCTCTCCCTTCCTGCCGCCCTGACTTCCGTCAACACCCCAGTCATAAAACCGCTGCAGCCACATAATCAACAATTTCGCCTCGTCTAGGCTTACGCCTCTATCTGGCACCACTGTGCCGTTCATGAGTACCAGCCCCTTTTCATCAGCTAAATCCAGATGGTGGGTTATTATTGTGTGGGGCTGTGAGTAAGCTCCGTGGAGCTTGTACGACGCCAAATGGGTGAATATTACGGTGGACGTGTGGGTGTTTTCAGTTCGGAAATCAGGGGAAGTGGGTGTAGCGGTTGGAGTCGACGAGGGTGGGTGAAAACCCCATTGGAGGAAGTGCATTTCCGCAGCTGTGGCGGTCTGGGTAGAAGAGCCATTGCTAGAATTCGCGTCTTCTGCGGGGGTTTCGATTTCTCGGGGTAAAGGTAAGATAAATTGGGGATTCTGTTTTGCGGTTTTGATGATTCTGTGATACGTTTCCAGCGGAATGGTCGCGCATACTGAGTTTGGGTTCGGGGCGTGTCTTAGGCGCCAGAGGGTTTCTATTTCTTTTTGTGGGAGGGTGAGAATTTTTTGGATGTCGAGGTATGCGGACAGAGGTTTAATGCCTGGTGTGGCGGATTTCCCACGAGAACTTGAGACCCTGGAAGCCTGGGTCGTCCGGGATCTAGGAGAGGAAGAGGGTGGAACAGGTTGCGTTGGATTTGGCTGGGGAGGTGTCGATTGCAGAGCATCAGCTACGCGCACGGCTTGAATTTTGTCCTGATAAGCTTCCTTTAGGGAAGATATAGACGAATGGCCTTCCCTAAGAATGCAAGTCAGCTTTCTAAGCGCAAAACGCAAATGAAGGAATGGCAAAATGCGTGACGATGCAACTCACTGTTTCGCTTTCTGATCGAGCTTATCTTTGTATCTCGCCAGCACATTGTTTGGCTGGTGTGTCGCAACAAATCGGACATCATGAACCTGCGCCCAGCGTCTTTGAATATGCTTGACAGGCGATATCGAAGTATGAAAGCCGAGGAGGTTCCGAAATGCTGGGGAACGAAGCGCCATCGCGCCGAAACTTGCGGAGCTGCAGAAGTCCTAACAGGCCAACCCGCCTTAGTGTCTGGGTATTGTCTGCGTGGTCGAGGGGGTTTATAACAGATTCCCAATATCGTCAGAAGTAGCAGAGACAACAGCGCGCCCAATTGCTACATTCTCATCGCTCCAAAAGATTTTCGGCCAGCTGTTGGAGAGCAGTTTGGGGCGGCAACGCGCTAGGCTTTATTTAGACTAGCATCCCTAGTGCATAATATGCAGCTCACCAACTCGAGCCTGCAACGAGGCTTCGGCGTCCAGCCGCATGCCTTGATATGTATCTTGCTCCACCAAGGACAAACAAATCCTGTGTCCCAAAAGCTTCATGCAACAAGCTATAGTGTCATTTTCTCTACCTTTTAAAGACACTCCCTCATGGGGCTAGGTGCGTTAACTTATTTTGAAACAACAATATAGCCGGGAGGCAATTGGGCTTTCAATGGCGATTTTGCTGTGGTGGAGTCAACAGCTTCTTTGCAACCTCACAAGTATGCTGCCTTGTGATGCCTACTTCATCTGGTCCCCAACTCTGATGACGAGGTTTCTGGTTTTTTTGCGGCACTGCTATAGTTAAACATACATCTGTGACCTTTGAACTTTCTCTGAGTTCTTTTGCTACATAGTCTTGGCGCAGATGTCCATCGCTACTGGTGCTGCCTTCCCGGATTATGACTTCTTTCAGAAATTTTTGAGCCCAGAGATTTTGGGGGATGAAAAGTGAGCAGCGTGTCGTGTGTTTAGACACTACTAAAATCCCATGATATAACTATTATTGCCTAGTGTCTTGCAATGGACATTTCAAAACATGCTAAAAACTAGGCGTGGAATGTATATTGTTCTTGCTCCATTTATCAGATCAACCATCACAGGATGCTATATATTGCTGTTAATCCGTGTACAATCTCTTTTGATATTGCCTCAGCCAGCAGCTCAGACCAAACTGACCCTCTTCATATGGTCAAGGTTGTTTTTTTTTAGCCCTTTCATATTCCCTGGATTACCGGCTGACCATTCTTTCTCCCTTTCGGCCACCTCCTAACAAGCTCAATGCATGCACTATGCATTTCTTCCACCTTGGTACTTCCATCAAAGCAGCCCACAGCCGTAACTGGCTGTGCTTGCTGGCCACTCACCCTAGGGCTTTATATGTTGAACACGTACGTTCCCCACTTGAGGAACATGGGCGACTATTACCTTTAAAATGAAACAGCATCCTTTAATTCTGCACTTGCAATTGTGGTATCAATGCACGCCGTACTCCATGATGCATACATACCTAGTTGGCATCGAGCAACACGGTTATTTAAACCCATCAAGTTCTTTACAAGCTCCTGTTTGCAATTACCGACCAGTTCATCCTCCCATCCTCTTCGCGAGTGCAGCCCCGAAAGGTGAAATTGTAAGTGCCCCTTAATCATGACAGGTTGAGCCATGTGCTGAGCATTTTTGTCCCCAAGGAGATCCATCCCCGTTTAGCCGCTACACCTTAGAACCAGCTTTGCACGAATTTGCGAAATAAAACCCGGCTCACGCCCATCCAACTCGTAACGACCGGAGCAAAATGAGACTATCAATTCTCCCTGCTGCGATTTTGTGCATTGTTTCCTCTGTTGTCGCCCATCCAATCAGAGGCAGCCATTCTGAACTAGACGTCGATTTCGTAGACGTTGAGGCTGGAGTTACTCAGCTATCACGACGGAAATGGCTTCGGTGCGCAGGCATATACAGCAAGGAGTGCCCTCCGCCATGCCAATGCAATAAAGATAGACGAATCTGCTATTGATTAGAAGTACTGGCTGGCGAGGAAATGTCGGCTTGAGAGGAATGTATGGATGATTGAAAAGCAAGACTGCTGGGAGAGTTGGTTGATTCAATTATCGGAGAAAAAAGACCACAATATGGTTATATGCTTGCTTTAAATAATTTAAGTAAATGCCACCAGAATGCATGTTACTTGCAATGGAATCTAGGCCTTAGACCCCGAAAGGTTCTGATATTTCTTCACAGCTGCAACAGACAACATCAAGGCAGGCGGCCCACCATATGGGGATTTTGTTGGTCTGAAGGATCCTTACGTTCCTGAAATTTCACAGCAACCTATTTAGGAATCATGCAAGGACTGTAATCCAAATTGAGATTTGTCAGAGCATCACAGGATTCCCATTACTCTTTCAAAAATACTTGCTTTCAGCAAATGAGCTCAATTGGACGACGCCGGCAGTCCCAGCCACGATAGCACTCTAGTGAATAAAAGGTATAAGCCGGGAGACTGTCGCAGGGAGAATTAGAGGAGAAAAAAATCGACATAGTCCTGCACAATAAAAGATGATAGGAGAAGAGCCAAAGTATGGTAACGTGAGCGTTAGGGAGATGGAGTCCCTCATCTTACATAACCACCCTCTTTTGGTAAAGTGTAGGTAACGGGGTTGTCGTGGCGGGCAGCGGGTCACATCACGTGATATTAGCGTTGCTGGTCAGGAGTTCATGTTGTGCCCCCCAGGCGGCTCCATAAATAGCGTCTGCCGTTGCTCGTAGCTCCTCCCTACTCCATAGTTATCCTTTCAACGATTCGGACACCCAAGACCTTGACCTTTGTACTAGATAACCCCCCCATTATCGTCCTCTTCTTCATCTCTATCGTGTTGTCTACAGTCCTCTAAAATTTTTGAAAATGTCGGGCATGGGAGCTCAGTTCCTAGCGGTAAGTCGATGGTCGCGGGGTCATTTACAGGGAGGATGTCGGCGCTACCCAAACCACCAACATGCCGTTTTTCAAGGGCAATCACAGCTAACTCATGTATAAACATAGAAACACAAAGCTCTTCAAGAGGAGAATGAAAACCTCCGTGACCAAGTCGCACAGTTGCGGGAAGAGATCAAGGGCCTCAAAGACGTGAACCGAGAACAGGAGCGGCAGGTCACAGAGCTTTCCCAGGGGAAAGAACTGCTTGGAAAGGATATAGAGAGAGTCCGTGGCCAACTGGGGGAAGCCAAAGAAGCACTCGATGCTGGTGCCCAAGACAATGCGAAGTTGAAGGCCCTTGAAAGCCGCGTAGAACTCCTACAAAACGAATTGGATGAGACCTTTGCCTCTGCAAAACAGGCAAACAAGAGGTACGGCCTTCCTTGCTGGCATTCATATACGGAATATCCTGTAGGTAGTTGCGTTCGTCGATTGCTGACACTTGACAAACAGTCGTCAGGAAGCGGAGCTTACAGCGGAACACTTCGAACGCCAGGCAAAATCCGCCGAGGCACAGGCAAAGGAATGGGAAGCAAAGCATGATGAGATATCGCAGAAGTACAAGGCACTGGAGCAGGAGATGAAGGATTTGGAGACTACTCTCAATAGCATCTAAACTCTTCCGTCTTTATCCTTCGGATTGCTGTTTGCCAAGCAAAAATGGTTTCACGACCGATCCTTTACACTTTCTCAATCGTACCTTCTGTTGTCATATTCCTCTAATGCGTCCGTTTATTTCATATCTCAGCGTCATTCGGTCAGGGGAACTTGAACTTTGAGAATTCGAAGTTCTGACTGTTTCCAAGATGCCAGACCACAGAATATGTATTTAATTATAGAATTGAATATATCATGTTGCTCGTCTAGCTTTCGCCTGCTTCCGATTGCCCATCCGTTCCTTCATTCTCGTGATTTTCCTCTCGGCATGAGATTCATATCGAAACTTCCTTTTCTTTTTCTTCTTCTTTGCCTGACTGCGATCGTTCCCCGTTGATGTTTGCTTCTCTGGTGTTTTAGTCACAGCACTAGTTGTCTTTGGGGATTCTTCGTCCTCATCAACCCTATCGATACTCTCTGCTGCTTTGTACATCCCTTCCTTCGAGGGATCCATGTCCTCCACCGTTACAGTGGTATATTTATTCTCGTCGATATATTCCGCCTCGTAATCCACCGGCTCAGGGAATCCTGCCCATTCTGCATCATTGTCTTGGTCCGGATTGCTCTCGCTTTCGGATTCCGATGGGCCATTAAGCTCCTGCATCCGTTTACGATTCTGGTCGAGTGCTCTTTGGAACTCCGCCTGCCTCTCTTCCCGCAACTGAACGCAGAAAAGAACACCGGTGAGAATATTGCATCCGAATTAATATGGGGTGCTCAGCTGACCTTTCGGCGGTGCTCCCTTCTTTCCTCCTTCGCCTTTTTCTCCGCTATCTCTTGCGCGTGCTTGGCCCGCTGTACTTTTCTCTTGTGGAATCCGGTGAGAAAATCATGACGGGCGTCATTATCAAAAACAATTTCGTCGACAGGGGCGATAGCCAATTTCCGGCGTTTAGGAGGAGGTGCCATTGTTAGCGACAGTTGCTCTCTTCAAAAGTATTCTGTATCGCGCATACTCCGTACTCCATGCATTTTCACATTGGCGTCCAAAGGATGAGCAGTACCAGGGAATTCGCTCGTTGGATAACGTAATCAAGTACGGAGTACGGAGTAGTTCTCTGCTCTGTGGTGGAGTACGGCCTAATGCCCCGTGAGCCATTTGGGGCTTCATCATCAAGGGTATCTTTAGAATGCCTTGCTTAAGTTCACTGGCGCTAGTTAATTCGTTACGTAAGCAAAACTATGGAGCTCGTGCCAAGGCCTCTGACCTCACCTAAAGCGTCGGTCAGGACTGCAACAGCTCAAGGCATTTGCTGGAGGAAGGGTCGTGGCATTTCACAGCTTCAAAAATGAGGTTTAGAGTCTTTGGGCTGCTGGCCCTGGGGCTCGCTGCCGGAATTGATGCATTTAGAGACACGTCCCCTTTTTTCTTTTTCTCAACACAGGAGTATGTACCGCCTATTTCACTCGCTCGTCAAGAGCTCGCACCGCTGATAGACTCCATTCCTAATAGGTTTGAAACAAGCTCTCGACAGATCTTATCTGCGAATACCGTTCGAGATGATGTACATAGAAAGCTGCTTTCATGTCCGTCAGACTACTATATTATCGTTTCCCAACCTGGCGTCCATTTTCTCGACTACGCGTCACGGAAATCGTCACCACGGCTACGCGAGAAGGTCCTAAAAAAGGATAGCGCTGTGAAGTCCAGCCTTGCAGTTAGTGAAGTTGTGGGAGATATCGATATAGGGGATCTGGTGTCAAAGCTCGAGTCGAGATGTGGCGCCGATTCCACCGTGTTGAACGGAGCCTGTAAGTAAGCCCCGGGGAGATCGCCAGATGATCTCGTGGGCAGTTGAAAGAGGGCATGGGACCTTTTTTGCTCACAAAATTAGCCAACTATTTTCCATCGATATCACATCGTGGCCGGCCACAAATCGTTAAAATAGAGTTCCCCGAGCTACCGATAGATTGGAAACGTGCAGAAACACTCGTTGATTATGGTTGGTATATCCAGGCGAAATACTTCTTTGTTCATGCTAATAATGCTCTGATAGATTTATATCTCGCTACAATTATTGATCATCTGCCTGTGACTAACTATAGCGTCGTCTACACAACCACAGCAAGAGCTTCTAGTGGAGCGGGGTCCGACATTTTGAGGATGCAAGACCCCCTTCATCTCCGGTTAAAGCGGGAACCCGAATCTCCTAATGACAAGCCCTCTGATAACCGACCACTGTTTGAAAAGTATCAGTTCCTGAGCCCAGGTAAGCTAGAATTCGATGCTCCTGGTTTGTTGTTCAGGAGGCTCTATTCTAACACCCTTGTATAGGCATATTCATGGGTCTTTTGGCATCTGTTCCGCTTATTCTTATTCTCTACATTGGTATATCTGGTTTAATGAGTGTGAAGATATCATATGCTGCGTTCGACAAAGCGAACGGTCCCGCTGCTGCTGCGGCAAAGAAGCAGCAGTGATGAGTCATTGAATCCATTGTGTTCTCCATGCCACCACCTTCACTCATGCCGCTCGCAAATTAATCTGGGTCATTTATTTTTGATGTTTTGGTTTCTCGCTACTTTTCTGCGGGACGGAATACTGCACTTTCGGCTGCAGGGTTTTGTGTATTTTATGAGGCCTGAACATCGGTTAATTTAGAGCTGATTAATTCCCCAGCACCGCCTTCGCCGAGTGCTTGTTTGAACACTTTGAATATTGTCTTCTGAGCTTTGTAGATTGCTACCTCCCCGTCTTCTGTGTGTGAATCAGCCAGTCGGCAAGCCCAAATTATCCTCTGACTAGACACGAGCGAAATGGGTTTCAGACTGTCTGTTAAAGGTGGCTGGGGTCCATGCCATCAGCTTGGTCCAAGTTGTGTGGCCCTGAGCACGCGGCTATATGGCTTTATAATCCGGTTTACCTGTCTTCGCGGCCTCCCGGGCCGGAGGCTTCGGGTATGGTCTCACACCATGATCAAGTAACATTTTAACAATTCTCTCGTTGCCTATCTCCTCTGCCCTCTGAAGTATTTGCCAGTGTGCTTGCAGGTTCTTACAGTGCTTAAGCAGCAACTGGACGAGTTCCTCGTCCTGGGTCTCCATGGCACGACAGAAGTAGGCGTTCACATCTTCATACCAGTGGCCTAAAAAGGCGCCTTTTTTCAGTAACATTGCCGTTATATCGAACCGCTCTACATCGATGGACTTTGTGAGGACCGATACGCCGGCCGCGTGATGACTCGGATCCGCTCCATGCTCAAGGAGCAATTCCGCAATTGCCGCATCTCCATTGGCCACGGCTTGGAACAATGGTGTCATGTAATTGTTCCCTTTGCATTCAGTGTCCGCACCAAACTCCAGTAACAATTGTGTAATGTCCGCTCGTCTGTTGATCACCGCAAAATCCAAGGGGGTTAGATTTTTTGCGTCTGTGGCATTGACAGCTGCTTTCCTCGCAAGCAAAGCTCTTATAACCTCTAATGGACGGTTCATTTCTGCTGCCACCAGCAACGGTGTTCTACCGCGCTCGTCTTTGGCCTCAACATAAGCCCCTTTGTCAAGCAGGAACGCGACCATTTCTCCACTCGGCTCACAGCTTCCCACCGCTGTGAGTAATGCGGTCCAGCCTAAACCGTTCCGGTCCTCCAAATGGCAGGCCCTGTCAAGAAACAGGGATATGTTTTCAATGCATTTTGAAGATATAGCATAGGATAATGCATTATACCCGTTCCTAGCCTTAGCGTTCATATCGGCGCCGAAATCTAACAACAGAGACAGGACAGCTTCTGATCTAGTCCGCGATGTCGCCATCAAGGGAGTATCACGGTCTATATTTCGGGAATTGACGTCTGCGTTTCGACCAAGAAGCATTCTTACCGTAGCCTCATGTTGGTTGGCCGCCGCAATCCAAAGTGGGGAACAACCCCCGATGTCCTGTTGCAGGGGATTTGCGCCATTCTCAAGAAGGAGTTCCACCACCGTGTTATGTCCGTTTGCCGCGGCGATCCAAAGCGGCGATTGATTTAGGTTGTTAGGGCGCAGCGCAGCATTATAGTCTAAAAGACAACGCACCGTGTCGTAGTGACCCCATTGGGCAGCAAAGAACATTCCTGTACGGCCTTCTTGATCTTGCGCATTGATATCAAAAGAAAGACTAAGCAAGTCTTCTACCAATTCCCAGCATCCCCTCCGTGCGGCAAGGCACAGAGGAGGCACATCTAGGTCCGGGATTGGGTCACAAACCTCCGCACGCCATTTTGTTGCGATTATCAAGCACACTGGATAAAAAGGTTCACACTTGAGCGCGGCAGATATGCTCATGTTGTCTAGTCCGTCGGCCAGATTGCGTTTCATTGCTTTGCTAAGGGCGGCTCTATATGTCAGATCCTGGTTTATTGAGGCAAATTGAACCGCAGCCCATATATAATTTTGCTTTATTTCATCCACCCTTTCAGAACCCTGAAAGGTATCCAATACTTTAAGAATACCGTTATAACCAAAACTCCGTGTTCTGATGTCCTCGGCCTGCAGTGCGCGGCGATAAAGCTCCCCAAGCTCCCTTGTCAGAACCTTCTGTTCTGTTGGCGTTCCATTATTCAAATTATGATAGATCCAACGAAGCATATCTTCTGCATTAACGAAATCATTCTTTCGCCTCCGTTCGGCCGCCAATGTTAATACAGACGTTTTGATATTTTCTGGTATGACAAGCAGAGAATGAGCTCGTAGGATTGGGATCATACTCGTCAAAGCATCTTCGCTAGAACCAAGACCCGCGTTTCTAAACGCCTCAGCAATCGAGTCAATGTGCCGGTTGACAAGCCGAAAGCTACCATCCTGTGAACGGACTGTGTCGCCACCAGCCTCAAGGAAAGGTTCAAAGTCTGAAATGTCTTGAATTGCATTCACCACCCGGCAGATAAAGATTGTAAATATATCCTGCGCGCACATCAATGGCAACCCATGTCTTGTTGAGACATATAAGGCCTTTGCATTGCAATTGAAGCTCTGACTATATCCGTACAATGAATTCCGTTTTTGAATAGAAAGAGGTACTGAGAGCACTGGGAGGTGGTCTAAGTCCCGGCAAGCTATATCAAACTCCGGGTCGTAGCATTCCCATACGGCAAAATCACGCTTTAGAGAACCCGAAACCCATGTTAATAGGTCCAACTTAACTCTTTCAACCTCATCCCACGACCTCACGAGAGCGAAGAATTTATCCGGATTTGGTATTGTGTATTTAGACCCATTCCGTATTGACCAAATCCATAATCCAAGAATGGCTTCCAACTCGGATAAATCGGTTCTCCAAGCACCATTTACGCGCTTGATGATGCCATGGATAGGTCGTACACCTTCGTCGGGGCTTTCGGTGACAATATCTACCGTCCAAAATATCGCCGAAATATCTTCCCAGCCCTGCTTCAACTGGAACCGCCCAGAGAATATGATTCTCGCCACGTCCTCGAGAGCAATCTTTAAACTCTGTGCGTGTCTCCGAACATCTATTTGCCACTCTTCAGGGAGGGAAGTGGATTGCTCTTGGGTTAAGCGAGAAAGTCGAGCTCTGTAATATAAAATCCGGGCAGCAATATGTGGGTTTTCGCTGGCTTCTGTACCATCCGACTGAAGACTAGATATCCATTTAATCACCGATTTCATGGTTTCCGATCCGCTCTCCAAGACAACACCGTATAGTCCGCTGACCTGTATCTTGTTTTCGCCAGGATCCTCGTTCGGACACCTGGGGACTGTCGGGTACACTTCCCACGTGCCTTCCAAGAATCGCTGAGGACAATTTTGCCGGTCAACGCGGTGAGCAAACCAGTCCAATTCGTGTCCGTTGACAGAGCTGCCGGAATCACGTAGCTCATTCCTTCCCTCTCCTAGGCGCTGGGATCTGAGTCCGGCTCGGACGATGGCCATTATCACTGTTGCTCCGAGTTGAAACAATGCGACAAACGAATGGAGACCTCGCAGGCCGACAAATTGAAGAACAAACCCGACTGATGTGCTTCCAACGGCGAGCCACACAAGCCCCTCCCTGGCTCGAGTAATTGGCCCTTCTCGTTTCCATGAGGTCATATACTCATCCAAATCTGCTGAATGGGCAAATGCATCGAAAACTTGGTCACCGATTGTTTGACCACCTTGCTGTAACCAGTACATTCGCACTCGCTTTTTGAAAACCTTCTCCTCGGTCGTCGTCTCAATAAGCCATGCACACAGGAACATACCCGTTACCAAGAGGACAGTCCCGGCGGATGCTATAGGAAATGCCCAAGATGGTATAGGTCTCTCATCTTTTTTAAATTTAGCAAAGTAAGTGATCCAAACGGCAAATCCAAAAACTCCCGTCTGCAACACGCATCCGCTAAATGCCGCAGCTAGAAGCCAAACCACAGGCGGTTTCTTGATGCCAATATTGAGCGATAGATTAGGGTTGGGCTCAAAACTAGTACTTTCTTCTTTTTCAAGCGGATCTTCATCCGTGAAATTTTGGGTATCCCCATCGTCTACCTCACGCCCGCCAACAGCTTCGAGCTTTTTCTGTTGAAAATATTCCCTCGAGGGGAAAAGATGAGCTTTTGACGGTGACCCGCTGGAGTCGTAAAATGCTCCGTTGTTCTTGTCGTAAATAAGCTCCAAGATCTTTGGCCTACCAAAAACACGCGCAATGCCACCGCGGTGCCAAAGTTCGCATACGTCGTTACTGGTGGAGGAGCAAAGTTCTACTTCAGCTATTCCTCGGCCTTCCTGCGCTCGTCCTATAAACGCTCGGAGTGATGGGCTTCCGCAGACCCGGATGACAGATACAACAGCCGTCAGGATGCCCAGCGGGGCAGCAGCGAAAATAACGTTATCTAGAAGAGAAGTTGACTCGCTCAGGAACTGTTTGGTGACCTGCTCTCCGAATAAAGCCAGCAGAGGGGTTAGATCCGTGGCGAAGTTATTGTAAAAGTCATCCCACTCGTCCTGCGCAAAGACTAGCGAGGCGAATACAAATAACACAAGGATAGGAAACTTCATTGAAGAACAACGGGCATCGATTTACCTGGGGACGTATTCTTTTGTTGTCATTGCATTTCATCTGACAAGGCTATGTATAATTTCCATGGTGCATCTGTCCCTGTGGCCGCGTGGCATTTGCAGCGAGCCCTGCATTCCCGTTGGATATCATGGCTGATTGGCCGGCCGGGGCCCCTTAGCTCACAGGCGGAGATTCAGGATACAGGTCAACTCACGGTACGGAGTAGTTATCCTGAGCTCATCACACCATGTGACTAAGCAAAGTTCATCAGACCATGTAAAATTACTGATCACTAGTTAATACTGGTAATATTACATGATTATATAATATGACTGGCTGACGGCCGGTTAACTAGTTATGTTGGTATAGAGGGGTTATCAGGGAAGGTTAGGGTATTAGGTGGGTAAGAGTACTCCTTAGGAGGTGTTAGAAATTAGGGATTAGGGGTTAGGGGTTAGAGTTTGGAGGAGCTTAGGGAATGTTAGGGAGTATGGAAATGAGTTTTGAGGGATCAGTTAGTGACTGGGAAATAAATTTCAAATGTCGGTTTGTAAGCTTTTGGTTTGAATTTTATATTTCATTACAGAGGTACTCCGTACAGGCAGCTGTATCATCACACGGTGTGATTGAGCTCAGGATACTGTACGCGGTCCATCTTGGCAAAAAAGGCCAGCTGCAATCATCTATCCATTCCTTTTTCGTAGCTACACACAAAGAGATATTAGAATTTGAGATACAGATATTGATGGACATCAACTGCGTTCGTTCAGCCAACCAGCCAATTTCAACTTCACTATCCGGCCGAGGTTTGTGGACCCATCCCGTTGCACACCCGTTTCTTCCATATCCCGGAGAATTTTATCAATATATTCACCTGCGCCGGAGAGGTGAAGGATATGAGCAATGGCGTTATGAATCGCAAGTAGCCGGGGCAAAGGCGGATCTATTGACTGGTCGTCTGCAAGATAGAGTGTACGAGTGACAGGGATTCCTTCTAATGCGAGTGAAGGGAGAAAGCTCTTAATCTGATAAGTATGCTCCTGGTCCGCAACAGGTTCAAAGTAAACATCAAAGTTGCCAAAATGCCGATGAAAGTCGTGGGTCAGGCTTATAGCATTGGATGGTCGGTCAATATTGCTGCCGTCAACAAGATGTGAAACATCACAGTCGAACATGTTGAGAATCATAAGCGCTGCTTTCTTGGAATCATCCTATGTGTGTTGTTAGCAAGAGAAGGATCTCTATTTGACAAGATGCTTACCAGTTCAGAATTTGCATCCGCTTGTGTTAGGGAGTGTGGAAGTATATGGGCCACTTCCAAGTAAGCAAACGGGGGTCGAAGCAGTTTCCCTTCGTCGTCTTGAGCATTATCACCATGCAGATTCAGACGATTTACTGCCTCTTGCTTATCAAATGCACGCGATATAACACATCGATGGCGATCGCGGACGAGACAAAGGGCCCGAAGAAAGGATAATCGCTCTGGAGTCCCGGTAAATTCGTGCAGTCTTCCCTGTACTCTCTGGATCACAGATAGGTGGGCTGGGGTGGGCTGTGGAGTTTTCTTGCTAGTAGCTTTCACTATAACAGGGTTAACAGACACTTAGAGAGTTGGGGGACAGGGGAACGGACTCGGCAGATAGAAATTGTCTAGGAGGAAATCTGCAAATTCGGCCAGCTTCCTGCCTAGCTGAGCCTGATCATCAAAGTCTCTATCTCCTTCGCCAACAAAATCTACCTCCATGAATTCGAAGAAAGCACGTAAAAATGTATCCTTCGATAACTCAGTGCGCGAATACTCATAAGTATAGCGGACCAGCAAAGAGCGCTTGTATCCACTCGTTCTGTTACCATCATCAAAATTGTTGACAATTTTGTAAAACCGGCAACGAGCATGATGACGCTGATCCGCAGGTAGGGGCTGGGGACCATGAAAGTTGATTATGCCCTCAAGGGACGACTGATGATGACGCCGAAACGACGAAGATTCCATTTTGTTTTTCTTTCTTTGAATGGCAATAAGACAGCGGGTGATGAGTTCTGGAGAGCCACTCTTATGAAGAGAAGGACAAAGTCCAGGCAACCTTAATAGCGCTGGTCTGTCCGGAGTACTCTGTAGGATCCAGATCAACTCTCAGTAAGACGCAGGTCAATCCTCAGTGGGAATCACGTCAACTTTCAGTGAGATATACTGTACTTCCGTTGATCAACTCAGTAAGATGTACTCCGTAGTTAGTGATCAGTAATTTTACATGGTCTGATGAACTTTGCTTAGTCACATGGTGTGATGAGCTCAGGACACCGTGAGTTGATTTGTATCCTACCTGAGGTCTGATCTGTATTTCCTGGTATTAAGTTGAACGACTTAAGTTAACAAAGTTAAATAAGCTGATTAGATGCGAAAGTGACGAATCAAGCTTTTTGAGCAGGCGCCCTGCCAGCGCTTCTCGTGCCTTTCCCGCATTTTTTTCGCTCAAAAGTACTCCGTACCGCCCCTGCAGGCACTCACGAGAGCGCGTCCACACCGCTATCATTGGCCGCTGATCGGCCTACTGGAGTTTGTTAGTGGCTGGTTAACTTAGTTGGGGCCGGGCGCGGGTGGGTCCCGTGGCTGGGGTAGCGTCCGCCGCAGCTCCTGATCGCGCGCGGGGGAAACGCAACGCCCCCGTCCATCGTGCGATGCTTGGAAGCTTGTGTTGGATGCAACTCCCCGAGCTAGCTGGCCAGTCAGTAACTTAGTTAAGTAGCGAGTCGACTTGGGCATCAGCTTGCTCTGCTCGCGTATGGGCCTTCCTCTGGCGTCGTGGTCACTCTACCGCTCCCCCATCCCGAAGCACGAGCATCATGGACAATGACGAGTTACGCAGGCAGCTTGGCCAGGTATTTGCCTACTCCTACTCCGTAGTTAGCTGCGAATATCTGCCAACCCGTCCCCTGTCAAAACACCCTGAGCTAATCGCCCGTTTCTGTTTACAGCTGTTCATCGTCGGCTTCCGGTCGCTGATCGCCACAGACGAGGTCAAATCGCTCATCCAGGCCCCATACTACTGCGGCACCATCATTCTCTTCCAGCGGAACATTGAGAGTGCGGAACAACTGATTGCCCTCATAAATGACCTTCAGCAGACGGCAAGGGATGCTGGCCACACCCGCCCACTTTTCATTGCTGTCGACCAGGAAAACGGCCTTGTCACCCGGATTAAGCCTCCCATTGCCACCCAGCTGCCCGGTGCTATGGCAGTTGGCGCCACCGGTGACATAGACGATGCCATCCGCGTCTCCACTGCCACAGGTGAAATACTGGATGCTCTAGGCATCAACATGAATTATGCTCCGCTGTGCGACGTCAACTCAGAGCCGGCCAACCCCGTCATCGGTGTCCGATCTCCGGGCGATGACGGGACCTTCGTCGGCAGAATCACGAGCAATATTGCCAAAGGACTGAGGAAGAACAGCATCGTACCCTGTGCAAAGCACTTCCCAGGACACGGAAGCACAAAAGTTGATTCCCACTACGGTGTTCCTGTCGTTAGGAAACCCAAAGAGGATCTTGAAGCATGTGAACTCCTTCCGTTTCGCAGAGCAGTCGCTGAGGGGATCGAGGCCATAATGACCTCCCACGTTGTTATGTCAGCCTTCGATGACGCTGGATTGCCATCCTCCGTCAGCAAAGATGTTGTAAATTTCCTGCGTCGAGGCCTACAGCATGAAGGTCTCATCATCACTGACTGTCTTGAAATGGATGCTATACGCGTGCAGATCGGGACCGAAAAGGGGGCCGTCCGGGCCTTAGCTGCGGGTGTCGATTGCGCGATGATATGTCACACTTATGATGTCCAAGTTCGAGCACTTGAAGAGGCATTCAATGCTTGCAAGATTGGCACTATTCCACTTCGTCAGATCTCCCAGTCCGTTTCACGGGTTCACGCCTTGAAGGATAAGTTCTTTGATTGGGACTCAGTTTTTCGCCACCGCTCAGTTAACACCGTTACCCAACTAAACTTGAAGCACCAGGAACTGGCAAACGATATCTACGCCCGGAGCGTCACTGTTATCAGGGATGACCAGAAAGCGCTCCCTCTGTCCAGGGGAGGGTCCTTGGTCTACGTCTATCCTTGTGGGAAAGCTCTCCGTGTGGGTGCTTCTGGAAGCGGCGAAACGGTCACCTGTGTTCCTTACACACCACCGGAATTCTCACAAATTTTGAAACTCTTTGTCCCGGATCTGATCGAATGTCCCTTTTTTGATGACGCAACTCTAGATGAAAGCACAAAATCCAAGATCTCACAGGCCGACGCCGTGATTTTGGCCTCGCGGAACTGCAGGTTGAATCCAAGCCAAAGACTGATAGGCACTCAGCTTGTGAATCATTCAAAAAAATTAGTCAGCATTGCTACATGTGTTCCATATGATTTCCTAAACTCAGGGATTAAAACTTGTCTTGCCATGTACGAACCGACCGTTGAGGCCTTCCAAGCGGCGGCCAATGTCATCTTCGGGGTTAATGAGGGGGTAGGAAAGCTTCCTGTTTGTACAAAACGCCCGCCACTCCCCATAGATTCTTTTGATCCGGAGCGTGACATGAAACTGGCGATAAACCTATGGCATATGTTACTCCCCCACTATGCTGTCCCTGCAGACCGTTTGCATCATCTTCTCGATCGCCCAAACGGGAAACATTTTACAATTTACGTGGAAGACCAACTTGCAGGTTTTATAGCTACCTATGTTAATGAAGATAGACCCACGGCATACATTTCCGTTCTCCTTGTTCACCCGAAGTTTCGGTCGCGCGGGGTTGGAACAGCCTTGGTTGAGCATGCTCGGCGTCAGTTGCGTGGAGCAGCTCGTTCCGTCACAATAGGTTCGAGCTTCCCTAGATTTTTCCTTGGCGTCCCCCTAGATATACCAGAAGAGGCCCAGAATTTTTTTATCCATCGTGGTTTCGTTCCGACCAGAGGCCCCTCGTCGAGAGACTACACGGCGGACCTAAGGACCTATCAACCCCCAGAAGGAGTTCTTCAGCGTGCCGCCGCGGCAGGCGTAACATTCACTCCTTGGAGAATAAATCTGTATCTTGAATGTATGGCTAACATACGTGAGCTCTGGGGTGATGATGAAGTCTGGCTTGGTGCATACGAGCGTCTGGCACGGCAGAACCGACACGAACAAGTCATGGTGGCGATGGATCGTTCCGGAAAACAAATAGGGTGGACTCTGATGCAAGAACTAGGTCTAGGTATGACCAACGATCTTGCCTTTATGCCGTTACTAGGCCAGAAAACCGGCCAGATTGGCTGTCTGGGTATTCATCCCGATGCGAGGAATAAAGGTGTGGGTCTAGCCTTGGTTGTGAGCGCTGCAATGGATATGAAGGGGCGAGGCTTAGAGAAGGTATTTGTTGATTGGACGAATCATGTCAATTTTTATGAAAAAGCGGGATTTGAGGTGTGGAGGGAGTATCGATCAATGACTCTGAAAGAGTCCGTGTAGTCAATATACTTATCATACACGGGCAACTGTCGCTTTGACAGGGTTTCCTGAGTCCAATTTCGAAGACTATATAGGCTTCGTCTATTTAAACCCGAATCTCGAGAGCAGTGTCCAGGGGCTACAACGTTTGCCTAGCGGCGTAAAAGTGCTGTTTGAAGCTGATTATCGGCTCCCAATTAACGAAGGATGGCTCGTTACTGAGGTGCGAAACCCCCCTGGATCACTTGCCATTCCCCGACTCTAAATCCGGTTCTTCAAATGGGGTTGCTCCCATATTCCTCCACGCCCCTTCAGCCATAAGCGCGATGTCCTTTTCCTTCGCGTGGAATAACAACTCGGCCGTCGATCTTTGCTCGAAGTGCGTGATAGATTTGTTCTAAAGCGGGTACCAGTGAGCAACAGCGATGAGAAATTCGTGCCCTTCTCTCCTGATATTCTGGAAACTTAACTTACCAATCCAAGGGTTAACTTTATCACCCCATCTGCCCAATGGGGTTTGTATTCAAACCGTGGCTGTTTGCCAGTGGCTGCCAGAACGACATTATCGGCCGCGACAGTGGCCTGGTGCATTGCAGAACGGGCATTGGGCTTGTCTCCGCGCGTCGAAGCGACGTCTCCGCATGCGTATATATTAGGCAGGTTCTGGTCTGATACCTGCATTGTTGGTTTAACTCTGATGTGTCCCGATTGCTCGATGATTCCCGGGCTCAGGTGGGCGATTAAGCCCGATACCGGCTTTTGACCAGTGCAGTTCACCTATCCCAGAGGTTCAGTAAGTTAGGTCTGACAGCTTTAGAACCGAGGGGAACCTGCATACCACATAGTCGGCCTTCACGGTTCTTCCGGACTTCAACACCACATGACCCTCTTCCAAAGCCTCGTGGGCCACTTTGTCGTTGAGGATTACTTCCACGCCCAACCCCTCCAGGGCTTTTCGCGCAGCATCCTGCAATTCCGGGCCAAATCTGTTCATGACGCCGCCTCGTGAGTGTACTAGAGTAACACCCTTATCTGGATATTGCTCTTTCGCATCGGCGGCGATCTCTACACCTGCAGCCCCGCCTCCGACGACGACGATATGCTTCGATTCCCTAATTCGCTCCTGCACTTCCTGCAAACGCTTTATTCCCTCCGCTTTGGTCTCTGCGCCCACCCGCGAAGGCAGCTGTCCACCCTGCGAGGAACCTGTCGCTATTACTAGAAACTCGTACGGCACCGTCTCTCCGCCCTGAAGCCTGACGCACGTCCGTTCGACGGTCTGGACGCGATCTCGAATCCATTCGACCGGTGCACCGGCAAGATACGGTCCGTACGGGATGAAAGCTTTATGTTCGTGGCCAGGTACGACACAGAATCGTGGTAGTACCCATGTGAACTGGAAATGGGTATTGGGCTCGATGATGATGACTTTGTAAGGGCTGTCAGGTGGTAGGGAGGTTGCGATTAGTCGAGCTGCGTGATACCCAGCAAACGAGGCACCGACAATCACGATGGAGCGAGATTTCTCCGGTTCAGTGGTAGCGGAAGACTTCTGTCGGGAGCGAGCATATCGGCGCACCTTGCCCGTCCGGCGGATTGCGTCGCAGTAGAGCCGGATGATGTAGGCGAATAATTTTATGAAGACCAGTGATTTCTTGAGCATGGTGAAGGGCGACGACGGTGACTGATGGCGAGAGAGGATTTATTCTGACTTCTAGGGCCATCTGTGAGGGTGAAACAATAGGAAGACCGAAGTGGTGCAACGAGAAAGTTGAATAACTCTTTGCCTCACGGGGTTCTCCGTATCGAGAGTAGGAGATAAAAAGCCCGAGTACCTGGAACGGCGGAGATACGGCATGCCTAAGTTGGAACCCGATCGCGGCGCCGGGCTTGGTCCGATAGGGAAATGCCATGATTCTGGCCTGATATCTGATTTCACGGGATATTTCGGCCGCAGAAATGGAGAAGTTGTCTCCATTGTTCCGTCGTGCAGCAAATTATCGTGCCTGGATGCAAAATTGACTTCCTTGGCGATGGAAAAACTCTAATCAGATAAGATTATCAGATCCGAAATCAAGGCTATCTACGGAGTAAAGCACGGCTAGTCCGGTATCAGATTAGATTATCAGATGATCTATACTCCGTACGGTGATAATTCCGCGGTGCTCCGTAACCACAGGAAAATTCTGTTCTTGTGAAGACTCCATATTATTTATCCCCCCTGCCTTGAAATGTCGCCTGTTGATAATTGGAGTTTGAGATCTACACCGAGAATTATTTCCTAACCCTATGACAGATGGAAGCATGCGCTTAAAAGGCCCAATGCCAGTAGGAAGCTTAGGCGTGGTAATCGGGCGCCACCCGCTGCTAAATCAAATTGAGAGTTTCAACTAAAAACATAGCTCGGTTCACCTCGGAAGTGGCGTCCTAATCTTTGATCTAAGATCAAACAGCCAAGCAGTTACGCGAGGTATGGATTTTAGACCCAAAGTTGCGAGTTCGGATCCCAGTTTCACTTGCGAGTTCAGATCCGAGTTTCGCTTGCGAGTTCAGATCCGAGTTTCGCTTGCGAGTTCGGATCCGAGTTTCACTAGCGAGATCTCTTGCAATATGGGGACATATATAGAGAGCGAGCTGCACATGTCTCGTAGGACAAGTCTCCCAAGATCCATTATTTAGCCCTTTGTAGGTTCCTGCCATCCTACCGTCACCGACACTCCCACGCTAGCTCGAAAAACGTGAAAACAAGACGCATCCACGTCGCAACCATGGGCTTCGCAGTTCTACCGGCGCTAATCCCGGATATTCCCAAGGTATACGATGTATACTTCGCCGCCTTCAAAGCAGATCCCATGGGAGAGATAATGCTTGATATCCTCTTCCCTGGCGGTATCACGGAGGAGTTTCGCAAAGCTCACTCAGAGGGTACGCTAGGCTTTTGGCATACAAGCCAGTCGCAATACACTTGGAAGTGTGTCGACACGAATACCGACGACATTGTGGGCATGGGACTTGCAGATGTATATCTCAAAGAGCGGACCGAGGAGGAACGCAAAAATCCTGGAATCAGCTGGTTGGAAGGTGAAGCAAAAGAGAGGGCAGAGAACATCATTAATCCTCTATGGGAAATGAAGGAAAAGCTATGGGGAGGGCGACGTTATATATGTGAGTGTAAAGCCTGCATCCGCACTCAATTCACAAGTCGAGTGTAAACATTTGCATCAAGAAGGAACCGCGGCTAATTGGTTTGGCAGATTGCCACGTTATTGGCGTGGACCCTAAGCACCAGGGACGGAAGGCGGGTGCAGCCCTGGTACGATGGGGAATAGACTTAAGCGAGCAGACCGGCCTGCCCGTGTATTTCGAAGCGTCCCCATCTACTGTTAAAATGTACGAGAAGATGGGTTTTGAAACGCTCAAGGAAACTATAGTCCACAGGGCTGAGGATTTGGGCATAAAAGAGGATATCGCGGTACCATTAATGGTTCGAATGCCCTCGTGTGCTGGGGGTCAAACATTTGAGGAATGGAGAGCAAAAGGATACCCAGCTTGGAGTGGGTGAGCCCTCCGGTGTTTGGATTTAGCCAAGGAAATAATCATATATTACCTCCCAGCAATTTAAGAGTTGAAAGTTAAAAGATCGGATATCCCTCCTTCTTGCCACATGCCGGCACAAATTTTTGGTCCAATTTGGTGATCAGAATTCATCAACATCCCTTGTACATATCCAGTTCGCAAGACGGAGATATTAAAGAGCGATTGCGGAGTTCCAGTCTCTCTTGCAATATGTCTGTCTATTTATTAGAGGTAATTGAACGGCTGGGGCTTTGTGACAAGGTTCACTCTCCCCAGCACCTAGATCGGACAACCCGGCCTGTATGGGACGTTGGATAACGCACCCAGTAAGTAGACTTTATTTGGCTTGGATGTCTCCCAAGAGGTGGGGAGGGCATTAGGCCAATCCCTTTTACTGAGGACTCGAGAATAGGTCGCAATCCTATCTAAACCTTGCCAATTCAAGGTTGTTTTAAAAGGTGAGTGCCGTTAATATTTATTTTTTCCATGAGTTCGAACGTTTGAAGACTTGGTATAAGGTCAAATCGAAAGGCTCCTCTCGTTCGTTACCTTGCTCTTCTAATCCATGTGGTGTCCTCGAAGTATGATGAAAGTATCCGACTACCGATTGCCTTTCGAAATGTCAGCTGACCTGAAGGATTGATTGGGATGACGAGGAATCCAGAATAGAAGCAACCGTCAGGGAGGTCAAAGTTGACTGGAGACGTCAGCTCAAGCTCGCCAGAATAAGCAGCCGAAAATATTTCGAAATCGCAATTAGGAAATGCAAGGAAACCGAGTCCTAAACCACGCTTCAGACGGAGCCTGCAAAGGAAAAAAGAAAACCCCGGCAAATAAGAGGGCAAGCAACGAAGTTTTCGGCGAGCAGAACTTGCTTGGCTCGCCGGGCTTTCAGCGGGTAGTAGACCTTCTCGAAGGAGTCAAGTTCCATAATCCTTTTTATCTCTCAGTTACTTGAATCCAATCTTGCGCGGTCAGGACGACGCTCTCTGAGGTGCCGAAGGAGCGGATGGAAAGCTTCAAGGCATATAAAATCACTAGTGGCTTGGCTGTTGTCTAACCAAATCGGGTTGCTGGTTGCCCCTCGCAACGGAACATCCAAAACAAAGCGAGGTCTTGGATGGAGAGCGCGACGATATGCCTTGTTTCAATCCATCGGCCTTGGAGCATCGATTATGACATGACATACACCACAAGGGGTTTTTGGATGCTATAAGAAGAGTGATCTAAGCTGTTATCATGCTTGCTGCTAGAGATCAGGAGAATTTGGTGCATTCTCACCAGACGGCCGCGGCTGCGAAGCCCCTCAACCAGAACATCCGATCATTCGCGCCAAAGACTCCTGGAAATAAAGTACCCAAGACGCCATTCAGGATCACACTCAACGATGAAAATAATCCCTTGACATTTGGTGGCTTGGGAAAGCAATCGGTCGCTGGACCTCGGTTTCAAACGCAGAAGGAAAATGTTATACGACGGACTGGAAAAGATGGGGAAGGGGAGAAGGGTGCTTTCGCTACACCGATGGGTATGAGACTCTGAGCGCTGGTATCTTACGCTTTTTGTTGACAACAGTGGCTGAGAACGAAATGTTATACAGGTCCTCGCAACCGCGCCCCCTTGGGAATGAAAACCACGAATGCAAAGGCCTTTCAGACGCCAGCTCCACAGCTAGGGACCAACAAGCCTGCAAGAACAGGTAAACGAAGCTCGACCGTCCGCAAATTGAAGCAGTCTGCACCGAAACAAGGGAATACTCAGAAAACGTCGAGAAACGTGCAGGATGAAGAAGTTCCTGACATTGAGTACATGCCACCGGCGCCGCAACGTGAGTAGAAGCACCTGCGATGTCGTTGAATTCGGATGTGTGTTGCTGATCATTCTCGGTCTCCGTAGCGCTTCCTGATCCTCCCGAGGATATCCCCTATGATACTAGCTTTCCGCAGTTTAAAGGACGAAATTTTGCTCGAGGGTGGGCAAGGCTGTATAATGACGAGTACGATATTGGAGAAGATGGTCTTACCAAGAAGGAGAGGGAGTGGCGAGAGGAACAAGCAGCATTCGATAAACGATTTGACGACCTCATTTTGCAGCAGGTGCGAGAGATGGAGTCGCTGAATATCAAGGAGTTCCCTGATGAACCTTGCATCGAGGAACTTGAAGCCAAAAGGTTGAAAGGCTTAGAAAAGAAAAAAGCGAATAAACCCAATATTAACAGGCATGTCTCTACTCTGCAATCGCGTTCCGCGGCCAAGGCGCTCTCGCGGCTGCCTCGACCAGTTGCCCATCCAAAGACTAGACCTGCTCCCAAGGCGCGGCCAAGAGTGATTACGGGTTTGACGTCCAAGAGAAAATCTACCGTCCCACCGAATCCCTCCTCCATGAGACACACAGCTGCTGTCGTCACTTCAAGGACGACCCTTGGCTATGCTAAAGGACGCGGCGTATCCTCTGCGTTACGGGGTCGAGCATCCAAGGAAGAAGTGAAGAAAGTGTCGTCGACAAAGAGCATTATTTCCCCGGACAAGTACATGGAACTCTATGGGCCGCCACCCTTCGGCACGGAAATGTGGCTGCGATGCAAAACAGCCGGCCTCTTTGACACTGAGGACGTGGACCAGGCAATTCTCGATGAAATTCCTCCATCATTTTACCAGGAGGATGAGGAGACGGCCAATTTCCAACTCACATTGTAGAGGTCTCCAAGGGACCGAGTATAGTTATTCTTTGAAGGGCGTTGCTTGGGAAGGCACTTGTCGAGATTAGATCTGGGCTAAGTTGGTTTGGGTTTTGGTAAATTGGTGTGGTTCCATCGGCTTCAGAAGGTTTCAGTTTCAGGATGCAACTTGAGGGTGTTCTGGCGGGACTTGAGACGGTCTTCACAGCGGTTGCGCATTTGTATCCACTTCCTCGGGGTTCTATAGTTTGCTTGAAATGCGTAAAGTAGAATCCGAGTGAACAATTACACATATTTAACATCCATCCCTCTTCAATGTCAAGGGGGTTGTTGCCAACCCCATATGTTTTGTTGTTTTGATTCCCTGCAAACAAATTGAGTTTTGTGGATTTGCATGTGTTGGCTGATCCAAGCTTCGTCCGAGCTGTCTTTTGCTTTCGTTCTCCTCACAACCGACATTTGTTGGGAATTCGCCCCCGTCGACTCACTTTTCTCTGCCAGTCCCTCTAGCTAAGTCAATATGGCGAGAACTCATTCTGAGTCTTCTGACGACTTTGAGTTCATCGAGACCCCTGCTGCCCCCTGTCAGTCACCTTCGCCTGAGAATTGTGGAGTTCGGACCACGTCGGTGAGTTCTCCAAGGACAGTCCAACGATCCCCCAAGCTCAGTTGGGGGCACAGGCAACGATATCCCGCCCATTGGACTTTCTGGGCCTGAGATAAACACTGGAATGGCCTTAAAGAACCATTTCCGGTGCGCTAACTCGAATTCGTTAAACAGTATCCTGCGATTAAAAATGCACCTCTTCCCGCTGATGCTGCAGGGAGCGACAGCTTCTCCAACATCCTCCTAATTTCCCTTCTTGTTCTCGTTCCGTGGTACCTTGCCCGACAAGTTGGCGGTGGATTTTACACTACTATCTTCTTCGCTGTCTTCACCTCGATCCCCATTCTCATGGTCTTCTGGTCTGTCGCCTCATCAATTTCACCACGCAAGAACGAAAAGGCCAAGTATCCCGGTAGACCCGTAGAGCACTACCTTCATTTCCACAGCGAGCATGACCGAGCAAAATATCATGGCAAGAGCAAAATCCCCATGGAGACATTCCATGAGATGTATTTTGCTGGAAAGGTGGACTTTAAGGGCGACTGCCTTGAAGCCTTGGAATATAGACATGATTGGGCAGCGTTCAGGTTTACCTTGAGCTTGTACAAATTTTTCTTGACCGGAATGATGCCTGAGGTTATTATGCACACTCGCAGCCAAGGTACGGTTCATGTTGTCGATTCGATTGTGTGTGACATGAAGCTAATGATGGCCTTTTGGATCGTCTATAGATGAGGAACAGGTCCGTGGACATTACGATCGCGGAGACGACTTCTATGGCTGGTTCCTTGGCCCACGCATGATCTACACGTCTGGTCTCATCAGCGATATCAACAAAGAAGAGACCTTGGAACAGTTGCAGGATAACAAGTTGGCTGTGGTGTGTGAGAAAATTGGCCTCAAGCCGGGAGACACCATGCTCGACCTTGGCTGTGGTTGGGGAACTCTCGCCAAGTATGCTAGTGTTCATTACGGTGCTCATGTTACCGGTATCACTCTTGGGCGCAACCAGACCGCTTGGGGAAACAATGGCCTTCGGAAAGCCGGCATTGAAGAAGCTCAGAGCCGAATTGTTTGCTGTGACTATCGTGATGCCCCTGTCGTATCTGGCGGTTACAAGAAAATCACATGTCTCGAAATGGCCGAACATGTTGGTGTCCGCCACTTTGGATCATTCTTGTCCCAGGTCCACGACATGCTTGATGATGATGGTGTTTTCTTCCTTCAAATCGCAGGTCTTCGCAAGTCTTGGCAATATGAGGATTTAATCTGGGGTTTGTTTATGAACAAGTATATCTTCCCAGGTGCCGACGCCAGTACACCACTAGGATTCGTGGTCGATAAGCTCGAGGGAGCCGGTTTCGAGATCAAAGGCATCGATACCGTTGGCGTTCACTATTCTGCAACTCTGTGGAGATGGTACCGCAACTGGCTCGGAAACAGGGAAAAGGTTGAAGCCAAGTACGGCAAAAAATGGTTCAGGGTACGCTTCAGACCGGCCTTTAGCCCTCCTTCATTTATGATTCTTGGCTAACCGACAGTTTTAGATTTGGGAATTCTTCCTTGCCTACTCGACCATTATTTCGCGTCAAGGCAGCGCGACATGCTACCAGATTACCATGGTCAAGAACATCAATTCCACCCACCGCGTTGAAGGCATTCCAACCCAGTTCGGTCTCTCGGGAGCCCGTACTGCGGCCATCGAGAATGTTGGAAAGGGTACATTGCTCACTGCCAACGTTCCTGCTACCGAGAAACATTAGACGAACTTCACGCTGGTGAAAATACAGGTTAGATGGACTAGACTTCAAACTTAGACTTCAACTAATTTAAAGGACATTGAAGATGCAGGATGGCGGTGGGAGGAAAGCGAACATTCATTACGGTACATATGGTAGAAAAGAAGGGGGCAAGACGTGTTGACAAGGCATCATCGGATTCAAATCTGGCCTGCTATCTTTCTTTTTTTGTCATATTCGCAAAGGCCCACCGGGATGTTTTACTTTACTGTTCTGGTTTAACTTTTTGTTTTGAAAAATGGAGGGAATTCATAGTAATTCTAATATGGGCTTTCATGGGTATATAATCTCAATGCTTGTTATCTCTCTGGTGTTCTTCAATGGGTCAGCTTTGCGGTTCTGGTAGGCTGCATCCAGAGACAATGCCACCCTGGGTTGCCTGTCAGCTCCTTTCATCATAGAAGTAGGGATGAAGTTGAGACGCTGAACAGGAACACCAGATACCTCTGGGTTTTGTGTCACAAGGTTCCTGCATATATGCTCTCCTGAAGGACAACACCCTGGTGATCGCACACATTGTAATTATTCGAAGAATATGGCTTGGTACCCAATCATCCAGAATCTGCAATGCTAAGTTTGGCTTCTCAGAAACCATACACCTGGCTAGTTCCAGCACCTGGAGGTTGTTCGAGGTCATAGGAGTGCAAGGAGGCAGACATCATTGAAGATGGTTCGGGTGCTAATATCGCCAAGGAGATAGGAGAATGAGCTTTCGGAAGTGCAGGTATGTCCTACATACAATAATCGGCTGGCGGTTTGAAGCAATATCACCTTCGTTGGGTCCAGAAGTCTAGGTCTGGAACCGGTAGCCGGCGCGATTCCTCCGATGCGGAGGTGTCCCAACGGGGAGCCGTCTGTTCTTTGGTTGAAGCTCCAGGAACACGAAGCTAGCGCGCCAAGGCGGCGAAAACCAACCAACGGTAGCGGCCAAGATGCCGAGGTCTCTTCCCTCGACTCTCTGGCGGTCGCTTGCGCTGCGATTGAATCCGGGGATCCGATCGGTAAATCGCACCCCGTCGCCGGCTTTAAGAAATCCAGGTCCCTTACTTTTTCCCCTACTTCTCTTCTTCACTGTCACTGCTATTCTTATTCCTGCTGACATCCCAGCTTCCCCTGTTCTGCAGCTAACACCCCCCTCGAGCTGTAAAGGTTCCATACCTGGGGTCTCCCTTGCATCTTCCCCCGCATCTCTTCCCCCCGACTCCAATATCGCCATGCCGACCAAGTCCTTATATCCCACCGTGGACATTCCAAACGTCGACATCTGGACCCTCCTTTTTAACCGGAAGGATAGACAGTTTCCAGATAATAAGAGTACGTCTTCTGCCCCTTCGAAACCCCGCTTGCCTTGCCTCCGAGTTGGATCCCTAATATTTGTTTTCCCTGGGGAACAGTAATATACCAAGATGCCGAAACCGGCCGATCGTATACCTACGAGCAAGTTCGATCCACCGCTCTTGAATTTGGCACTGGTCTGAAAGCAAATTGGGAATGGAAAAAGGGCGATGTCCTTGCTGTGTTCTCTCCGAACAGCATCGATATCCCGCCGTTGACATGGGGCACCCACTGGGCTGGTGGCGTCGTTTCTCCCGCCAATCCGGCATATACCGCAGATGAACTAGCCTTCCAATTAAAGGGCACAAAAGCAAGAGTGTTGGCTACCCAGATGTCCTGCTTGTCGACTGCTATCGAGGCCGCAAAGCGGGTGGGTATCCCAGACGATCGAATTATCCTGATTGGCGACGAGAGACACCCAACTTCGAAATACAAACACTTCACAACCATTCAGAACATCTCCCGGTCTATTCGATATGCTAAAACCAAAGTTGACCCTGCCAAAGACCTTGCGTTCTTGGTCTACTCCTCGGGCACCACTGGTGTGCCCAAGGGCGTCATGCTATCGCATAAGAATATTGTAACGAATATTCATCAGCTCAAAGCCGGAGAAGAGGGAAATCTAACGTGGAATGGAGGCGCCGATGGATCAGGTGATAGATTATTGGCTTTTCTGCCATTCTACCATATTTACGGTATGTATTGTTTGCCAAGGCATTAGGGAAGAGTCACCGCTAACACCAGCCCTACAGGTTTGACCTGTCTCGTCCACAATGCTCTCTTCTCCGGGCTGCATCTAGTTGTCATGGCTAAATTCGACATCGAGCGGTGGTGTTCCCATGTCCAAAACTACCGGATCACTTTCTCCTACATTGTTCCTCCCGTCGTCCTCTTGCTCACGAAACACCCAGTTGTAGACAAGTATGACCTTTCTTCTCTCCGCATGATGAACAGCGGTGCTGCACCCCTCACACGCGAACTTGTCGAATCCACATATGCTCGCATTAAGTGCGGTATCAAACAAGGATACGGACTCAGCGAGACCAGCCCTACCACTCACACCGTGCCATGGTCAGACTGGAGGCGCCGCGCCGGCTCTGTCGGTAAACTCCTTCCAAATATGGAAGCTAAATACATGACTTCTCCGGAAGATGACTCCGAACCCCAGGAGGTACCCGTCGGCGAAGTCGGCGAGCTCTACATACGAGGACCTAACGTGTTCCTGGGGTACCTGGATAACCCTGCAGCTACTGCGGCCTGTGTTTCGCCAGACGGCTGGTTCCGTACCGGAGATGTTGGATACCAGGACTCAGAAGGCTTCTTCTACATCACCGATCGCGTGAAGGAACTGATCAAATACAAGGGATTCCAGGTCGCACCGGCAGAGCTCGAAGGTCTTCTTACAGATCACGAAGCGGTGTCTGACGCGGCCGTTATCGGTGTTGAAAGTGCAGAGCATGGCACCGAGGTTCCTCGAGCGTATATCGTGCCGAATCCCAAGATTATTCCGCCTGGACGACGCACCGCGGAGGAAGGAGAGAGGATCAGCCAATGGCTTCAGACACGAGTTGCTCCTTATAAGCGGCTACGTGGTGGAGTTCGATTTGTTGACGAAATCCCGAAGAGCGCAAGTGGGAAAATCTTGAGAAGGCTGTTGAAAGAGGAGGCTAAAAAGGAAGAAGCGATCGTCAAGGCAAAGTTGTAAAGGGCTTGCAGGCTATAATGCGAGCTTTTCAGGGACATAGAATTTCATGGATTGCAGTTGAGCGAACGATACTCCGTGCTCTATTTCAGTTATACTCCAGGTACTCTTACACACCCATTTGTTTCGTTGAACGTGGGACTCCTAAAAGCGACTCCAAAGCTTATGCCGTAGATATCTCCGGAGTATAAGCTAGAAAATTATCTGGATATACCTTCAAATACAAGGGATGTTGTAAGAATTGTTTCAGATTACTCAATTGGAGACTAGGCAAATACCGTAGAAAACGCAGCGAAGTCTCCCGTCAAAATACGGAGCAGTAAGTTGGTCACTCAATACTCCAGTCCGCAGGCGAAACAAGAGGCTTCCGCATGAGTGGAACCGTTGTCGTTCGCGTCGCGTTGCGTCTTTCGGGACGCGACTCGGTGACGTCTGACTAATCAACATTGGGATATGCAAACAATGCAAACACTGGTCTCGACGACGACAGACCATCATACCCAACCGTCAAACAGCGGCCAGAGACCACACACAGGTAGTGTGCGGCAGCTTTACATGCAGCTAGCCAGCCACCTTGGACAGATTGCCATTTCTAGCTTGACCCTACTTAGGAGCCGCTGAAAAGACGATGCCTATAGCTTGCGGCTCGCCACCATTGCCCAGCCCTATCTGGCTTTGGTACGTCGTGGGAACTCATCCGGTTCTCTTTTTTCGTCCATGGATGGGATACCACCTGGAACCGCAAACCCCCATTGAACAGTTTACTGGCATATCATGAGGCCCTCCGTATTTGGGTGTCCAAGAGCTCTCTAGTGCCCCGTGGGCAGTTTCATGTTTCTCCTGCCAGCTCCTGCTGTGCCTCATGATCTATTGTCCAGGATATATCAATTATATATCCCTAACGGTATACACGTTTTTAAGCGTGCTTTAGCCAGCTACTTGTCTACTCGTACGGGTTCTTGACCAGACGATAGACTCTAAGTGCATTGGTTTCGTATATTTTCCCTCGTTGATAAGAGATACCCATGGCTTTTGTAAACGAAGATGAGGTTCTTAAATTGGGCCAGTTCCCCCCCAACCCCCCCCCCCAAAAAAAAAAAAAAAAAAAAAAAAAAAAAAAAAAAAGGAAAAAGAAAAAGAAAAGAAAATTCCCTTCCCAAGTCCTGGATATAGGCAGTCGGAAAATGCCGTGCTTGTACCACATGCACTGCCAATTGCAGACAGGTGACTAGCAGGAACACATTTGATGTGAAATGTTGTTTTGGTTGTTAGTTAAATATGGATTATTCAGAATCTTCGCGTGCCAAAGCCCTCTTCCCACCTTCTCCTTACTCTCAACACTTTGTTTTCTTTTCAACAACCCAGATCGCCGCGGCGACCATCCAGGTTCCTTTACACCTTATCAGCCAATACCCCGCGGGGAGTGAGTTCCGAAGAGCTTCTTGAACTAGTTTTCTATTTCAGGCAAAAGGTATGATTTAACGCGTTATTCCTATCTTTGTTCATGATGCGCATGGATATCAGATCGAAGATGGAAGAGTCATAATCTCTGGCAACACTATATTAGAGACATAAAACAAACTGAGAACTCTCAATGCTAATGTCATAGTATGGACCAGGCCGCCTTTCATCCTTCTTGCCATTTTCGATGATGAGTAGTATAGCACAAGAGGGCGATGTCAAACCCCCTAAAGTCGATACTAGTGATCATTTGAATCCTCTACCATCCCATATTGGTTCTGATACCAAGGCAAAATGTGGAGATGAAACTCAAACGGCGGCCGGCCCAAGCAATGACGCTACTTCTGTTGATTTGTCCCATGAAAAACAGCCCAATACTGACAAGGGATTAAAAACTTCGAACGTCTTTGGCTATGAAAAAAGCAAACTTAAGAAGACTGGGTTTGCCTTCTCAATTTTCTTTTCGTGGTTTTCGAGGGCAAAGCCGCAGCCGAAGGAGAATGGACCGGAAGCCCCCGAAAAGGGAGCAGTCGAATCCGGTGCTGCGGAAAGCAATTTCAACCTCGTTAATATGCCTGTCGACATCATATTTGATATTGTTGACTACTTGGACCCTGCCGATCGCGAAATCCTTCGGTTTACTTGCAGGGCTTTTTACTATGGCCTCCCTGCTCTTAATTTTAAGCACGAGCATGATGGCCGTTGCATGTTAATCCAAGTCTTCCGTCGCCTATACGGTTCCTCTCTTATGCCGGATGTTCGCGAAGGACGCACTCTTCTCGATAATTCTGATGTAAAAGAAAAACTGAGTGATCATTGTGGTCTCTGCAGCATCACCTGGCCTCCCGGCTCTTGGGTCCATTGTCCTTTTCACAAACCTCTTGAATATGCTTCTCCCCCTCCTCTTTTCAGTTTCAAAAGGCCGTGGCACTATATGTGCCTCTCACATATCCGCTGGGCTTTTGCATTAAGAAAAGGCTTGACCCAAGAATCCTACCAGAAAATCATTGCTAAAGATGTCGAAAACGGCCGACTACCCCGTCGAGTACGTCGCTTCAGCCCTGTCTTCTCAACCTACATAGCTTCATGGAACGATTATCTGGCCAACGTCGAAAGCGTTCGATGGACTGATGGGACATACTTTGGGAGCGCAGGTAACCCAAATACTAACGGCCTTACGAAAAAGAAAGGCGCAAAACCTGACCCAGAGGTTATCAAGCTGCACTGCTGCGGCCACTGCCTTAATATTCTGCCAGAAAACAACCCAGAGAGAATGTGCGGGATGTGTGACTGTGGATACTGCAAACAGACTTCCATTGAAATGCTAAGGATTCCAAGAGATGATATGCGCACGAAATTCGTGCCCTTAGCCAAGGTTGATGAGAGTCATGTTGAGAAAATAAAGGCTGCAAAAAAGGCAGGGATCAAAAAGGAGCCTCTTTAAGCTGGAAAAACTGTCTTGTTTCTTTGGTTTTTTTTTTTTTTTTTTTTTTTTTTTTTTTGTTGGCTGGCAAAGGGACTGAAAGGAGATAGCTAAGGGGTGGTTTTTAAACTTCATAATAGGAATCTTATGAGCTGAAATGAACTCAAACTCAAGGAAAGTAATTTAGGGAACAGCTGCTGGCCTCTATCTTTTCTTTTTCCCTGTTTTCCAGCATTAAATTCTCCGCTCGCTTTTTTATCTTTTGTGTTCTTAGGCAAGAGATGCAACCTTCTCCTTGATTAAAGGGTTTCTAGATGCTAACTACAGAGTACTAAGTCCAAGCCTTGTTTTTAGGCCTCCTTACGTAGTATTTTCAAGAACCTAATCCCCCGATCATACTAGGAGAGAGAAAAGGTATCTGATATAGAAGCTCTCATATATATATGCATTCATAGGAAATAGGTAAAGGTCATTATTGTTTACCAAACAGTTTCAATATGTTAAGCAGTCCAAACAACAGCCGAAATGATCGCCAGTGTGTCCTTCATGGTGGGAGAGTTAAACCGGTATGTGTGTACGTGCGCAACGTCGTCGAGTATGCAAGAAACCATCAGCGCCGCCGAATTTCGAATGGCTTTTCGTTTCCCGAAACTCTGCAGTTCCGATCTGTTTTAGAAACAACCCGCTCTATCGTCTCGAGTACCCCTGCGTGCATCGAGTCGCTTCCACTGCCGTTTTCCTGTTCGCTGTTGCTTTACACGGGGCACTGCTTGCGAAGTGGAACCTCAGAGCACAAGGCGGGGGGTGGCTGAGTGTATTCATCGCAAAGCACGTTGCATTCCGTATTTTCGTGGGTGAAAACCAAAAACTCGTAGTTCTTGAATGGCAAGCGGAATTGCCTTGAATCGTCGCCCTCGAAGGCTTTGTATCCGGCCCGGCAGGCGCAATGGAAATGTTTCCCAGTGCTAATGCATGATGTAGTAGGGTGGCAGTTATTTTGGCCAGAGATCGGGTTGCATGTTGGGCAAACAGGAGGAGAGAGGGCAAGAGAAGTGGTTGCTAGGAGGAGGAGAGCACCGATAGCTTTGAAGGTATGCATCGTAATATTTGTTTGTTTGCAATACAGTCAGGTGTTTTATGGGAGAAATGGGTAGGTTAGCGAATGATTGTTTCGATGACCACGGGAATAAAAGAAAAAGAGGGATATCAGAAGGACTTTCAGCCCTTATATACGTTTCTTGAGGGGTATAATAGGCGAGAATCCAAAATTTGACTCTCAGTGCCGAAGAAAACTGCCCATGCTAGTCGACATGGATATCGGCCTGCTTGCTTCGGCGCTGGGTACCAATCCTAGAGCAGGAGGGGCAAGTCCGCGCGATGCATGGAATCCGGGAACCAGCTAAGGGAGAAAATACGGTGTAGAGAGGCTATGTCAATGCCTCTAAGGAGAAATCAAGTTCCTCACTGGGGAGCTATTCTTAGATGGAAGACATCTGCTAGCAATGAGCATGAACTCAACCTCCGGTGGCTCTCGGAACTGGATATAGCCTTAGAGAACCTCTTACTTGAAAAGTAAATTTTTCTCGGGTCTGACCGTTCGTCCGTAGCCAAGTGTCAAACCACCGCCAGCATGTTGAGAATTTCAGATCCAAAGCCACCGCACGCACTAAGAGCGAAGAAGGTGAATATGGCGCCGCAGAACAGAGGTCTCTCGCCAAAAAAGAACATGGAGTTGTAAAAGCGCCAATTACATCATTTTGCATGGTCTGCAACGTCGTGCGGAGTAACAGTTTCTCGTGGCCGAATACGACCAGTTACACTGCCGATGGCACCTGCAGGTTGACTTTGCAGCTGCGTGTCGGAGATTGGGTGCCAACCTTCTGCTTTGACCACCCGTACAATCAAGCAGTCGCCTTGCTGATGCGTGAGCTAACTTTCCCGGGGGAAGCTGTTATTTGCTAGGTTTCTCGCCCAATTGCTTCGTGCATGACTCTCGCTTATGGCAAATTCTGGACGTTGGCCACATCCGCTGCCGTACGTCGGAAGCTCGGCAACGGTCCATCAACAACAAGGTTGATGTTTGTTCCACAAGAGGTTTGATTGTAGTCATGTCAAAAAGTAACAAAGGAGCGGCTGGGGCCAGAGAAGTCAATTCAAGCAAGAGCGCATGATAGTTGTGGCAGATAACTAAGGCAAATCCTCACAAAGTATCTTTTAGTAGGCTAAAAAGCCTTTGACTCTCACCATATTTGAGAAATGCTTGGGAGTGTCCTCCGCAGTGATGCCTCTTCCGTCGAAAAGTTAAGTTCATCCACGTGTATTAGTCTGGAAACGAGCATGCCTAGAACCACGGAATTCAGCCCGGCTCATCACGAGGCCATCCAAACCGGGCTGGCAACCGACTCGATGCACAGAGCGGAGGAGTGCTCAGGCTCCTGTTGGGAGAGAGAGGCGAGCGGGCAAAAGTCACGATACGATGAATGTCTCAACGCCGCAGAAGCTGCGTGGGGGGAAGTCAAAACAAGCTCAGCTGGGCTAACTATAATGGGAGTAGCGCATTAACTCCAGCCACTCCCGTAATCCTGCTAAATTTAGAAAAGTCTCCGCATCCTGTCGTTCAGCCAACCAGCATCGGAAATCTGACCATCTCCGGCCGGTGAGTGGCCAGCAGGGTTTGGCTTTCGATTGAGTTTGGTGGGTCCAAGGATCTCGGCGGGTTTTGCTGAAAGCGACCTGAAGGTCATGATGTCGTTCAAAGCTACCAGGATGCCCTTGTGAGGGTCAAAACGCTCCACGTTCAGCTCACGGCCCATGTTATGCGTCATATGGAAGGAGAATTCAGGTGAAATCCAGAGGACGAGTTCAAACTTCAACAACGAAAATAAAAATAATGTCAAGACACACACTGCCATGCAATGGTATGAAATCCCTGCAACATGACTCCAGCACTCCAAATTATGGACCATCCAAGCGAAAAGGTGGGATATACTCAATTCTTTTTCGACAAAAGAATCTTGACTTTACATATCCATATCATCGTCTTCAGCTCCTTCAATGAACACGAGCTTCGACCCGTTTCCGGTGACTTGCCAAACCTAGAAAATGACGTGTCAGCTGGGAATCTGCAATTGCGAGTCTATCCGAGAATATCGGCTGGTTGAGATCGCAACGAGCTTGTAATTGGAGATGAAGGCCATCACTCGAGGCGACTTACATATAGACCGGCATATTCATCGATGGCCTCACTCAGCTGGTCCTCCGTGAATCCCTTTGCCAATACTCTCTCTCTGATCTTTCTTATGCTCAACTCTCCATCTCCTCCATCACCAGCAGCAGCCGCACCGCTCTCCCGCATACCTCGGATCAAATTGTAGATCTTACTGGTCGGGGTCTGGTCTGCAACGCCCTGATTATCCATATACAGGCTAGATTTGCTAACTTCAACGAGGCGGAGAGCCTCGTCCACGTCCTCTATAATGACTTGGTTGCTGAAACGTAGACGAGCCAGAGCCTGAGAAAGGCGCAAAACACCAAGCAACGTTCGAGGAGTGGTGTGTGAAAATTGCTTTTTACTCCCTTCCTCTGATTTTTGATCTTGTCGGAGACGGACATAAGAACCCACCATATAGTTAGAGACTTGCTTCGGAACGGTGGGGCGGAAAGTTCGAGCTTTGGCGATATACTGTCGTACTTCATTGGGGGTAAATATTACTTCATTCTCCTCATTTTCAGGGTGTTTGTTGTGCATGTGCACATATGTGACGTGGTGAGCGAGCTCTTCATCTGCATCACGAGAGGGTGTGTCGAGCATTAAGAATAGGACGTCGAAACGGGATAGAAGGGCGGCTGGAAGATTGATGTTTTCTACTGGCGATACTCGAGGATTATAGCGTCCGTATAACGGGTTAGCTGCTGCTAGGATGGATGTACGGGCGTTAAGAGTTGTCGATATTCCTGCCTTGGATATAGATATTGTCTGTTGTTCCATTACTTCGTGGATCGCTGTCCTGTCGCCGTCGTCCATTTTATCGAATTCATCGATACAGCAAATACCATTGTCTGCGAGAACCAAAGCGCCACCCTCAAGAACCATCTCGTCCGTGACGGGATCGCGCATGACTGCCGCAGTAAGACCTACGCCACTGCTTCCACGACCTGTGGTGTACACACCACGCGGCGCAACTTTGGCAATATACTTGAGTAATTGTGACTTGGCCACACCGGGGTCACCCATCAAACAGATATTTATATCGCCACGGATCCGCATGCCGTCGCCCATTTCCTTCGTAACGCCTCCAATCAAAAGCAAAAGTAATGCCTTCTTCACGTCCAAATGGCCGTAAATCTCAGGGGCAATCGAACGTGACAAATATTCATACATATTACCGGAATGTATATGTTGTTCTATCCGGCGCAATGTACGAGGATCCATTTGCAGATTCTCGTATGCCTTCTTGTGTTGCGTAATATGCTGTGCCTCTAAATATGTGTCAGTTAAGAGGCCAGCACGGATAGCTCTGAATCCCGTGTAAGGTGTCGGAAGGAAGATGCCAGCAATATCTACTACGTCACCGGGGTTTAATTGCCGGGCCAGGCTTCCTAGGCAATGCACAGTAAGCGTCCGAGGAATATGTCCAACAGGAACTTGGTCCGCCATTTCTTGAATTTTGACCTCTTGAAACGGAATAAACTTCGATGCTCGAGTGGACATAAATAATTGACCTTTTGACTGGTTTTTCGTACATTCCTCGGAAGGACATTCTTGAAGGGGCATGAACTGTTTTGTGGTAACCGGCTGGAAAACCTCCGATCCGCAACGATCGCACGAGTAAGCGTTGATTTTAACAGAAGGCTTAACGTCCGACACTCGAGTCGTTATACCTCGAACGGTGATTAACTTTCCCAGATGCTCTCCCTTGACGTTTCGTACCGCCAATGCTTTGGAACTTCGCTCACTGCTAGAACCAGAAGGTGTCCGGGGTTTAATATTCAGCGTATACCGTCGGGTCAGTTCAGGCGGAAATATCGATGGGGGCATTCCGACGTCGATGTTAGCCTCAGCTGCCAATGACATCGTCTCGTTTCGTTTTTCACGCTGTGACATGATGATATCAAGAACGTCATCTTTGAATCTGCACCTCACGAGTTAAACCAGCTAGTACGTATTACTACATGTTGATACTCACGACACTTCTCGCGTTTCCTTAGGCATCACTTCGTCAACGACATCGGAAAACACGTCAATATAGCGTTTCGCATTGTTCTCGACACTTTCAACGAGGTCGGAATGAACTCCATCAGGTAGCGTTTTGACAAACTGGCAATAATGGTGAGTCGTAAACTCCACAACCGTCCCCTGAGAAGGATTGTCATACCGTATCCAAATCATCGAGCTCAATGACAATGTTGCTCTTCACCCGGTCGGCTACATCTTGCAGGATTTGCATGTATTTCGATTTAGGCTCTTTTCTTTGCTTTGCTGCTGTTCGTCTAGTTCGCGCATTGCCGTCAATCTCATCCATAAGCTCGTCATCATCGCTCAAGTCGTCTTCATCGATGTGCAGACCCTCAATTGCCTCGGTAGCCGCAGATTCAGACGCAGACTCCAACGTCTTAAAGTGTTCAAGGAAATCTTTTAAAACTTCCTTCTGCTCCGAATACTTCACCGGGGCCTTAAATTGGAGGAGCGCCATGCCGCAAGCTCGGGATCGACTGCTTTGTAGCTGCGGAGAATCGCGCTATAACCAAAGGCGCTCTCAAAAAAATAAAGGCCAATTGAGGGGAAATTGCGATACGAAGCCACGAACGTTGGTGATTGATAACTCTCTGTTTGTCGTGGTCACGTAGCTTTAAAAATTCATCGAAGGAGTGAGAGGCAGCCGTCCAGCCTTGGGCCAGAACGGGAGACTGGCGCCAGAAAAAGAAATGCACTTCTGGTCGCGTAATTTACGCGTCTCGAGCGGCGCGTTTGACGATTTCCGGATTGAGTTTAGTGGCTCCGGAACGGAACATCCCTCGGTACGAGCATCCCCGCGGAATAACTTTAAGTTCGGATATCCGAGATCACAGGCAGAGGTTGGATAGTTAGCCCCGACAGCTGCTCCAAGGACAGGAAGGCCTGCTCCATCCTGTTCACATCCTCAGGGAGGCGTTGCTACTCACTGAAAACATTTTCAAGTGCATCTCCCACTTTCCTGTCACTCAGAATGGCCCCGAGCAATCGGAAATCAGCCACAACGGCCGAGGTAGTTCTCGTGCCACTCAAGAACTGTCTCGTCAACCTTCCGCCATCCCTGGTCTCTCTTCTGGTCAATGCTAATACAGTAAGTAGCGGCTGCAGTTTTTAAGCTTGGAACATACATAGAATGCTAACGTTGCTCCTTAGCCCGCCCAAAATGTCATCGTTGAATTGCAGTACCGAGCTTCCTCGCCGGGTTCCAGTTCGCCTGGGACCGCTTCGTCACAGAGATATGCATATACTGGATGGACAGGAATGCCGAGTAAACGAAAGCTAAACCCCGTCATTGGCAAAAATAGCATGAATAGTTCCCGAGGGGTGTCTAGGGATCAAGAAATTACCGTAGTCGAGATCGATTCTATCTTCGGAAGAGTGCTAGGGCTGAATGATGGTCAAAAGGTGTGTATGTTATTGCAGATGTCGCATACGTATGGTATTGACGGAGACGTTTTAGGTTGGCCTGCTTTTACATATTGATCCACCAGTAGCTCATACAATCAATATCGAACCGTTAACCCCAACAGATTGGGAAAGTAAGTCGAGTGTCATAAGCGCATTGCCATAGCCAGATGATCCTAACAACCACCTCCACAGTTATTGAGCTTCATGCCAACTTTCTGGAGCTGAATCTCCTTTCCCAAATCCGCGCTCTTCCAAATCCTTCCTACAGCACCGCGCCATCTGGGCAAGCCGAGAAGGCCCATCCTCTCACCCTACACCTCTCCCCAACCTCAACGGCAAACATTATAATTACATCACTAACTCCTGCCGCACCTTCTTCTTCTCCGTTTGCCAAAATAGCGCCTGATGCTGAAGTTATCGTCGCCCCGAAGGTGCGCCCTAAGTCTGCAAGACCCACTCGTGGAGAGAACCGCAGCGTTGCAAGCACCGGCCGGAAAAGTATTGGAGGACGCAGCAGTAGTAGTACTGTTCGGCCAAAAAGTCGAGATTCTGAATCCTCGTCCCGAGGAGCTGTGTACCTCCGCGGCGTTGATAGAGGGTTGGCATCGAATTGGTTCAACGAAGAAGTAGGAGAAAGCAGCAACGAAGGGCTCAAAGTATGGATCCATCGTGATGTTCTTGCAAAATATGAGCTACGAGGAGCGGCGTATGTGTGTGTGTCAGTCGTTCGTCCTGCCGGTTTATTACCGCCGGTTGACCCCCAGCAACAAATCCAGCAGAAGGAACAAGAGTCTGCAGAGGCCGGCGAGATTACAAGAAAGGTTATAGCAAAGGTTTATCCTTGGGACGAAAGTCCTGACTTTAGCCATGCCGCACTATCTTCTGTGCTATGCTCCACTCTTGGTTCAGATGATATGGTAGGAGGAGTCATTCGAATTGAGGCTGCGCCATCTCAAAGACCTTCGATTAAATCCGTGAAAATATTTCCCTTCAGTGTTGACGCTTCAAAGAAGAAAGAAGGCCTTAAATTTGGAGGGGAATCTGCAGCCTATAAAGAAGCTTTGGTTGAACGAGTAAAGGCCGTATACGGTGACCCAAGTTCAGATGTCGGAATCCTAGGAGGGCCGATAACAGACGGTATGATTCTACCGACATTGGAAGACAAAACTAGATCTCTCGATTTCGAAGAAGCAATGATTCGTTTTGACCCTCCTCCAAGCACATCTGCCGACGGCAAAGCCACGATTGGGTGGGTTCTGGGCTCGGACTCAGGATTCACTCTTGAAATTCAACCGGCAATCGGAAAACCAATGGAGACGAGTCTCGTATCAGTTCCAGTTGACGAGAGGGTGCCGAAAGAGATACCAGAAATGGTCGGCATCGACTCCGTCATTAATAATTGCATGTCAAACCTGACACGTTCGTCATCAATTCTCGTAACCGGAGGCTTGGGTTCTGGGAAGACCTCGCTCTGTTACGTTTTGGGGCGACAATTACAGGAGGATTATCTGTTTAACGTTTCCTACTTCCCCTGCCGGAAGCTAGTTACAGACGAAACACGCATTTCGATGATCAAAGATACCCTGCACCGGTTGTTCTTGTCTGCTTCTTGGTGTGCAAGGCTTGGTGGTCGATCGATTGTCATTCTAGACGATATTGACAAGCTTTGCCCTGTTGAAACTGAACTTCAGGTCGGGGGAGAGAACGGTCGAAGTCGGCAAGTCAGTGAAATCTTTTGCTCCATTGTCCGAGAATTTTGCTCCGCCAACTCTCCAGTTGTCCTCTTGGCTACAGCGCAATCCAAAGAGTCATTGAACAATGTCATTATAGGTGGTCATGTTGTTCGAGAAATTGTGAGCCTAAAGGCTCCAGATAAAGAAGGAAGAAGAAGAGTTCTGGAGAAGTTGACAAGTGAAGACAAGCCGCCTGGAACCATTCCCAACAAAATTAATGGCTATTCTCATAGTCGCAAACCGTCCTCCCAGGATTCTTGGTTGGATCCTTCTAACCCGGCAACTAGGCCTGGCTCTGCAGACAAAGAGGATGGTTTTATTTTGAGCCGTGATATAGATTTTCTTGATTTAGCGGGCAAAACAGACGGTTATATGCCTGGGGACCTTGTTCTCCTTGTCTCCCGCGCAAGAAACGAAGCATTAATTCGCACGGTCCAGGATTTTACATCTTCCTCCTCAGCTATCACTCTTGGAACGGAAGACTTTGAGAAGGCCTTGAAAGGCTTCACTCCCGCTTCACTTCGCAATGTTACTCTAACCTCTTCCTCCACGACCTTTGCGGCTATCGGAGGCCTGCATGGCACTAGGAAGACTCTTCTCGAGACACTCCAATATCCAACTAAATATGCGCCTATATTTGCTCAGTGCCCCCTTCGTTTGCGGTCTGGCCTCCTGCTGTATGGATTTCCCGGGTGTGGGAAGACGCTTCTTGCAAGTGCCGTCGCTGGAGAATGTGGTCTCAACTTTATAAGCGTGAAAGGCCCTGAAATCCTCAACAAGTACATTGGCGCAAGTGAAAAGAGCGTTCGAGATTTATTCGAGAGAGCAGAGGCGGCCCGACCATGTATTCTCTTCTTTGATGAGTTCGACAGTATTGCACCAAAGCGTGGCCACGATTCCACAGGTGTAACCGATCGGGTTGTCAACCAGCTTCTTACTCAGATGGATGGTGCAGAAGGCTTATCGGGAGTCTATGTTCTTGCTGCGACGTCGCGCCCGGATCTAATTGACCCGGCGTTACTCCGTCCTGGTCGTCTTGATAAATCACTTCTCTGCGATATGCCCAATCACGATGACAGAGTGGATATTATAACGACGTTGGCGAAGAAATTGAAGCTTAGTGACGAGGTTATGGAACGTATTGGCACCATAGCCGATCGGACGGAAGGATATTCTGGCGCCGATCTTCAAGCTGTTGTGTACAATGCACACCTGGAAGCCATTCACGACGCATTGGGCGACAGATCCTCAGACAAACCGCAGTCCAAATCTACGCCGATGCCGAACGGTGTGGATGAAGCCGGTGGCAACCAAAAGGCAGTCAAAACTTTTATTCAATTCCTGTATGATCCAGATGAGCACGCTCTCGCCACCTCAGCCGGACGGGGCCGTGCTTCGGCAACGGCACCTTGCCTAAGCCCACCTGCGGTCATCGCGGCAAAATTAGAGGCGTTAAAGAATATTAGACGACGACAGCGGGAAATAGAGCGCGGCCTCTCATCCGATATGTCAGCCGAGGACACGGTTAATGGCGCTGACCCCGTGTCGGATAATGACAAGGATGGCAGCAATGAAATCCATATTGAGTGGGTGCATATCGAGCGCTCATTGGAGACTACACGGTGCTCTATTAGTGATGTTGAGAGGAAAAGATTAAATGCCATTTATCGTGAGTTCATTGAGGGACGCAATGGGGAGATGCCAACTGGCGAAGGGGCAAGGGAAATCGGGGGAAGAACAAGTTTGATGTAAACCAGTTCACTGTTTTCATCTTGCTCTTCTTGTACTTTCCAATTTGAATACCTGTGTCTATTCATGGCAGCATTCATGTTAAAGATTTGGAGGCACCTTGTTTATTGCATACCCCTTATTCATTGCACCTTGTTTACACTTGGCTGCGCAGCATCTATATTTATTTATTTATTTTATTTTTCAGCTGTATTATTCTTCTTGTTTATATAGATAGCGATATTATTCTAAATCATAAGTGCTTTGGGTTTTGTGGGTTGTTTCCAAATCCAAAATAGAACACAAAAAATGATACATTCTAATCTAGAGATACATGCTGTGTTGTTACATGTCACAAATATACACACCCAATGCAAAAGGAAAGGTTTCACCCAATTAACCTATTGCTGTGAAGCCTTCAGGAAGTCACACTTCTGCCAGACAATACCAACGTAAGTGCGAGGGCTGTCTCATAAATTCATTCAAGCTACCGGCATAACCCTCATTCTCTTCCCCATTCTCTCCAGCTCCCCAATCACTCCACCCCCGGATAGACCCCATTTCTCAGCAACCAAGCTCTCTGTGATCCGCTCGCGCATGATGCCAGAAAGTGCGTAGTACTCCAACAGACCCCTCGTCTCGTCTTTGCTTAGTCCACCTAAGTTCACAAGCCCCAGTCCTTTCGCTTCGTTAAAGAATGAACTCACACGTGCATCCAATTTTTCGTACGGTCCAGGGAGGGGGAAGCCGGAAGACGTAGGGTTGACCCCGGAACAGCGGGCGGACAGTTGTTTGATACCGAGGTCGAAGGTGTGGATGGCGGGGTTGTTTGAGGTAGATGTGGCATAGAGAACAAGACCGCCGTTAGGCATAGAAATGGCAGGGGATGAAGCAAGAGAAAGGAAATGATTGACAAAGGTGAGATCGTGAGCATGTATGGGTTCATATTCCGCGTTGGAATATTTCGTGTCTTGCATCCAGTGCGAAATGCCGTCTATCGTAATCAGGACTGGTGGACGAAGTGCGAAAGGTTTGAAGCCTTCGGCAGCCTCGGCCGGTTTTGTTACTGTGAGTTCGGACCAGAGTGCTTGGAAGGCAGGCCAAGCAAGCTCAGCTTGCTGAGACCCAGTGGTAGCAAGTTCGAGAAGAGACATGTTAGGGTGGAAGACCGATGCTAGCTGCGAATGTTGGCGGGAAATAAAAAGCTTCGAGAGCACATCTTTATTGGCCTGGGCTATTCTCTCCAACAATTGAGCAGCCGCATTCTTCTGCACGTATTGGGTCGGATTTGATCCTGGCAGCGGTGCGTACGCCGTAGTTCCATTGACAAGGTCGCGTGCTGGTTTTGTAAATAAGCAGATTGTTCAGATAGCCACAAAAATAGTCAAGGGTTTAAATCTTACCATCAGGCACGCTCATGACAACCCATTTATCCAACAACCCCATTGTCATTGCCTGCAACAAATGGACGCTTTTTCCGGCAAATCTATCACCGGTAACAAGCTTTGCTGCTGCTTTCCCCTTTTCTTTCTCCCGAATTTCAGCCATCAAGCTCGCCAACTCCAGCGTCTGCCTCCTCATTAACGTGCCAGGCCGTCGAAACATTCCCCATCCTTGCGATGTCTTAAACGCTTGCAACGCTCTCAGATTATCTATCAAGGACATGGGAACGCCCACAACCTGTCCTTGTAATTTTGCATCAACCATATTCTCCACCGAGAGGTCCTGTAGCCCGGTAACTTCGAGCGCATTCGCGTTACTAAGAACCAGGCGATGGGTATGAGCTTTCCGCTCCGCTGGCGATTCTCGCGCTGGTTTAATAGCTGTACTCCTCTTTTTCACTCGGGCAGAACGCGCTTCACGGAATTTTGGGCCGGCATCTTGACTTCGGGACTTTTTGGGCGGAAGGGCATATGTGAAAGCGGTGGAATGAAATGGTGCTGTCGCGGCAGCTCGGGGTATCGCGGTCACTGGAAGAAGGGATTTGGGGGAGGGACGGAGCTTCGAGAAGCAACCCCAACAAAAGGAGGACGCCATTGTGTTTCGTGAGAACCGACGTGCGCAATTGCCGGTCACAATGGGGTAAATTGCGTCTTCGGGTCTGATCTTTTTAGGATTTGAAGATGAACATTTAGACTCTCAAGGGTATCTTGGCGCACTGAAGAGGAAATCTACGATGCCGCTTGTGGCTTTCTTACATAATTTATCAATCTTGACTGGCTAAAGCGGCGGCTCAAACCTTATATCGCAGCTCATCGCAATAATTTTGCTTTTCTGAAGTAAGATACTGCGGAGACTCGACGGCGGTTGTATCCAATTCTTCGGAGACATTCATACCAGCTGGTCGTCAAAATGTCGAGCGGGCAAACCGACGCAATGTCGCAACCTCCCAGTACCTTTAGGACCAAGCAAAAACCTGAAAGACTGTAAGCTCAATACTCTAATCTGAGGCTTCTTCCGAAGCATCACAGCCAAAAACATCAACATTGTTTGCTAAAAAAAATATCATCTTTCTACACAGACCCATAACAGTCGAGAAACCCACACCATATACCTTTGATCTTGGCCGCCTCATGGCCCTAGACCCTAACCCTCTCAACCTCCCCGCAAATTCCCTCTCCAACCCACCCGTCCTCAACTCAACACTCAAATCCACCGCCCGTGACGGTGCCCAATGCCTCCTCAACCAGCTCCTAACCGCCTGCCCCATAACCAGCTCCGCCACGGACGGCGTTCTTCTCACCCTCCCTACCCCAGTAACCCCGCTCCCGCGCTTCAAACCACTCCCCACGCCCAAGCCGCCTACAAAATGGGAGCTTTTCGCGCGCAAGAAGGGAATCGGCAAATACAATAACAAACTTGGCGCTAACGAGGCCGAGCGGCGGAAGAAGTTGGTGTATGACGAGGAGAAGGGAGAATGGATGCCTAGATGGGGATACAAGGGCAAGAACAAGGCTGAAGATGACCAGTGGTTGGTGGAGGTGGATGATAAGAAGTGGAAAAAGGAAGAAGATATGAATATTCGGGGAGAATCGATCAGAAATGAAGGGAGAAAAGAAAGGATGGAGAGAATTCGGAGGAATGAGAGGAAAATGAGGGCGAATATGCGGAGGACCGGGAATGCGAAGAGCAAAGCTTGAAGGGGTTTGGATTCCCCGGGGGTTTTACGTGCAGGCGTTCTTTTTGTGACGGGTCAGTTAATACTTTTTGCAAGGCGTTGAAGGCCCATGGAACCATGGGATTGGTGTATGAACAAAAGTGTGGTTATATTGAATACGATACACTGAGAAATGAACATCATCGGCGCATTACCCAAGCACAACAGCTATTTTGTACGACTTGTGCCTAGCGCACAGGAAAAGCTGATTGAATACTGTAAATATCATAAAATGGAGCTATATTGCTGCTATTAGATAAAAGGATAAGTTGAATGTGAAGAGTTGCAGCTGATCAGAAGACAAGTTGCGAGTCAGACTTCACAGGATGCCTTCTCAAACAAGGTGCTATGATTGAATATGCAGAAATTACCAAATAGTTTATGTGGTCGAGACCAAATGCAAGTGGTCAAACGATACAACACACACTCTTATGTACGCAAGAAAAACATATGCAATAAGAAACACTCACACCAGAAGAAACCAGCAACTCCAACAAAACGATTCTCAAACAAAGTGGAAAGGAAAATAGATGGATCTCGCTCATGCGCCATTATATGCTTTAAGTAACAAAGAGAAAGAGAGGCGGGAAACCACAATATCTGGAGCTGATGTGAAAGGAAGGCGGTATGATTGTAGCAAGGACAAGGCGTAGCATCATCAAGCTTTGCAGTGCATCTGACGAAGTTGCAGTGCTGTGCAACAATGTCAATGTCAACAAAACAGAAAGGATAGCGGCGGACGAGGCGAAAAGTTGCTAGTAGGGGTATGGATCAACATGCCTTGAAGATAAAGGAAAACAGTAAGCCGAACACGCCAATTGTTGAATGAACCGAAAACGCCAGTGAAAATCATTTTTGCCATCCGAAAGAAAATTCAATGTCATAGTAGAGCTGTAAAAAAAAAAAGAAGACAAAAGGGAATAATTAGTGGATAAGAAAGCCAGACGACGTTTTATACTTAGTCGTTTGGTTGAATTAGATTTGAGAAAAGTTGTAATCGAGTCCTCGATCAAAATATCCGAAACACCGCGTTTACCGACAGTACCTAGATAGGTCACTTTCTGCCTAAATCTGAATGGGAGACAGTGGAGGCCCAAGTTCCGGGAGTTGTGAGGCAACTTTTAAATTATTATTGTCAATATTCGGGGGTGTTTTTCGGCCCTTTTTCAAGCTGCCAGAGCGGCTAGAAGCCTTGGTAGCGGTGCCGCTAGAACCTCCGTCAATAGGCTGGCTGCTGCCCGAAGAAGATATGGCCCTTTCTTCAACTGCTTCTGAAGTAGCTGGCGCAGGAGGTGCGATTGTTTTGTTCAAAGCAGCCTCTTTTAGTTGCCGTTCATACTCGAGTTCCTTTGCAAGATATTCCTTCTCGGTCCAACAACCTTGCCAGCAGTTCTTCCAGTCACAGACCAAAAACTGGAAGCAAAAGCCGTCGATTTTCATACAGGGCTGGAAGCAGATGCAGAGGTTCCGGTAGTCCATCTTGTTTTTGTCAACATAGGAATGAAGAAGGCTCAAGTGGCAGGTAATAGCGAACAATAGGTAATAGTTGAATGGTGGTAGCTTCGAGAGCTCGTCCTTCAATAGTTGCGGCGCTTTGGTGGCTCCAGCGCATTTCTCTGCTATCATGGCCTGCGTTGCTTTGGGGAATATCTCATCCGGCAACTCGCGAAGCCATGCCTTGAACATCGACCCAATGGTGTTAACATCATACAAATCTGGCTCGTCGAAGAGGTTGATGTCCAGTTCTAATAAAGATATTAGCCCTGAAGATGCTAGGTCATTCAAGTAAATCCGAATTTGTGCCATACCTGTGTCGAATCGTCTCTGCCAGTGCTTGATCTCTTTTCCACTACCGGGGACACGGTAAAGGCCTTCTTCCTCGCAGCCCTTAAAGTTCAAATAACTAAGATATAAGGTTAGCACACAATCTATAACACTGCATTAGGCGTACCTCTACGTACTCAATACACCTCCAAGGCAATGCCGGCATCCAATATTCCGTCTTATCTTTCGAAGCCTCCAGTCTCTTGGAAATTCTTGTCCGTCGGGCTTGTTCGACGAGTGGAAGATTGATAACCGAACAGACATAACTATCATCTGTAACCAACTCTCGCTCATGAATGCTGTTACTCTTCGTAATCTTGCCGAAAAAGCCTTTACCAGCCCTCCCAAGTCGGTCTGCAGCACCACTGGAAGTTTGTTTTAAATTATTAAACAATGATGAACCTGTGACCTGATTAAGTGAAGAGCTAATCATTGCACCAGCATGTGCCCGCTCTCTCCTTGAATAATTGCTGCGTTCCTCGGCGGGAGGGCGATCCGCAGAACGATTACGTACGGTGGAGCCCATGGCGTCATTAAATGATCGTTCGGGCTGCAAAGGAGCTGTTTTCAGGGGCGCCTGCGCCTCTTCTCTGCTAATCTCTTCAAGTCGTAGTAATCCGTTCGAAGGTCGCCTCGTGGCACTTGGTCGACCCGCCGAAAGAGGTTCATCAACACGAATAGACCGGCTTCGGGTGAGAAGGCTGGCAAATCGGGGTTTACTCTTCTTGGGCGTCAGCGTATGGATATTTTCAATATCTTCAGTCGCTTTCCCATTAATGCTCTGCGGACTAGACTGGGATTTGTCATCGAAACCCTCCCCTGAACAATACAATTAGCTGCAAGTGACTATATTTGGAACATGTTATATAGTTTGTACCTTTGCTTTTTCCAGATCCGGTAGAAGCCTTTGCAAGGCTTGATGACGAATTGTTATGGCCCTTTGATTTATGAACGATCCTATCTTTTGAGCTGCCCCGGCTAACGGGTTTCTCCTCCGGTCGACCAAGAGAAGTATCAGAAATGTGAACTTTATTGGTGGATCTTGAGGCCTTAAAGTTCGTAAAAAAGGACTTGGATGTATCTCTACCGTGTTTTGAGGTGTCTCTGGGGGAGGAAGGAAAAGGCGGAATTGCAGTTATATCCGGAGTTTGCGGGATATCGCCATTATCCGTGCTGATAGAGGTACCCGGGGACCTTGCACCCGAGGCTGATTTTTCCGACCCCAGGTTTGATCGTGCCGTCACGGGGCGAATGGTGGCACCTTTGAATGTAGATCCGGTCGAAGATAGAGGCGATATAGGTGTCAAGGGAGTCGTGGGGTTAGGACTGTTCAAGGGCAAAGGAGATTTCGAGTTATCGCTGAAGTTTGACTGTCCCAAGCTCAGCGTTGGGGCGCGGGAGGACTTTTTAGTCATGATGTATGATTTTGAGAATGTTGGTTTATGCGAGGTGAAACCTGGGCGCGAGAAACGTTTGGATCCCCCTAGTGTGGACTCGAACTCTAAGGTGAAACGGTTGGGCAGGAGGCGGGAGTAAAACAGGGGAGTCAGAGGAGGGGATGATGATGGGTCGATCTGTTCCATGTCGTATTAAGTTAGCAAAATTTATGCGTGCCATTTCATCATATTACAGGTGCTCTGAATGATGACCTGAGGTATGTCCGAGTACGTGGGCGGAGAGTTTTTCGAAATATAAAACATGAGACAAGAACCTCACCGTTCAAGAAAGCCACGCCGCACCACAACGCGAAGCAAACGGCCTCACAGCTGGTCAATGCCCACAGTGCAAGCACAGCAAGCAAACACGAAAGCAAGGCTGGGTTGGGGGTAATAGCGTCAACCTCAAGTGGTTGGGGTCACGGCGGAAACTATTAGGGAGCCCAGCAAGGGATTACGCGGGGTGGCGATAGGGTTAATTGCAGCGTCTCAACGCCCCATTGAGGATCTCCCAAAGTTCCTGAGCCACTGAAGGGGGGGGGTGTGGTCCAAGGTGCAAGAGTATGAGTAGCACAAGAATTGGCTGTTGTGGCTAGGTATAGACTAGGCAGTAAAAAGCTAACGTTATATGTAAGTTGGAATGCACAAGCAGCAGGAACAGACATGGCTTGGGAAGCAAGACAAGGTGACGCAGCAGTTAGAGGATGCAAGCAAAGACAACCAACAGAAAAACAAAGTACACATGTGCAACAACGGTTCTCTAAATTCAATAATGACAATGATAATGGCTGGTCCCTCTTTCTTTCTCGTGACGCCCAAGGCAGGATTCAGTCTTGGGTTCAGCACCAGATTCCGCAAGCAAGGATGTGAAACAATGGATGGATCAAAGTCGGTGGAATGTTACTAGCACGTACCTTTCTGCAGCGGGCGAAGGATGTGTTGCTCTATATTGGTGATATGGCCCGGATTTCAGTTGGTGGTGTGTAACCCGTGTTTATTTACTGTCCTCGGGAGCCCAAGGTCGAATTAACAGACAGTGTGGCCTGCATCAGGAAATCGGAGGTGGACAGCGAATGATCCTGGTCTGCACACGGAGGAAGGATGTAGGGAGTGGTATGCGTCTGGCATACGCGACAGGAGGAAGATCGAGGGACGAGAGCAGAGGTCGAGAGACAGCGTGGTCAAGAAGGGTCGAGCTGAGATTACGTTTGATAGTTAATGAGAGGGGGGATAAAACACCACGGTAGGGGAAGACTGTGCGTTGAGGCGGTATCTCATGCCGGCGGGTGATATTATATGGATGGGCTGCGGAGGATGGGGATGGTGAGGAGTTGTCCAGGTCGACGTTGGTTGGGTCGGATTCCTATTTTTGCTTGGTCCCTGTCCCTTAAAACCGCCTCTAATCTTACTAGTCCGCTTTGGTCTTTGGCGCTCTCACTAATGCAGGTGCGGCTACCGACGACCACCACCCAAGCTAAAGAGTACCGCCAGAGATCCTCCTAAACAAGCAAGCCATTCAGGGGTACCGCTGCGTGCACGGAGGATTGCTATTCTTGTTCTTGACAAGAGTTCAATCATCGTACTTTGGCTGTGAGACACCTGACTCTGCTGTCGTGGCTCCGTGGGGGGTTCCGGGAGAAGGGGGGGGGTCGTTGTTTTACAGTGCCCGTCAAGGGCCCTTTGCTCTCCATTAAGAGAGAAGCAATGATCCGACGAATTCAAGCTGAATCTCGTGCAGATGACGACGAGCCTTACGACATTACGGGGTTCACGCATCCAAAACTAGCAAAAAGTCAATTTGGCGAGAGTCTCTGGGCCGAGTCCGGAGTGTGGATAGCATGTCCTTCAGCGGAGCGACTACAAGCTCGCTCCTCGTTCTTCTCCCAGCTCACATTTTCATTGGCTCGACGGGCTACGGCGTACGGCGTCAGACAACTGATGCAGAAGAAAACGGTCTGTCAACCATCATCCATCATTGCCAGCAACGTCAGGAAATCCAGGGTCACCTGTTTATCGAAGATCGTAGACAAACAGATGCGCGATCGCCGCCCGCAAATTGTTTAAGCCCGCTGTCTGCCGGATTGTATCTTTACTCGTGCAAGGATCGTAGAACTCGGGTCACGTCGACAGTAGTATCAATACCCCATACCCTAGCACAAAGTTGGCGCCCTCCGAATATTCGTCGAATCAGGAAGACGGGCCTAAACGCCCTGTCAGGATTCGTCGGTGAAACAATCGTGAGGGGTGAAGGACAACGCGACCTTCATACATATCCTAGCATAATAAGAGCGCGGAATGCACTCACAGTTTCAATATCGTGGATTCGGAGAACTCCGCAATTACGGAGGAGAAGAAGAAAAAAAATATATTAAAAAAAAAAGGTAGTTAAATCCTGACCACGCAAGTGCCTCCTTTGAAAGGCATGGAATCATGGATAGCCCCGCATGCACGGCCTCGCCGGTTACGATCAGCCAAAGAACGGAAGTTTAGCACGATGATCGTAGATGAGCGATAGAGTTGCGCCCAACCCAACACTTGTCCGAGGGAATGGGACGCAGCTTGTGTGGCCCAGCAAACTCCACGGGCCAAGGATGAAACAAAGGAACCTGCTCAACTATCATTTGTTCGCTACGGAGTACATATCTGTTGTCGTGGTTCAGAAGAATGCCAAGACCATGTGATAACCTGTAGTAGCCCCTTTTGACTTTTCTCTGCAACTTCACCACACCTCATTCCCTGTCACCTGTCTTAACAATCCGCCAAACTGAACTGGCCAAGCTTGTCGAGTGAAGTAACATGTCTATGATGCAAAGTACATGAGGTGGATGACATAGCCTATAGTAACTATTCATCAAAGTTCCTTCTATGGTTGTGGCCTAGCACTTTTCGCAATTTTTCAGCAAACTTTGACCCGTTTTTACATTATCATTCATTGGTCATCATGTCTCTTGTTTCGGGCCCAGGAAGAGGCGGCACTGGAAGCCAGGGTCAAGAATTGTTTGTGGAAAAGCATGTTGATTACATCAAAAGCCTCGATAAAGTGTGTGCGGCCTTTCGATCCTTGCCCCCGTGGTTCTTTTCTTGAGTAGACTCCCCGAAATGGATGTTGACCAGATTCTTTCTGTATCAGCGGAAGGATGAGTATGAATACTGGCTGACAGAGCACTTGCGGCTCAACGGTGTTTACTGGGGGCTCACCGCTCTTCATCTCCTTGGGCATCCCGAAGCTCTTCCCCGAGATGACACCATTGACTTTGTTCTTTCCTGCCAGCATGAAAATGGGGGCTTTGGTGCAGCACCTGGCCATGATCCCCATATGCTTTATACTGTCAGTGCAGTTCAGATCCTAGTAACAATTGATGCGGTGGGAGAACTGGATAAAAGAGGTCGTGGGGGCAAAGAAAAGGTCGGATCATGTATGTCATAACCTTTCCTTGGTTATGTTTACAATTGGCATGCTGATATGTATAACTGCAGATATTGCTAACCTTCAGGACCCCGTCACTGGCACATTTAAAGGTGACGAGTGGGGGGAAACTGACACACGGTTCCTTTACGGGGCGTTCAATGCACTGTCACTACTAGATCTCCTCTCCATGGTTGATGTGGGCAAAGCTGTTTCCTACGTCCAGTCCTGCGCAAATTTTGATGGAGGCTACGGTGTGCGGCCAGGGGCCGAGTCTCACGCCGGCCAGATATTTGTTTGCGTGGGTGCTCTGGCTATTGCTGGACAACTCGACCTGGTGGATACTGAACGGCTTGCTGCGTGGCTAAGTGAAAGACAGCTAGACAATGGCGGTCTGAATGGCCGACCGGGTAAAAAAGAGGATGTCTGCTATAGTTGGTGGGTCATGAGCAGTTTAGCCATGCTTGGGAAACTCCACTGGATTGATAGGGATAAACTCATCGGCTTCATCCTCAGCTGTCAGGTATCCAGCTCCTTTCCTCTTAATCCTCTTTCTTTGACTAAGTAGGGTGCTAGGATCCTCAACTTGGTGGCATTGCTGATCGACCAGAGGATATGGTGGACGTTTTTCACACTGTCTTTGGAATTGCGGGCCTCAGCCTACTCAAATACCCCGGCATTAGAGAGGTTGACCCAATCTAGTAAGTGTTTGCTCTTCTCTCCTTCATTGGTTGTGGAATTTTCTAGGATTCACTAACATGCACCTCAAGCTGTATGCCCAAAGAAGCCACATCCAGAGCCCTGAAGAGGTAGCAGGGACAAATAAGGACATTCCCAAGTAGAACTTGGGTTTCTCTGTTGCTTAGACTTTGCCAATCGTTTTTCCAGACAATCATGTGTTTTGCATTCTTATCTCCCTCCTGCAATCTAATAACCCGTCGGACCTCTTCACCATGGACGGGGGGATACAAGGCAGGAGGAGAGCAGCATCAACTGCGCCTTACATCCCGCTTCTGGATCTCAGAGTGTCAGTCTCCGAGACAAATAAGCCGCAGTGGACATCAATTGTCAATGGATAGCCCCGTTTTAGCGTTTTTAAGCTGTTGTCGAGATTCTCAATATGAATATCAAATTTCCTCCCCCAACAGCTTGGCTGCTGAAGGCCCGCCACCTGTATGTGTGTGTGTGTGTTTGTATGCGCTGGATAGGCGTGTGGCCGATGTCCTTTTCCGTCGCGATGCCCCGCCAACAACCAGTTCCCTTTTTGGTAGTAGGGCGGTATTTACACCGTTCCTGCCGTTACAGCGGGGAGGACCTTCCGCCCTTCGCTAAGTCCAGCCTTCCTGCTTGTATCGCGAGAAATATTACTGCTTTATTTCAGGTTCCTGCCAGTTTCGATCAGACAAAGCCACAACAACACAACGTCCCTCGACAGGCCCTTTCGTCTCTCCTCTTCGTTCTCTCTGCAACTTCAATTCTCTCCTCCCGTGTCCAACAGCCTAGAGGAGGGAGCGTTCCACCCTCAGTGCTATTTCTCAAAAGCATTTATTTATCTTAGAGCGACCTCTCCCTCGGTTTCAACCTGCGTCCTTTTTCAATTTTGTTGTCTTGGTTGTTATTCGGCCCATTGAAGGCCCCGTTTCTGGCATCATGCCGTCTTCTGCCATTCTCAAATGCAATATCTGTCCAAGAAAGCCTAATTTCAGTGATGTGTCTCATTTGTTAACCCACGTTAGTTCGAAGGGGCATTTGTCTCATTACTTCAAATTGCAAGTACGCAGCCATCAGGAGCCAGGAGCCGGTGAGTTGCTGGCAGAGTACGACCAGTGGTACAGTGACCATAACCTTGCTGGGTTGCTCTCCGAACGCATGCTTGCAAAGGAGGCTAGGAAAGTGAAAGGCCGCAGTGCAGTCACCTACAGCAACAAGCTACCCAACCGCAGAGCATCGACGTCGATGATTCCGCCTTCCGCTCACGGGCCAGCTCGGACTGACCAGCGTCATATCCCTAGCTACGTGGACCCTGACTTATCCCAGTCGTACAGTATGGCTAAACCTCACTCTTCTTCCGACCCTCGTGTACAGTTATGGCCCGGGGCCCCAAAACGCAGATCCCTACCCACGCGAGCTTCGGCACAGAGCGCGTGGAAGGTCGAATTTCCCGAGTCTGACGAAGGTGAAGATATGAGCCCGCTAGCACATCGAGCAAGGGCGCCATTGGGTTGGTCCATGCAAACCGAAAGCCCTACGGGCCATCGAAATCGGCGACCCATAACGCCAGATCCTTTCCTCGACTATGCAAGCTACGAGGAAGATGACGATGAGAGCGAACAAAGGGAAGAGATCTCGAAGCTCAAGGGCATACTCTGGCCCGGTATGGATATTTTTGACTCGGCAACGGAGCAAATGAGACGAAAGCGTAACCAGAAGAAAGACGGGAGCGTCTTAAAACAGATGGAGAAAACCTCGGAGACTGTTGAACCAACAGAGCTTGTCTTCTCCCCGGGAGGCACGCTACGAAAGGCGCGTCTTATCTCAGGAATGGTTGATGACAGTAGTCCTCTCAAGGGAGAGACTCCAATTCCCAAAAAGCGCGTGACTCGGCCCAGAAGACAGCCGTTGTCCCAGGTCAACCCCAATCGTATCCTGCGAAGCCACACAAAACTGAGAAGAAAGCCCAACGGTCAGGATCGACCGATAGGATTGGAATGCTATTCGCGACAAAGCCTTTCATTTATGGAGAGCCCACAGCATGACCGCAGGAACGCGCATTTTGGGGCAGGCTTTGGCATGCAGGATGAAAATTTCAGGCTGAGTTTTCAAACTTTCGAGCAAAAGTCCTCCCATGGATTCGAAGTTTTTAAAGATGGCAAAGACCACAACAATGGTGTCGACTTTAGCCTCGGGCCCAAGTCATTCTATAACCCTCTGGGTAGTTCCGGCTCTCTCGCCTTGAATCACCAAGCCAGGAATCTCAATGGCCTTAAGCATTTTTCCGGCAAATCTATCCATATTCCAGAGTATAGGGGCAAGGAAAACATCGAACCCAACCTTACCCAGAGACTTGACGGCCAATATATGGAACCGAATTGGGATCCAATGCATCTCGCAACTGATAGTCGGTATGGCTCACAATACTTGTATGGGACAGCTCTCCACAGCTATACCTCGTTCGGTGAGACCGACAGCTTCGGCTATCCTTCAAATCCGCTCAGCTGTTCCCTTGCTCAAATACAACAAAATGGAGATCAAAAGCGCAGTTCAAGCGTTTTGATGACGGGTCTACTCGAATCTCCTGTGCATAACGTCCCGAAAAGCGGTCGTGAGGTTTCGCCAGACGGTACAGTGTCGGAGATCGACCAAGACGACCTTGGGCAGATGTACTTCAACGAGTTTACCGCGTGATACGAAAATCAAGCGGACCCGTGCACTTGAACACATGAGGCTGGGCAGCTACTGGTAGCTTTAAGGGTGGGGAAAGCACAAGTAGAAATGGATGGTATGGGCAGCATTTACTCTCCTTAGTACTTCAGTGCATTTCTTATTTGCACTTCCCTGGGCCTATTCCATATGATGTTTAGACACTAGCGATGCATCCCGGTTGCGTTAGCGGAGGGCGTTATGATGACGCGGGGAGGGAGAAGATTGAGTATCCTTGGCTGGCTAATGCCATAGCAGAATTCGATTAGATTGTATGATAGATAGTTATATTAGAATCAATGCCTGTTAACAGGAAGGCTCCTGGTCGAATGATGATTCTCAGTATGATCATGGTTAATCACCATCATCCATGCTGCAAAAGGCGTCTTTATTAAGTGATCCGGATAGTTACACACATATACTCCGTACACCTCGCCCGCATCAGTGCAGCCTTCATGGCACTGGACCGCCCAGCGGTATGTAGGTTTGATGTAAGGCTGAGTGAAGGATTTACTGTAGTTATTTGATTTAGGGGCTGGGGCATTATGAGGTAAGACACACGGAGTACATTTATCTGGGCCGGACAAGTATTGTCCTGCCCACGACAGATCTATCTTATGTTCTTTTCGGTGAGTTAGTCAAGGGTCCTTTTCCGCAATTCAAAGGATGGGCAGGATAAGTTCATTGTGCTCACCTCATTGATTAACTAGTTATGTTACTCCGTAGTTAGTTAATGCAATAGGAAGGTTACACGCCAAGCACGGAGCAGCCAACCAGCGAGCTCCTGGCCGTTGCGCGTTTAATTGGTGTCCGGACGCGTTTATTTCACGCTCTCCGAGCTTCAAGCTATCGATCTTCTACTGGTGCATTGTTTCGGACCGTCGAAAATATGAGCCAATCTAGCTCCTTGAAGAGGAAACAGCAGCCTACTATTTCGAGTTTCTTCGGCAAAACCACGTCATCTTCCGGTGAAAGCACGAACAAGAAGGCCAGTCTCAATGGGCTTGGACGCGCGAAGCAGAGGATCAGAGAGGAGGAGAGCAACCTGAGCCCGAGCCCTGAAGATAAGGGTGAATATCTGGACGATGAAGATGAGGATATTGTGCCACCGTCACGGAAGAGAGTTAAGAGTAGCCGGATTTCAACGGACGGAGCGAATGCCGCAGCCAAGGGGAATGACGACGACCTTTCCCAGAGCCCGCATAGAAATGTGCCCGCATCCTCGCGAACTGAAAGGTTTCGATTTCAAAGCTCGCCAGTGTCAAGTCTAGATGCAGAGGGAAGCCAGGTAGAAGGGAGGGAAGCAATAGACACCGAGAGAGAACGAAAGAGGAAAGAGAATTTGCATCAGAAATTTGTTAGGAGACTGGGTGGACCTGGTTGTCTTCCGTCATTGGAACATGGTTCGAATGCAAATACCGCAATGACTGAAGGAGGAGAGGATGAGGACGAAGCCTTGGACGAGGAGGACGTTGCTCCGCCTCCATCTACAAAAGCTAGAGGGGCGAGAAAAGCAGCTTCCACGAAATTGACACCGCTAGAAAAGCAGGTCATTGATATTAAAAACAAACACAAGGATGCTATACTTGTTGTAGAAGTTGGCTATAAATTCCGCTTTTTTGGCGAGGATGCGAGGATTGCGGCGAAGGAGCTAAGTATTGTGTGCATTCCGGGTAAATTGAGATTTGATGAACGTAAGTTCGCTTTCACGAGCAATCCTACGATGAAAAGAGATCTATGCTAATCACACCCCATATCCAAGACCCTTCTGAAGCTCATCTAAATCGGTTCGCATCCGCCAGTATTCCCGTTCACAGACTACATGTCCATGTAAAACGCCTCGTCAGAGCGGGTCATAAAGTCGGAGTCGTTAGACAGCTTGAAACAGCTGCATTAAAAGCCGCAGGGGATAATCGCAACGCTCCGTTTGAGCGGAAGCTTACACACCTGTACACCAAGGGAACGTATATTGATGACACGGAGGAGCTTGAAGGCTTAAATGCAGTGGGTGCCAACAGCGCCGCTCCTGCTACCGGTTATTTGCTCTGCATGACAGAGAGCAATGCAAAGGGCTGGGGCAATGATGAGAAGGTACAAGTTGGTATCTTAGCTGTCCAGCCCGCCACCGGGAATATCATTCATGACAGTTTTGAAGATGGGTTCATGCGCACCGAGATTGAAACAAGGCTTTTGCACATTGCCCCTTGCGAGTTCCTCTTGATCGGAGACGTGTCAAGGGCAACGGATAAGCTTGTGCAGCATTTGAGTGGCAGCAAGATGAATGTCTTCGGTGACAAGGTCCGGGTCGAACGAGTTTCCAAGTCGAAGACAGCCGCCGCTGAGTCGCACAGTCATGTGTCTAGTTTCTATGCTGGGAGAATGAAAGCTACAAGTACGACCCAGGATGAGAGGGCGAGAGACCTGTTAGACAAAGTTTTGAATCTTCCAGAGGACGTTACCATCTGTCTCTCTGCTATGATCAAGCATTTGAAAGAATATAACCTGGAAAATGTTTTTGATCTCACGAAGTACTTCCAGCCCTTTTCCGCCAGGTCACATATGCTGCTGAATGGTAATACATTGATCAATTTGGAAATATACCAAAACCAAACGGAACAAACTTCAAAGGGGAGTCTATTTTGGACTCTCGATCGCACGAAAACGAGGTTCGGGCAACGGTTGTTGCGGAAATGGGTAGGGAGACCTTTATTGGATAAGCAAGAGCTTGAGGATAGGGTCGCAGCGGTCACAGAGCTGAAAGATTCAGACGCAACCCCTAGGGTTGGGCGATTAAAGACTCTTCTATCCAAGGTCAAAACTGACCTGGAGAAAAATCTTCTCCGCATATACTACGGAAAGGTAGGCTTCACTACCATATAGATTGGAGTGCCGAACCCTGACATTATCCTAGTGTACACGCCCAGAGCTTCTCACGGTGCTTCAGACGTTGCAGTTGATAGCAACAGAATTCTCGCACGTGAAGTCGCCAGCGGATGCTGGCTTTGATTCGCCCGTCATCAACGAAGCTATCAGTCAACTGCCTGTTGTCCTCGATGATGTCGTCTCCTACCTAAACAAAATTAATTTGCATTCCGCGAAAGCTGATGACAAATTTAGCTTCTTTCAAGAATCAGAGGAAACAGATGAGATTACCGAACAAAAACTTGGAATTGGGAGCGTGGAGCACGACCTCGAAGAATACCGCAATACGGCCGCCGAAATTCTGTGTAAAAAGAAGGTGTGCTATGTCACAAACGCGGGCATTGAGTATCTTATTGAAGTGGAAAACTCGTCGCTTCAAATGAAGAAAATACCAGCCTCGTGGCGAAAGATCAGCGGTACAAAAAAGGTCTCACGTTTCCATCCACCAGAGGTAGTAAATTTGATGAGGGAGCGAGATCAACATAAAGAAGCCCTTGCAGCTGCTTGTGATAAAGCCTTTTTAGGTCTACTTGCCGATATCTCTACCAAATATCAACCCTTTCGGGATTGCATTCAGGCTCTTGCAACGCTTGACTGCTTCATGTCACTGGCAGCTGTAGCTGCTCAGCCCGGCTATGTTAGACCTACTTATGCTGATGAAGCCCGCATTAGCGTCCGAGGAGGAAGACACCCCATGGTCGAACAACTCCTCCTTGACACCTATGTCCCGAATGATACCGAGTTGGGCACTGATGGAACTCGCGCTCTGCTCGTCACGGGGCCTAATATGGGAGGGAAATCCAGCTACGTTCGTCAAGTAGCTCTGATATCTATAATGGGCCAGATAGGTTCCTATGTACCAGCAGAGTCAGCGACCCTTGGTATGCTAGATGCGGTGTATACTCGCATGGGTGCTTTTGATAATATGCTCGCAGGAGAGTCTACATTTATGGTCGAGCTTTCAGAGACTTCGGATATTTTGAAACAAGCTACTCCCCGCTCGCTAGTCATCCTCGACGAACTGGGCCGCGGCACATCTACTCACGATGGGGTTGCCATCGCGCAAGCGGTTCTGGACTATATGGTTCGGGATATTCGGAGCCTTACATTGTTTATCACACATTATCAACACCTAAGCAACTTAGCACGTACTTTTCCCAACGGTGAATTACGAAACGTGCATATGAAGTTTACCGAAAGTGGCAAGGATGGACAAGACATTACATTCCTATATGAAGTTGGTGAGGGCGTGGCACATCGCTCATACGGGCTAAATGTAGCCCGTCTGGCAAACATTCCCTCGTCAGTGCTGGACGTGGCGTATACCAAGTCTGCAGAGCTTGAAGAGAAGATCAAACGGAAGAACTTGGAAGGGATAGCCAAGGGGCTATCCAGAGTTCTCGAGAATGGAGAGAATGAAGGCGAACTGATGGAGAGGTTGCTGAGTGAGGTCGAGCAACTGTGATAATGAACGGAGATTCCGGCGATGATGTTATATCGTAAATACGGTCAGATATAGGATATATGGACCTGGTTATTTTAGCATTTGATACCCTTGAATTTGAGCTCCTGAAAAGGGTCGAAGCCTAGTTTTTGGGAGGATTTATACAGATGTAATGGGGGTCTGGAATAAAGATAAAATGATTAGTAGATGCCAGGTGCAAGTTTATCATGAGTCCCAATGGGCCATAGAGAGAAAGAATCGCTCGATAAACGATAGGGAATGAAGAGCCGCGATCGATTGTTTTTGGACAGAGAACAGTAGATCGTACGCTGAAAACAATATCTCAAGCCGTAACCATTATCTCATGAAATAAGTACCATCGAGGCTAGATAATTCCCACCATGGTATCTCGGCCTAGTTCTTCCACACGAGATTCTTTGCTCCATCCACAAACCTCCCTACTCAGAATATTCCATTTTCAAGACCCGATCGTCGGCGATTCAAGTCGAGACATCAAAATATGGAACGCGTAAACAGGACGATCGTGGATATCCTCATTCCCGCTCGGCAGCCAGAGATGTATTCATATCGAAGCAAAGAAAATCCAACACCGCAAAACCCCGCTGCTCCCCAAGTTTTTTGGCATTTATCTCAATCGGCGAGCTTCTCTCTCGGATTCGAGCAGGCAAAGGATGTCGTTGACTCTGACTGTTTGGTTGGAAAAACGCTAGTTAGTATCGAAGTATATCTTCTTCCATTATGTATCGGGTTGCGCGATAAACAGGTTAACAGACGGCGAGGGTCCTAGATCATACCTGGGCCCTTGACGTTGCGGATAATGCTTCGGTGGGAGTCATCCATGAATTCGACGCGGACCTGAGTGACACCTCCGCGGGAGCCTGTTTAAAACATCATATATCAGCCGTCCGCTCGTTTCCCCAATTATCGCATTTCTTCAACCGAGCTTCTGCAAATTAAACCGAGCTTTCTGGACTTCGACGCCGTGCTCGAAGCGATAACGGTCCTTTTTCCTCGCAGGAGGGGGAACGGGGTAGAACGTACCAGTGCGACCGAGGACACTGGTCACTCTCGCGTACTTGACAGGAACCTTGCCGGCGGCATCCATGTTGTCTCGTTGATTTGAGTAATTCGTCTAATGAAGACTTGCTGTTGGGGATGGCGGAATCAGCGGCAACGGCGCGTGGGAATTGTCGACGACAGGTTGTCTTTGGATCACCGTCGCTTTTTTGGTGGTTGAGGATAGGGCTCCTAGATTTGTTGTGGGGAGCAATTTCTGCCGAGAGAAGTTGTCGAGACGCTCGATAAATGGGAGGTTTACGCGAGCCTCCGAAACTGCGCCTAACCCGAAGCAGGTACCACTACCCTAGCCCTAAAAAGTGGCCGTATTCGGAATGGTTTCCAGCCCACCCGCAAGGTTGCAGCTCAAAACAAAATCCGGCTCCGACGCGACTTGCCGATGAGTCAATTCGCGGTCGCGACGGACACTGAGACCGTAAGTTTTCTAAAATACACCGCGCGAGCTTTCTCGGTGTGAAGTTGAGTACTGTAAATAATTCCCGGTAACAAGTTACTTGTTAATTGTTTGTTGGGCGGTTCCACGTGCTACCATTCGCCGCATCTGCTTCGCTGGCGGAGATCGATAACTAAGACGGCGGGGAACCAGAGATTGATAACGGAGTCACAACTTCAGAACTCCTTCAACCAAATCCACTGCATATGACTGACGGCTCCGCCATTATCCTGGGCAGCTATTTGGGTTATTAAATCAGGGGATACTCTGGAGTTCAGACTTGTTCTTGACATTCTTTTTCAGCGAAAGCTCTTTGTACTGACACGCTCGACGCGGAGCTTATACTTTTTGCAATTGCTGTCCCAGATCAATCGAACATAAAGCTTTCGAGTTGTATACCTGTCCTAGAAGGTCCAATTTGAGCATGGATTTAGTTAATCAGTGAGTCGCTAGTGTTAGCGAAACATTGCCTGGCCAATTGTTCTGAGCACTGACTTTTATGTCCAGTCTCGAAGGGCGCTTACTATTCGCAATCCCTAAAAGCAAGTCGTCTCCTTTCCCCCAAATCGCTATCCTGTAATACTCTTGAGTGTTCTTGGAGACGAATGCGTGTACTGGGCCTTTCAATTGAAACTGTGTCAACTCTTCTACCCCTAGCCAGGCTTCTAACTAGTTTTAACAGAGGGACGTCTCCAACAAGCCGCCCTGGACCTCCTAGCGGGCTGTGACATCCAATTCCGTCGCGAATCCCGCCTTGACATTGCTCTGGTTAAAAATCTTGACATCGCTCTGATTTTCCTTCCTGCGGCTGACATTCCAACCTTTGTTGGAGATGGATGCGTCGACCTAGGTATCACCGGTCGGGATCAGGTGGGGGAACATGACGCCCGCCTCCAACCAAGCGAACAATCCGGCGTCAGAGAGATTCTCGACCTTGGTTTTGGTGGCTGCAAGCTTCAGGTCCAGGTCCCAGCGAAAGGAGAAATAAAGGCGGCTAGTGAGCTAGTAGGAAAGAATGTGGTTACGAGCTTTACCGGCTTGGCTGAAGACTATTTCGCACGGTTGGAGGGTGCGCAAAGGAAACAAAACGGTCGATGGGATTTAAAGACGAAGATTAAGTACGTCGGAGGTAGTGTGGAAGCTGCATGCGCTCTAGGTGTGGCCGACGGAATTGTCGATTTAGTCGGTGAGCGATTCTGCTCCCTTACGAGTATTGCAGACCAGTATTTTGCTAACAAACGTTCCAGAGTCTGGTGAAACCATGAAGGCGGCTGGCCTTCAAGCCATCGACACAGTTGTTAACAGCACCGCCGTTCTCGTAAAATCCCGCAAGACTTCCAATCCTCTGGTTGAACTCATCACCTCCAGGATCCAGGGCGTAATCAGTATGTTTCTTAATTATGCATCCTCCTCAAGCGCTCATTCTAATTTTCTAGTTAGCCGCCAAAAAGTACGTCCTATGCCACTACAATATTCCCCGCAACCTTTTGTCCCAAGCAGCCAAGATCACCCCAGGAAAGCGTGCTCCAACTGTAACAGCTTTGGAAGAAGAGGGTTGGGTTGCCGTCAATTCTATGGTGGAGAAGAAGCTGGTGGCTACCGTGATGGACGAATTGACCAAAGTGGGTGCAACGGACATATTGGTGTTGGATATTGCGAACTCTCGGACCATATGAATGACGCAGCGAGTCAAATTCTTACACTTTTCTTTTTCTTTTTTTTTTCCGCCGCCGAATCGAAGGGAGTTTTGGTCTGCGAGGTTGGAAGTGAAGCTCCAAGTACGTTATCGTGCATGGAGGACATGTCCCTTTGGATCCGCGGATAAAATTTCATAGATGCGGGGCCAAAAGATGTTTTGACTAAAACAAGGCCGCCTTTTTTCCATCTAAATAAATAATTTAGGGTTAAATAATTCTTCCGGTAACTTATGATAATACTTTATGTCTGAATTCTCCATAGCACTTCAGTCGAAATAACCGGGGCGCTATATTTTGTCAACTGGATTGCGCATCAATTCTCTGGCAGGGTTCAAGTATGTATGTAACTACATGTGCTGTCCCTTGACACCTCCTAGAATCTGCTCTGCTGTTGAGTCATAATGTGTACAGAGTGCATATGCATAGTTTAATCCTGACCCGGAGAGGGAGTCCTTAAGAATGGCACAGTCTCTGTACAGTTTTCTCGGTTAAGGCTTCACAAGCTGGTCCAGCTGTGGCTTGTTGAAAAACAAAGTGAAGCCACACTTCACTTCACAAAACAATTCAGTTCATCAGCCACAGTGACTAGTTAGTAGCTGAAGTTCAACTACCGCCATAAAAGAGCCCCTTTTTCTGCTGTCTGCTCGCTTCCTCCCTCTTCTCTCACCGGCTCCGCTACTCATCAAGTTTCAACCATGCCTATTTACCTTTACACCATCTTGCAGCAGATGTATGAATGATTCTCGTTAAACGGAGTTCCTATGTTTTTGTGACTATGAGGTTCTTTATGACAATCCAAACCCTGAGTTTCTATCTCACTATTTTCACTAGCCCACTCAATACCAAATCTCACCTTACTGGCCATACTTACAGAGTATTTAACCAGAGCCAAAAGCTCAGTGGAGTCTCACTTTCCCCATCACCAAGATTAAAAGAGATCCTCAACGATATCATGCTTTGGAAACCGTGCTTTCGAACAGGGCGAGCATGCACGCACGCTTTGATACCCAGTGACTAATTTACTAACACTTACAACCGCAGAATTGACGAACCAACCAAGCCTCAAATGGGTACTCAGGTCCTCTACATTATTAATTCAGTTTTGGGGCACTATTCCCCCACGACCCCAACCATAAGACCGTCAAAATAACGACAACTTCATACTTTACTCGGAATCTTTGACGACAAAAGTATCAAGATTTACTCCACTGTTCCAGTGGCATAACTATTGGAGACACGGAACCACCTGATGGGAGCATCACACAAAACTCATCCAAAAAATAAAATGGTGTCTTTCCATATCTCCGCAAATTGCATCGGGCCGTCTTGTATGGACTGTGCCGGCAATTCTGAGCATGATATCCCCTGACCTAGAGTGACGTTAATCTCATGAAAAATTTCACTAGCCATTGTGGTCCGCCCAGTGTTACTTCATCGTCAGAAGAAATAGATAGAGCTGGAAAGGGATACGTTCTTCTGAGCGGTCCCGTACACCCACTCAAAGGAGAAGCCAAATACAGAGGCATTGAGGGCACATACACTAGGCTGCTCTAGAACTCTTGCGGCGAATAAATGAAAAGAAATTCATGAATAAAGCCTCATGTGGACTTGGGTTTGATTCTAATCCGCAGACATTTCATTTTACAATAATCAACATTGATACTTGCTTCAAGCTAGGAACCTTGGATTCTTTCGATGTTGACACAACATGGAAACATTGATTCTTGAGCTAATGCTAAGTTTATTTATACTTCCTAGGAAGGTACAATTTTCTTCAATGCGTTGCCGTCTACCGCCAAACGGTTTTTTATTGGGAATTTGCAATCACTATAATACCCAGGCAATCAAAATGATTATAGACAACTGAAGTCTTAACTAAAACCCATCGATGACCACCAGTTTGCGCTTCGAACCTTCATGAAGGATAGTTAGAATAGCTTTCAAAATTGGAAACGGAATTCGGATTACCTAGGAAAACATTCCATTAAGGTCACGACATGCCGCCCGGCTGCATCCCTTCTCTTCCACTCGGACTTAAATCGGTTTCCACGGCCGAAATCGTGATTCGGCGGTTGCATACCTAATCGCAAATAGCAAGGACTGTGAGAACCGGAATGCCACCCACCCACCCTCTTCGAAATAACGCTAAGAAGTTAATTAGCAGTGACATCTTGAGGAAGCCAAAGGCAAATATATGACTTGCCTAATCGGCCCGACGCCGGACTTCCGTACGATTACCCAGCCTTTCCTATTCATCGCGATCGACAATATATCGATACCGCGTGCACATCCGAAAATGTGCACGCGGTTCGGAGAAAGCGTGCGGTTAGTAAATGTTTCGAATACTGGAATCGAAATGACTACTTACCTCCGAGTACAGCGAAGTAGAAAAATATTCCCGCCACCCACCCGGAGCTTACGAGCTCTCGCAAAAATGAGGAGCCATCTGCTTCGGTAATGGTTAGAGGGGAGTTACATAAAAGTAATGGAAATGAGTCGCTTACCCTAACTGACAGCTATTCGGAATCGCCCACCGCCCCGCAAGGTTGTTGGAACCTTTGCAAAAATCGTTGAACCGGAATTGAATGTTAAAATGCGAACTCAATGTGGCAAGACCATAAAATCGTGAACCGACCTAAGACATAAAGCAGACCAAAAGCAAAAAGCAAAAAGCAAAAGAAGGGGGGAAAAAGCACAGAAATCCAGACCCAAACCCAAAAGAGCGTGCAACAATGTAATGGACTTCTCGTCCGAGATTCTCTAGGATGATTTTTTGTTTTTAATTTTTTTTTTTTTAATTTTTAATTTTTACCCTTTTTTTTTTGGGGGGGGGAGTTTTCGCTGAGAATCACGACTTCAGCGTAGGCTCAGAGAGCCCAGCCTCCACGCGATCTCAGTTTTTCTCGGCGCTGGTTCCAGAGTCTGTACACGTACATCGAAGGAATGTCTCGAGGGTCGTCGTCGTCGGTAATACCGTTGCGACGGTTCAGCTCTCGCTGAACCTGACCTAGTTGGGAGTACGCGCAGCTCCGTTCGCAGGGGCGACCTGAATGAGAGCGTAACTGGGTGAGCGAGGTACACCAGTATTCGATATATTTGTCGGTCTCTCCGTCGTTATCGGGTGCCGGTAAAGGAGTGACTTTCCATCCACCAAGTTTGCCAAGCAAGCTTGGGGTATGGTCTCGGTAGGTGTCGACACCGGGAACGATCCATCGATCGACTATCTTGACGTGGCCGCCGGAAAACTGGACTCGCTTCTCGGACTTCCTGGTTCCGGGCTTTCTCATGGCGCTTTTCAGCACGGGGGCTGAAGGCGGACCGCGAGATCCCGCGAATCGTCCAGGGTACTTGGCGTTGAGACGAGCGAGGACAGCTTTGGCGCTGCCGCGGAAATAGCCAGTCGACTCGAAGGGACCGGAACGAGTGGATGTGCCTGTGGCACGAGAACCTATTGCCGCCGCGGGTTCTGTCGAACGAGGGAGGCAGGCGGCGGTTGAACGAAGGGACGTGGTAACGCCACGAGTCGAGAGAGCGGTGCGCTCACGAGGAACTAAAGAACGTGAGGAAGCAGCAAACCGAGCAGAAGAAGAAACAGACGAAGAAGCAGAAGAAGCAGAAGAAGCAGAAACAACAGCAGAACGAGAAGAAACAGAACGCCCAGAACGCCCAGAATCAGAACGAGAAGAAACGGAAGAGGAAAGCCGCCCAGACGAAGACGAGGTAGAGGAAGAACGAGAGTCTGAAGTCCCAGAGGGACGAAGGGCAGAACGAACGACAGACGAGCCAGCAGCAGAGAACGACTGATTACGTATAACAGAAGAAGTGGCAGAAGCCGAACGAGTGTTTGAGATCCCAGAGGGACGAACAGCAGAACGAAGGGCAGAAGAACCGACGGAAGAGAAAGACTCATTGCGCACAACAGAAGAACTAACAGAGGTGGAACGAGTGGACTTGGGGATAGAGGAACGAACGCCATTACGTACAAACGACGAACCAGCAGAAGAGAAAGACACATTGTGCGCAACAGAAGAAGAACCAGAAGTGGAACGAGAGGCAGGGCCGGCTGAACGAGAGGAGCGACTCACCTCAGTGGGCTTGAAGCTCACCTTGTGAGGGAAGGGGTTGAACGGAGGTCCGTTGCGCCTTCGGGCCGCACGGTCGTTCGGGATGACGGGGATACCAGGGATGTGGTATGAAGAAGACATGATAACCTTATGCTTTGATAAAAAGGGATATTATGATAGTGGTATGGTATGATATGGATGGTATGGTAAAAGCATGAAGGTTGGAGAGGAGAAGAAGAGAGAAGAAGAAGAAGAAGAAAAAGAAAAAGAAGAAGAAGAGAAGAAGACGGGTTTATAAGCACAGCAACACGTCCCACGGGTCCAAAAACAGAGCGACGGCTGCCATAACAGGGAATTCTCCGTGTCTGGGAGAAGGCGCGCTGCGACCTCCAGGCGACGTGCTTTCCTCACAACTTGCCCCCGACTACTTCTTCGGGAAGGACCACACCCTGGTTTCCCCAACTACGCTTTGTTTACATGCTCTTTCGCATGGAAGGGCAGGCGCCTCCCACTTTTTTTGAGCTGATTTTGGGCGAAAGAAAAGGACCGTACGGCGTGACGGGGAGTGATATAGGGAAATCTGCGTATCTGCGTATCTAGATGAAATCCAGGTGTATTCTTTCTCAAGGACTGTAGAGAAATGATCAGCATGCAGAGAGGAATCGATTGATATCAAGTTTATGCAGGATCCGCACAGGAATGACGGTACGGGAAAGGAGCCGCTGTGGGGCTGCGGGGACGTCTCGCGTCGGCTCCACGAGACAAAATTGACGGCGGCAACGTGGAATAGGAGCCTCATTATGGGGTTCGCTATGCGAAGGGATACGATTCGAGCTCAAGGTCAATAAGGAGACTAGGCAAAATATATAACTACATCTAGGATTCAAGGGGCCGGCATCCAGCCGCAGATACCACAGATGAGGATTCAAAATCTTTGGGATGCAAGCTACAGCCTATCTATAGTGTCTAGCTACATTGAAAGAGCGCCTACTACTGTGAAGAAATGCTCCCTAGGGGGAATATAAGCCGTCCTCTGGGGCAGCATCTCTCCAACCGCTGGGGGAAGGAAAGCCAGCGGTTCATATATCACAAAGCACACGGGCTGAAGGCAACACATATCACCGGCAGACTCTCAGACGCAAAGAGAACTATGTAAACGACATTTCAAGGAAAACACCCCGGCGTTTACTTGACCATTCCTCTGCTTCTTTGCTGCAACATCCTTGCTCTTCTTCATCTACTAGAAGATATTGACCGTATTCGAGGCAGATATGATGCATGGAATGTGCGGGGTATGTCAATATAGGGTCGGTCTCTTCAGACCTTTGAGAGAAAGCAAGCCATTAGTTCTTTTTACAGACCCTATAATGTTCGATATTTAACAATATATGTATGTACAAATCTATTTACTTGCTATTTATTTTAATATCTATGTACTAGCCGCTTGACTAATACTTGCAAAATTAGCATACGTGCTTCGCTACATGGGAGGACGTTGAGCGAACACCCGACGACGACGACTGCCTATTATCAGACTTGAGAGAAGGTGGGAATCCGGCCCTTAAACACACCAATAGAGTAGCAAGACATATGTTTTGAGCATGTTATTTCCAGTAGGCAATGCCGTCCATCAATCTCCTCGCAGTTCGATACACTGTTGCTCTCTCTACTTCCCCATTATCGTCAAGCTTTGCACCGACCACCAGCTTTCCGCTTGGATGCCCAATCACCAACTCCTCTTTATTTTCAACGCCAGACCGAGCGTGCTGATGGACAATAGAGCCAGGAATCTTCGCAGCAACCGCCAAACTCAAACTCGTCGTTATTGGCAACGCCTTATGGGGCTGGCCCACAGAGATCGCACGCACAACAACATCAACAGAATCCGCTTCCAGTCTCTCACCCGAGAGCAGCATATGCGAATTACGCTGGGAAACGAAACATATCTTCGGAATGGACGCCGGTACCTCCTCGGGGGAATCGGCCATTCCCATCATCATAGTGGCTTTTTGCCTAATAGACTCTAATCTCTCCAACAGCCTCGGCATATTCTGCGTTTCGTCTGGAAGAATCGTTCCATCAATCCCAAGCTCTTCAGCGGACACAAATACAGATGGATTCCCTACATCCACACACGTGGCACGGATGCCATCCATGCAGTCCACCACATTCCCCGTGGGGAGCATCCCACCCGTCTTCGACCCACCAGGGTTCATAAAATCAAGCTTGACCTTGGAAGCTGTGCCAGCTACCCCATCAATCGCGAAATCGCCCTGTGCGACCGCCTCGCCATCGCACACCGGAAATGTAGACTCGATAACTTTTCCCGTATTGGTATTGAATATCCGCACCGAGACATCTCCACTGTCCTTCAATGGTCTGAAGATCCCCGAGTCAACAGCAAAGGGCCCAACCGCACTGCTCAAATTCCCGCAATTCCCCGAATAGTCGATGTCAGAATTTTTCACACCAACCTGGACAAAGGTGAACTCCACGTCCACACCCGGCCTGGTCGGTGGGCCGACGACGCATATCTTGGATAGACTCGATATTCCACCCCCAAGACCATCGAGCTGGCGCCCATTTGGGTCCGGAGAACCCATTATTCCGAGGAATATGGGTGCCCAGTCTACCCGGGATGGGGGAAGGTCTTTGGTCTGAAAGATCACGCCGCGAGACGTGCCGCCGCGGTAATAAGCGGCGGGGATGCGGCCCAGTTTAAGTCCACTTTTAGATAATGAACAAGACTGAGAAAAGGGTCTTCTGCCGACCCAGGAGTGCTACATGGCCTTTATCAGTAAAAAAATTGTACGGTACATATGGCTCCGTAACCCAGGGGGTTGGAGGAAGCCCAGAAGGAAGCTTCAACTCCCATACGGCTAGAGTAGCTTACTCTACATGATTTAAAAGCGTGTACATTCCTTAACCCTGCGCCCTGTGGCCCCATGGCCTCCGAAGCAATGCGTGGAATGCACCGCGGTGGTCAAAAAGCATTCCAGGAACGTTTCGTCGAGCATTACTTACCAGGGACTGTAAGTTTCCGGAACTCATTGAAGAAACTCAAATATCTTGGCATTCACACGTGATTCGCTATTTCTGGAGTAACATCATTGGTGGGTTGTGGGAAGGAGCTCTACTATAAACAAAAGCAGCCGCTCTTTCTCTTTGATGGAAAGGGGTTGGAAAAATAATAAATGCGGCTTTCCAAAATAATTGGAAAGTACGTCGGCGCATCCCGATAGCGGGAGGGAGGCCGGTCCCGGAGACATCTCGAATCCTGAGATCAGCACAAAAGTTTTCGCCTCATTCCAACTGCTTTTATCACTTGCGTACCCGTTGAACTTCAACACTCCACAGGATGCTAAGATTGACAGGCGTTAGGATAATTTGATTCCATGACTCAAGGAGGTGTGTCTTTAATATAGCAAGTTCACGGTTTTTTGCTTCAAAGGAGGGACGGAATGCGTTTGGCGGAAAGCCCATGAGTTTCTCTCGCGCAGAGACGACGTCTTTTAAATTACTGAATTGATCATCGGGCTTCAAATTTAGGCCAAGAGTTCGCTTTATGGAAGACTTAACCTTGAGTCAATGTGTCTATTCGGCCCGTACCCGTTAGTGGTGCCCGCATAAAACGCACGTCTCTCACCCTTGCTCGCAAAGTGACACATATCGTTGAGTTCTAAATCGAAGCAGTGAAATTGATTTTGTTTATACTTAGCGCAAGCTTCTTAGCTATAAAGGTTATCATGAGTGCAACACTAGCCCTTAAACAGCGGAAAACGACGACGGATGGATATCCATGCATGTCTTGCTAACTATAACTGCGCCCATCCCTCCATTACCGATCCGACATCCCCAAGATACGCCACAAAAAACGCCATATCAGCTAATGATTAAATTCCTCCGACGATTCCACGGATTTTGCGACTGTAGATATATGCGTGAAGAAGTGATATCGCCGGCCTCATCGTTCGTATATATATAAAAGGGGGAAATGAATGAATAAGGAAAACATAACGAAATAAGGAACGAACAATCCACTTTGCAAGCCTACGCCGCAAAGCAGTACGGGGAAAGAAAAATCCGTCTAGCTGAAGCGAAAAGGAGAACCGAAACGTATCGGCTTGCGATCGCATGTTAGTTACTAAGCTCTCGACGGGCTCAGCGATAGCTTCGCCAACGCTTTGGTGCGTGAATTCGGAGTAGGCCTAAAATCTCCACCCGTCGCAGAATCGCCGGACGTCAACCTTAGCAACATATCTCCCTATGTCCAAAGCCTTATGCCAGCATTGAAGGAGGTGTTCATGAAAAGAATATATGTCGAAGATTTTGGGAAACAAAGTTGAGAGGGGCTTGGCAGCAAGAATGATGGCGACGAGGAGGGTAGAGACGAAAATAAGAGTCGGTACGTACGATCTTTTACGATCCTTCTTTTTCTTGAAGCGGTCGATTATCCGCAACATCTCCCTCCTGCCTGCAGAAGCATTGACTTTCTTGCCACTAAGACTCATGCTGACTTTTTCGCTTGTGCATGCCTTCAACAGTCGGTTAATCAAAAGGTGTCGCATGGTCAAGCAGACAAAAACGCCACAATCGCTACTATTTTCTTGCACCGGCGAGTCGTCTAGTTGGACGAACCGGAATCCGCGATCGAGAAGGACACTGATCTTTTGTGCAACTCTGAGGGCTTCATTCCGATTTCCTGGCGGGAGAGAATCGTAGTGAAACGCAACGTTGTCGACGACGGAGACCAGAAGTAAGGACCAATGTGTTCCGCCTTCGGCTTCCGTAACGCTACGGCAGTCATTTATGGGTAGAAATATGTGGCTCGCCCTGCTGAATTCGGGCAGGGCGCCTCTCAAAGAGCGAGGGTCAGGTGTCTGATAAAGAAGATATGACATGCTCGGCCGGAGAAGGATGATCCGGGTGGTCTGGTAGTGGGAGATAACCTCGCGCTCAAGGTACCTAACGAATATTAAACAACTATAGGTGAATTTGAGAGGACTAGTCGGGGACATACTCTTCCCAAAACGCGATGACCTATTATGTTATAATTGTCAGTGCAAAACGTAATTGATTGACCAAGGAAGCTCACATTGTCGGTCAGCCAGTCATTCTTCAGTGTATCAACATCCTCATTCGTCACTACCAACGGATTTTAGCCATGAACATCTCCAAGCATTGCATCGTGTCATCTGTCTTGGAAGACGGGGCCACTTACGGCTGATATCATAATCTAAAAGAATACAAAGTCAGCTGGATGGTCCTAAAGGTGCTAAATGTAGTCGAAACGGGGACAAATGCATCCCATCCGATCCAGTATCAGATGAAGGAGCTGGAAAGAGGCTCACTTACACGTCACATAAGTATCGTCAGGGCTCGCCTGCATCAAGTCAGCCGCGCTGCCTACCCCAATACACATCCAAAACCTTCCAAGAATCATGGTAAATATTCGCTGAATGGGAAACTCGCGATTGTATCGTCTAGCATCTCGTCTGCACCAAGCAAACCCCAGCCCCCGCACATACGGGAGTGGACATCGGACGAATCCAGCGAATCCATGGTTAAAGGACCGAAATTTATTATAGGGCAGCACGCGATTGCGCGCCCGAGCAGTCTAGGTGTGATATTCTCCAGACATATGAAGTGTCGGGTATTGGAGTAGTGGTACAAAGCAACCATTCGAAACACCGTGAACAAAGGGGAGTGTTGTCAAAACCTTTTGTTTGGGGGGGGGGGAATAAAGTGCAGAACGGGACGGAGTAGTTACTCGATCGTGGGGGAGAGAGAACGAAGATCAAACGTACCGACTCGCCCAACCGCCCACGCATCCGATCTCGAAACCGGTGGAAGCTGCTTTCAGTCATATCGAAGGTGCTGTTCGGCGGGATCAGTCCCAACCGTCACTGGAGGCGAGACCGTAGCGTGACCTGCAGGTACTAAAGGCCGAGGTATCTTGGTAGTATGTATATTCACGAAACGAGTCTGGCGCCAAAAAAGCACAAAGCCGAACGGTGCGGCGGCTCGAAATGTGTTTATGCTTCGATGGAAAAGCGTCAGTACTCAAGAGCTCAACCAAGAAGCGTGCGGGATGGATGTTGCAGAAGGGAAATCCGGGGTAATGCTGGTTGGGATGTTTTAGCATGAAGCCGGGAAGCTCCGATGTAACCGTGCTCGGCAAGGAGGAACGGGGCGACGGTTTAGGGACGAAACATACCGGCCCAGGAGCCCGCAGTTGTGGCGGTATCAAACACGCATGGAGAGTTCAGCCCGGAAAATGCGCCAATCTCCCGTCAATGAGCAGAGCGGAGGTTGGTTTTGACGCTGGTTGATCGGGCGATGCGATGATGATGATGATGTAAGGATACAAACTTACCACCAAACGGCTTGCCTCACGTGCTCTCAGCAAACCGAGAGATTGCAAGTCGAATAGAAATACAATATGCTCCGTACAATATACCCTGTATGCATGAAAAAAAAAAAAAGACAGCGCTGGGTAGCCACATGCTTGTCTGGCGGCACTATTGGGCTCTGCGTGGCAGCAACCAGGCTGCCGAGTCCCCGTCTCAGGCGAGGCCCTCATTTCCCGCACGTCGTCCAACGGCATCACCGGTTTGCCCGCAGTGCCACTTGGCGCAACGGTCTAGATTTACACTTCATTTAACAGCTCCCCGCCAATAAAACGCCAGAGACCGGTGATTCTGCACGGAAAGCCGGCTTGGAGGAGGTTCATAACTTTCATTATTCAATACAGCATTCTCCTAGGTCTAATACAGGAACTAAGGTTTTATTGGATCGTGGGTCTCTTGTGACGAGAACGGGTATCAAAATGTAGACATTCTGGGATGTTATGCGGAAAAAAAGAAACAAAATATGGGAAGAAAAAGAGGAATGAATGAAAAAAGATATCACATATGGAGCGGACAATCTCCCTTTTAACTAGCCTCGGGAACGGAACCGGCATTAAAAACAAAAAAAAAAAAAAAAAACAAAAAAAAAGGCCGAGCCACTCGACATCATTCGAACAAGCAAGCCCCGGCCAGGAAGATGAATGAGAAGGCGAATGAAGGCCGAGCAATCGATAAGGACTCACCCACAGAACAGTGGCATTGACGCTGGGGCCCCGAACATGATCCATAGGCAAAGTCACACAATATATCGTCATAAAATAACAGAGAAGGACATGGTCACTCAATATCAAAGGGAAGGCAGCCAAAGCTCTGCAGAGGAAAACAGGAAACGAAGAGGGAAAAAAAAAAGGTGGTATAAATAATGTCAAGGGCCTGTCGACCCTTGAGGAAGCGAATTTTCTGATAAAAGAAAAAGCTCAAAGGTTTGGACATCATCATCATATTCGGAAAATAGACCCTGATTCATAGTGCATGCGCCCATATATGCCATTCGCCTTTGCTGAAGAAACAGACACAACATATGATCGTGTGAACATTGGGAATCGGGGGAAAAAAAAAATAATAGAAAACTATTCAAAGACATGCCAAAAATTTTCAGGAAAACATCGACAGGGGAAAAAAAAAAAGAAAAAAGAAAGGGGGAAAAAAGGGAGAAGCGCTCTAGTTTGAGAAAGAAGCAGCTTTGCCGAAAGCCTCGATGAAAACAAAAGATTGAAGAAAGTTGCATCGCATACAAATTTCTGGAAAAAAGTCTCTTTCCTCTCCGGATCGACTGACAATTCCTTTATCCCGCTAGCTTAGCAAAGTGTTTCGTCCAGATCCATCCAACCTGGTGTGTTGGATCATCCTGGTTCCTTGCCAGCCACAGGTCGCCTTTTTCGCCGATGACATCGAAGATCTCCCCAGCAACATAGGTCAGATATGGATAACCAGCTTCCCGACGAGCACGATCAATATTAAATTCAAACATGCTTGCCGCCAAGAAGAGAACTTTCGGTTCCTTGGGTCCAAGCT